CATCTCCCCAGTCTAGTTAAAGGGATAAAGTCTAACCCCCACAAGAGAAATGAGCTAATGTGACCAAAAAATGTTTGGGAACCAGGGCAACGTGTTTATTTTTGCTGTAAAGATGTGCCTTTTTTTGGTGAGTGTAAATGTGGTTTTCAGTGCTTTTGGAGCAGCCTCCAGTGGGTACTCACTGCATCAGTTTATTTCTCAAGACTGAAGGTTGCTGCTTTGATTCATTATTTCAGGCTTGTCAACAATAACAGCAAACAAATAAGCAGTTTCATTGACTAGTAATTCTTGTGTTAATTAGCGAGTCGTTTAGTCGAAGTAACACACACTTAGCCAGTTAACACAAAAATATATTCATTAGAAAACCATTATTTATTGTTGTGATCTGGGCTAGTCTTTTTTAACGGAAATGGCAGCTGAAACCGGGTTCTAGCGTACAATCTTCTGAAAATGCTAACCCTTCTGTTGACATGTAAACTAGAAAGGCATGGATCATGGACACCATTTTGTTGCATCCCTATTTGCTCACATGAATCGTGTTACAGTTTATTTGCACTCACTGCTCTGTTAACAAATGTCTTTATAGTTAGGCATGTGGTATATTGATATCGAGGTTATACTACCTGCTACTGGCCTGACATACAGAATGCAGAGATCTCAGTCGATCTGCGAGTACAGGGATCATTTTGACAACGTTACCATGTAACTTATGCTGTTCATTTTTCATGCACCAGGTCTGGAAGTTGATTAAATTCTCCTGTCAGTAATACGACAGTCAAACACTGTATAATGTTAACATCAGTTTGTTTCTAAATATCAAAGATACATTACATGACCAAAAGTAAGTGGATGCCTTACCATTACACCCAAATGTGAGAGTTTCTCTGCTCTAATCTGCAAACTTCATCACTGAAATCATCATTAACTTCATTTCTCCCTCTTTTTATTCATCCTTTTCTTTCTGATTGCATCATTTTCATCATCTCCAGCTTCATCAGTGAAATGGATCTTCATTCATCACACCTTCATCACATTAATTTTATCCTCATCATCTTCGTCACAATCATAATCAGGATCATTTCCTGCGAGACATCTGAAGAAAGGCTCTGAGTGTGTATGTGTGTTAGTGATGCAGCTGCAGCCTCATTTCATAGATTACTGTCAAACGCTGTCAATGTGTTAACACACAAAAACACACAGGTCTACACACAGACACACACACACAAATACGCTTAAACACACAAAAACGCACGCACAGAAGAATCACAGTGTGCATATGTCAGTGGCTGCATTATGTGTCGACAGAGAGAGAGAGCGCCTAGGGGTTTGTAAACATCCCACTCAACTGATCTGTGACTCATCTCGCACACACACACACACACATGCATGCACGCACGCACACACACACACACACACAGTGAATGCATTCAATGAGCATGAATACACAACAACAGCATCCTGAATATTCTGAATCCCTCTGCTGCACATATGAAACACTCTGTGTGTTTAACGTCCCTGTGTGTTTGTGTGCGTGTCTTTATGTTTGTGTGTGTGTCTGCAGCATCGTGTGTGTATGTGGATGATTCACTTGAGGATAATGTGCTCAATATAGCTCTAAAGTCACAAACACAGAGCTGCAGAGCTCCATATTTGATCTCTCTCTGATTCAAAGTGAAAGCGGCGCTCTCTGAATGGAGACACCTGCAGCAGGTGATGCAGGTGCGATTCAAATCAAGACAGGGCCATTAAAATCCACTCGACTTTGTCTCAACAGCTGATCCAGAGTACTTCAGAGAAGTTGGAGGAGTAGAAAATTGCAAACTCACCCTCCAGTAGAGGTCAGATGCAGTTTTAAGACGTTAAATTGGTTTTAAAAGTTCTACATGGGAACTTCTGGTGGAGTTCGAAGAAAAACTGATCTGTTAGCTAGTTTCTACTGCGTAATACAAGGCTGGTTTTCTTGTTCAGCAGGACTCTTCCTCTACAGAGCAATGTTGCTTTGTTACACATGCAGAATGTGGCTTGACGTCATCTTACTGAAATATGCAAGGTTTGGAGCCTTCCTAGATGTGTAAGCTACTCATGCCATGAGCATTTTTTAAGCCAGGTGGCCCCTCTTTTCTTCAGATTAGAGTCTGTTGTGTCCATGATTTCCAAAATTAATGCCACTATCCAACACAAGTAAGTCAAAATAACAAAAAAATAATAATAAAAAAAAAAAAATGAATCTTCTTTTTGAGATTATGTCTGCAGAAGTTTAAAAACAGCTGAGCTGATGTTGAGATAAAGTGAATATACAGATTGAGTCTTTAAAGATCTGCTGATAGTAGACACAGCCTCTGATTTGTCGACAGACTATAACAAAGATGGATATGCATGTTGTACAAGGAAAACTGTTTTATTGCATCAATCTGATTGAAAAGGGATTTCTTTTTAAAGGTAAATGAATTCCAGCTCCATCTGCACTAAATCAAACTTCTCATTGTCTAACATGCCCGAATAACACAGTTGCAGATCTTGCATGTAAACACCTCAACCAGACTAAAACTGGCCTAAAAGTTCTGAACATCCTCCTGTATTTGCATTCTGGGCTTTGTGCCAGAGGTTGATAAATAAGATAAGATAACTTAATTTTCTGTTCTAAAAGAAAACAGAAATGTATCTTTGAACTGCAGAAGTGCGTTGGAGTTTCGTTTCGAACAAAACCTTGACAGAAGAATAAAGGGCACATGCACATCTATCTATCTGTCTGTCTGTCTGTCTCAATTAATCCTACACTCCATATTAAACTTGGTTATATTCACAAAGATGTTGTAAACATATCTTTGTGTCTAAAATGTCTCTGTACTTTCTGCATCTGCATCACTGAAAAGGTTTGTTGCTCTGTTCAATTGCTCAAGGTCGAGTATTTCAATCTGCCCTCTCTTACACAAGCTGCTTAAGACGTAAAAAGTTTTCATGTGCTTTAAAAACAATCTCAAACATCCAAACCTTGTCCTATTTTATCAGAAAATCCGATAAGATTCAATTTCCTGTCAGAAAATGTAAATCAATGTCTCCTCAACAGGATAAATGTTTCTCTTTGTTCATTATGTATTATGAATGTTAAACATAGTCTCGATTTCCATGTCTGGTTTTTGATGAGTGAACTCATTCTGTAGAAACTGTTTTCTGATGTTGTTTGTTTATCAGTTGATGCTGCCATCAAAAGAGATAAAAGTAAAATAATGAAGATTGCTTCCAAAGTACTTAATTAATATTTTTCATTTGTGTTTTTTTTTTGTTTCAAAAATCTTTAAAAAATGGAGAATAAACTGTTAAAAAAATATTTTCATGTTTTGAATCTTATTCCAGTGGGATAAGATTTCTAAGAAATGCATTACAGAAACTTGTAAATCATCATAGTTTCAAAAACAGGCAAAATTGCAGAATTACTGTATATGTCTTTCTTTACATTTTGAATACCAATTTATACAGTACATTTGATAAAGTACAAAATACCAATGAATCTTCTTCATAAAATTTTGAAGTTGTTATTAATTCTTTTTTTGTAGTTTTTAATTTGTGTTGTGACATTCATTTTGGAAACGATAGATGCACTCTTATCTCAAGTAAACTGGAACCACCTTGGTTTATAAGTGCCCATGACATGGGTAGCTTACACATCTGGGGGGTTACAAACCTTGAATACTTGAGCAAGACAATACCAAACCACATTCTACATGTGTTACAACAGCATGGCTCTGTACGAGAGGAGTCCTGCTGCTAAACTGGTTAGTGTGCCTGGAGTCCCAAGTTGTCCCCTACTGAAAACATTTTGTAAACTAAAAATAAGACATAAGTGTCCCTCAGTATTGAGCAGCTTCATGTCAAGAAGTGAGTGGAAGGGTTATTGTTTAATTTTGCTTTGTGTACTTTTTCTAGGTGTTCTTTGGTTAGGCCTTGTAGCGCCTGAGTCGATATGAAGTTAAATTTTAGGTTGCCCTTGTAGTGTTTGCTTCAGTTCAACTTCATATGGACTCAGGAGCTACAAGGCCTAACCAATTTACTTCTTTGCTCATCTTGCCATCGTCTTCCGTGCCTGAATCGTAAAACACTGCCGCATCATCTTCATTGGTCCCCGGCAGCTCGCTTCCATTGTGGATTTTTTTTTTTTTTTGCACCATTTTATTTTCGCAGCAAGTAAATTTTTTTTTCCATTGCAACTTTTTATTTTGTCGTTAACATCAGCTGTAGCTTTTTTTTTGGTGGTCCGTTTCTTTTTTTATTTGCAGTAGGCTTTGTTTTTATTTATTTAAAAAAAAATTTTAAATTTATTTTGCATCGGTAACTTCCGTTGTGACTTCTTTTGTTTTTGCATTTTTTTAATTTGCAGCCGTGGCGGTTCTCGGCCACTGTATAAAATAATCTGCAAAATTAAACAATAACCTTTCCACTTACTTCTTTGCTCGTCTTCTCGCCAGTGTCTTCTGTGCCTAGATTGTAAAACACTGGTGCCCAGCAGCTCACTTCATTTGTGGCTTTTTTTATTTGCACCCTTTTATTTTCGCAGTAAGTAGCTTTTTATTTCCATGCATTGTTAACTTCCATTGTGGCTTTTTAAAAAATTGTGTCTGCACCATTTCTTTTTTAATTTGCAGTGGGTTCAGTTTTTTTTTCCATCAGTAACTTCCATTATGACTTCTTTTGTTTTTGCATTCTTTTTTTTTATCTGCAGTGGGCTTCTTTTTTTTTTTTTTTTCATCGGTTACTTTTTTTGCATTGGTAATTTACGTTGTGACTTCTTTTGTTTTTGCATTCTTTTTTTTCTTTTTTTTAATTTGCAGCAGTGGTGGTTCTCGGCCACCATATAACACAATCTGCAAACCACTGAAATCTATTTTTTTAAATATATGTTTTATACTACATCTCAAGTTTTTTTTATGGTTGTATAAATAAAATACCGTCTGGGAAAAAGAAAACAAAAAAATTGAACTGTGACCTCCGACCCCGCGCCGTCCATTCTATTAACCCCGCCCTTCTGCAGAGAGAACGGGAGCTCCATTCAAACAAACCAAACTCCGCGCCCCGGGATGCGACAGTCGCTGTAAAAGCAGAGTGAGGCGGCATCTGCGGCAGCGGGACTAAAGAGCACGATTTAGCCCTGAAACTACAGCCTCCACATCAACGGACAGACAGAAACACAGACAGACGGACAGCAAGCAGCCGGAACACTCTCTCCCTCCCTCTCTCTCTCTCTCTTACTCTCTCTCTCTGTCTCTCTCTCTCTCTCTCTCTCTCTCTCTCTTTGAGCGCAGTCTACCAGCAGGTGGCTAACGGCTAACGGCACCAACATGGCGAGCGCCTCGTACCACATCTCCAACCTGCTGGAGAAAATGACATCCAGTGACAAGGATTTCAGGTAAGACACGGCCTCGCCGCCCGAGAATAGCTCAACATTAAATATTAAACGCGCTAACTGAAATGTCCGCGGTGTTAAATGCAGTCTCCTGCCAGGCCTCGAGCTAACATGCTAGCTGCTAGCCTGCCACCTGTCTGATCAACGTCACATCGCTAGCTGACTCGTTAGCCCACATTACTTGATGGCATTTAACTTGACAGCCCTTTAAACAATCATTGATATCTGATGAGCACGCTAACCTGCTGCATATAGTCCAAACCGACTATTTGGTTGCAGGTATATACCGCCTCTTAGCATTTAGCTCAACCGGCTGGCTCACTAACTTCTGTCATACCGCAAGCTAGCGTGATGTAAGCTAGCCTGTGAGTGTATGAATGCATGCCATTCATCAGCTTTAAATGTGTGTGTGTGGTCGTAGTGAACTCATCTGCAGCTGTATATTCAGTTTTTGCTCCAACACTTGATATTGTTTTGTCATGTCACCTGAGTAGCATGATGTTCTGGGGGTGTGGTAGCGTTAGCATAGTGAGGCTAACAGGGTAATAACATGTAAACAGACAGTAGCAGGTTACAGCTGCAGACAGCTCAGACACAGGCGTGTAAGGACAGGATGCGACTGTTTTACAAGGTTTAATCCCCCCTTTTAACGTCGAAGAGTTTCGCTTTCTCTATATTTTTGGATTTTGCATTGATCAATTATAGCAATTAAAGGGATATTCCGGCGTAAAAATAATTTAGGGTCAAGAGTCAAGAGATGAATTTTGCCGACTGCTTGCTTCTCTAGTTTTACCAACTTTAGGAACGACCGCACAATAGCAATACACAGCAGTTTACTGATCCATGCGCACACCTCAACACCACTCTATAGCCACAAATAATGCTCAGAACAGCACCTAACTTCATCAACAGTATATATAGGGTCCTAGCTATATCACTAGCCACCAAACATCTTTTTAACTTTGCCTAATTTCTTTAGTAAAGAGACTAAACACAACTCACCCACTCTCTTCCAGCAGCCGCTTGTTTGTAGCAAGACCTCAGGCCAGTCCATTACGGACCGCAGCGGGGTGACGCAGCTCAAGGAACAACATTTATGATAATTTCTTCAGACCGAGACGCTAAGGCAGAAGAACTACTGAGTCTGCAGTGCAAAATAATTAATATGGTGATAATAACTTCAAGAAAATGATAAAGCAATGATCATAAATGTTCTTCCTTGAGCTGCGTCCCCCCGCAGCAGTCCGTAATGAACTAAGCCGAGGTCTCGCTACAAACAAACGGCTGCTGGAAGAGAGTAGGTGAGTTGTGTTTCATTTTTTTGCCAAAAAAAATCAGCCAAAGCTGAAAAGATGTTTGGTGACTAGTTCTGTGGCTAGGACCCTAAATGTACTGTTGATGACGTTAGGTGCTGTTCTGAGCATTATTTCTGGCTATAGTTTGTGTATAACTATCCTGCGGTCGTTACTAAAGTTGGTACAACTAGAGAAGCAAATGGTCGGCAACATTCATCTCTCGACGGGGTGTCTAACTTGGTGTATGGTGCCTTAAGATGAAAACTTGGACCGGCACAGTGGTGTAGTGCTTAGCACTTTCGCCTCACAGCAAGAAGGTCCTGGGTTCAAATCCAGCTCAGGGCGTTTCTGTGTGGAGTTTGCATGTTCTCCCTGTGTCTGCGTGGGTTTACTCTGGTTTCCTCCCACATCCTAAAAACATGCAGGTTAGGTTAATCGGCCACTTTCAAATTACCCGTAGGTGTGAATGTGAGCGTGGATGGTTGTTCGTCTCTATATGTCAGCCCTGCGATGTATTGGTGACTTGTCCAGGATGTCCCCTGCCTTCGCCCGAAGATGCTGGGATAGGCTCCAGCCCCCCCACGACCCCTAACGGGAATAAGCGGTAGAAAATGGATGGATGGATGAAAACTGCAGAGGCAATCATTATGAGACAACTTGCAAGCCATGCACAGAAAGCTTTAAACTTGGTCAAACACTGACCTGCCATCAAATTACAAACAGCTGGGAAATCTAATGCAACCCAAACCAGCAGCTCTGGCGTAAATTCCACCCCCAGGAAGCTCCTGGATTTTCAGTTTTTGTTGCCATGATCAGGCAGGTGGTTATTGTCCTTCCTAGTGTTTCAGTTGCACCTCTTTGTAAAGTTTATGAAGTAACATTCATGATGAAACAATAATGAAGAAATCTGATGCTCGACCGTCCTCTGTCTCTCTCTTTGTCTTGTTTGTCTCTTTCTTAGTATTTCTAAATCAATCACTTTGTCAAATCTTGCACAAAAAAGTAAAGACTATAAGGAGAGAGAGGTGGAGTTTTGATAATATAGTATATTATAGTAAAGTGTATATATTTAGGTGTAAAGTGCACTTAAATACTTTATTGAGAAAAGTAGTCGTCAAACATTGATGTTACAAATAATTTCTGATGATATTTTTTTAGTTACGTCTCACTCAGCCCTGTAATAGTACCTTCTTAACACACAAATGTCTGGCTTTTTATCATAGGATTCTCTGAGCATTACACCATGAAAAGCAACAGTTTTAGACACTTTCAGTAGAAGCTTTATACTCTAAGTTCATATTGAATATTTGCTAACAGTGTCAAAAATTGGGTCTATTCTGTTTCAAAATCTGTCTTCCAATCAAGTATTTGGAGGCAGCATTACGTTCATGTTTACATTTTAAAGAGTTGGCATGATTGCACACACTCTGCATGCACATTGATCAGTTAGGTATTGAAATATATTTTAGATCAATGATTGGAAATAAGAAAATGTGCAGATACAAATCAGCTTTTGCGAGATGAGTGACAGTGATTGTTGGTGTTTCTGAATCATGGTAATGTATTGTTTCCTCTTTGTATGGCGCAGAGTGATAAACTGTGTTCAGATAATGGTTCTTCAATGTGGTGTCCTGACAATCACAGCCATCTGGTATTGGTTTTGGTTCTTGTCCCCTTGTCCCGCTCCTGGATGTTTGAATGAGATGTTTTAGTGGTTTGTGTGGGAGGTCTGGATATCCTTTCGAGGTTGTTGTGGTTAGTGAAAAAGTCGTAACGCTCCTGAAAGTGCTTCCAGTGGTCATGTATACATTCTTACGGTCCTTCAGATGTCTGTTTCTGCAGCTGAATGTAGATGTGGTCTGCTGTAACAAAGCTGTAATCTTAAGTGCTTTAGGAAGTCAATCAAGGGTCAAACAATGTGCCAACTGTTGTTATAAATACTCCACATGTCCTCTCTCTTTCTTTATAATGATTCCTGATTAGTATTTGCAGCTTTTCATAGATAATAAAACTACAAAAATATTTTTTAGTCTGGAAGATGGACAAATTTAAGAGCATAATTTATGCTGGACATAAGCAAAATCTCAGATTAATTCATTGTGAAGTCGTTGTTCTTTTGCTGCCTCAGCTCTTCTCTTTTTTTATTCTGTTATAAGTAATTTTGCAAGTATATTTTTAAACTTATCACAGTCTCTGTTTGGATGCTCCTGCAGAAATAATAATATTCTCTCCAAGGAGTGCACAAAGAGATGTTAACAGCTAGAGCTCAAGGTAAATGACACAACTGAACATCATCGTCTGATATCACTGGTGTAAAAATGAAATACCTCGTCTAACAAGGATTAAACAGACATGAAGGTGCAATAAATCTAATTAAGTGGGATCTATACTAATTTCGCTCATCTGTTCAGGCCAGATGCACGAGAAAAAACAGCTTGTAAATCAGTGGAAATGAAGTGGACACCCTGTTCTTTGTGATGGATCAACTGCCTGAAGCCAAATTCAAGTCTCTGCCTGCTGGTTCTTTGAGGGGAAAAAACGGAAATCTGTGGCTGTGGCTCTGTGGAGGATTTGAGTCAATTTTAGAGCTGATGGCATGGCTTTGAAACGAATGTCTACTGTGACATTAAGTTAATTAATAAAGTACAAGTGAAGTAAATGGAGCTCCCTTTTTTGTTTATGTAGTTGTAAACTTTGTTCGTTTACAGTTTGGGTGGATAATCCTCAGCACTTGGAGGCTCACGATATTTGTAGTTTCATGATATAACACTGTATCCTGAGAATTAGTTTTGTTGCATCTTTTCTGTAGAAGTTTGCAGATCCAAACAGGCTTTTGTCATCAGTGGTTGTGGATCACATTTATTAATGAACGATGTAGCTTTAACCTGCACTTGTAGATGCAGGAATGATTTGTGTTCACAGACAGTGGATTTAGATGTAATTCAGGAGCCAATGCAGTAGGGGTGGGAAAAAAAAATCGATTCACATAAGTATCACAATTTTTTGCTTTGCAATATTTAAATAGATTTTTTTTCGTTCAAACGCAATTTCTTTGTTCATAAGTCGATTTTTTTTTTTCAAATTTAAGAATAAATCTTAAAAACTGACTTACATGTGATGTGTATTTTTTTAGGGAAATACGGTTCCTGGAGTACCGTTTTTTTCGCACTATAAGGTGCACCTGATTATAAAGCGCACCAGATTATAAAGTGCATTAAGCCAAACAAAACAGTCAGATAAGTCAAACTTTATGCAACTTATTCAATAACTCCGCGAGGCTACAGTAGCTGCAGTGCTCCGACAGGCCAAAAGGATTTTAAGTGCACCTTTATAGTGCGAAAAGTACGGTAGTCAGTAGACAATCGTAATCATTAAACTGTTTCACTGGTGTTCAAAATGCAGACTAAAAATTGAGAAAATCGACAATATCATAGCATTGCAATTTATCGGCATCCAAAAAATCGTAGAAGACCAGAATCAGGAGAAAAGCATATCGTCCCAGCCCTGCCATGCAGTGATTTCTACTACAGAGTTATGTCTGTTTTGAGTGCAGTGAAGTGTTGGTTTTGGTCCCTTTTTACAGAGATTTCTCAAGATCCTCTGAATCTTTTTATGATATATGTATTTAATGTACTGTAGATTAGTTATTCACCAGTATCCCAGTCTATACTAGTTGGCCGATGGCTTATACATGACACTGATATCACATTGTTGAATTTTTTTTAATGATGCTAACACATGAGAAACAAAAGAGCTGAACTTGAATAATTTTTATTTATCAAATAAAGGTGAATGGATACAGCTATGTAAAGCACTTGAAAATTGAAACGGTTGAACCGTTAACTCACGCAGTCTCTCACAGAGTGGTGAACCTCTTCTTATCTTTCCCTCTAAAAGACTCAGCCTCTCTGATGGTCCTTTTTAAAAAAATACCCAGTCACATTACTAACCCAGTGGTTCTCAAGTCCAGTCCTCGAGGCCCACTGTCCTGCATGTTTTGGATGTTTCCCTGCTCCAACACACCTGACTCAAATGATCAGCTCGTTATCAAGCTCTGTAATGGCTTCATAACGAGCTGATCATTTGAATCAGGTGTGTTGGAACAGGGAAACATCCAAAATATGCAGGACAGTGGGCCTCGAGAACTGGACTTGAGAACCACTGTACTAAACTTTGCAGTGTTGTAGTCTAGTGGTAGTTCACTCTTGGGTTGAGTTTGGTGGCGTCTAATAGCTAAATAAAGCAGCTTTTTCAAAAGTTTGATAAAATCTTACTCATAATTTACCAGTTTAGACCAGCATTATCTTTTTCTGCAGGTTAAATTAATGGATTTGTTTTGGAGGGACATGAGGGCTGTTTCTTTCCTCTCTCAGAAGAGAGTCTGTCTCTCTATTGTCCTCATGGTCTTATCAGTATTCAAGCGTGCCAGCTGAAAAATACGAGCTTTTAAAAGACAGACTTGATGCAACTGTTTCAAAGTCATTACAGCCCGTTTAGCTTCTGCAGGCTGGAGTTGTTTTCCTAAGCTTTGGTTTCCCCCTCAGGTTATATAGACCCTAAATTCTGTTAAAACAAGTCTCAGGTTTGAAGTGAACTGATTTCCCTTTAAGCAGAGAGGAGGACGTAAAAACCTTCATGTTAACAGATAAAACTGGGAGCCATCAGCCTCTTCTCTAAGCTGCTGGAGGACGATCACAGCTCAGCTAATCAGTTTCATCGGCCCTGACAGCCGCCGTCTCAGTGCCAGAAATCTGTGAAATTGTGAGCTTGTCAGTATCCGCTCCTGTCGCTGTAGAAAGAGCTGCTGACCCCGCACGAGAAAAGCCCGACGAGTCATTTCAGTCCTGATCTGAGCGCTTTAATACTGCGCCTGTATCAGCGGCGGCTCTGCAGGAGAGATAATTAAACTCCCGCTTTTAGGTGATGTGTCTCTGCTCTGAACTCCAGCAGCGTGTTTCCTCTCTGCAGACTTATTCGGCTGTCAAACAGATCCAAATTGCTTTTCTAATTTTACTGTGTGCTCTGAGGCGGCGAAGGAAAACACAAATATAGGATCGGACACGCTCGCAGCAGCAGATGTAACTTTGGATTAAAACCCTTGGATCTGAAATAAAACATTTAAGAGGGTTTTCCTCTGAAGAAATAATGTCATCATTATCCTAAAACAGCTCGTTTGTCACCAGAGAGAAGAAAAATGACCTCATTTTCTATATTTACTCTCTGAGAAAGTCAGCAGTATCTGGGTTTAAACATCGATATTTTGGTTTCTCTAAAAGCTAATAGAGGAAATTTAGGAGTCCCACAGAAGCGCAGTCATTTTTCAGCCCTGAGCTCTGACTGTCAGGCTGCACATCAGATAGTGAAGGTTAAGCTGAGAAGACACTGTATGATATATTTTAATCAGCTTTTGCAGAAAGTACTGAACCTGATCTCTGCTCTTATATAACTCTTTAAGTGAGGTGACAGCCTGCCACAAGTGTGGCGTTCAGGGTTATTGCTCAAGTCACTTTAATAGAAAATAAATGAACGCCTTGCAGCATCACAGGCAGGATATCTTTGTACTAGGGCTGCCCTATGATGGCAAAAATCATGATCACGTTTAAATCGTTACCCATAAAGGTCCTTACACACCAGGACCGATGCAAAATTACGAAATATTCAGAGGCGAATTTTGACGTGCCTGACTATACACATCAAGCCCGATGCGATTTTGCGACTTTCCGGGGGGGAAATGACGTGTCCCGGGTGGAAGCGAGAAGACTGACACAACAGCAGACTGAGTGTTTTTCAGTTCTGATTAGACTCTAGTGTTGAGATGTCTGTCTGTCATGATAGCATGTACTGAGTCGGGGCCAGTACCAGATAAGCACATTAAACTATAATCCATAAACGTAAGGTAACAACCGAGACCTAATGGTGCTGTGACAGCAACATGATTGAGTTTGAGACAGTGAAAATACATATGGTATGTTGTATCTGAACAGGTTAGCCTATGAGCTAAAGTTACTTAGCACAGATGAAAGTTAAAACAAAGACGTTTAGCAAACTGTTAAAACACACAAACCATCGTCATATGAGAAATCCGACGCTATGACTCTCCACAAGTTGTCCTTCAGGTTGTTATCTTTGCAGTATTTGTGTTTTTCATCAAAAATCACTCTGTTCTCCAACACGTAATCAATCAGCCATGTTGGATATACCGGTGAATCAGACGTCACAACAACACGCAATCTGATTGATCAGAAGTGGACACACAGTATGCAAAACTTCTGAAAAAATAAATGCCGCAATATCGCAGGACGGGAAAACATTGCTGATGTGAACGCTTGTATTGACAGGATACGAGTTCGAAAAAAATATTGACGTCCGAAATAATCGCACAAAAAAAACGGTCCTGGTGTGAAAGGACCTTTGGGCCATCAATCACCCAGCTTTTGAATGATTAGGTTGTTTTTACCCTGAATTGTTGGACTCATGGGTGGTGATTTGTGTGGGTCCAGAGAAACCAGATGTCAGATAAAATTTTGTTTCTGGGGAAATTGTGGCGATAAACTCTGGTTTGCCATTGGGATAGTTGAGAGTAAATAAGAGATAAACAGAAATTAATGTATATTCAAGAGTCACATTTGCATGATAAACAGAATTCCTATCAAACTGTTTCCACAGTCACACAAATAGTGCTGAAATAAATTATCGGAGTTAACCACGAAATAGTATCAGTGTTTTCTCTTTTTGCTCTGCAGCACTTCTTTCTACATGTTTTTGTCTCTGCTCAGAAAAAGCAGGTCATAGCTCATGGCAGAAGAGAGGATTTTAAACATGTGAGAACCACATAACCTACATATTACCTCCAGGAAAAGATCACAGAAGAGATAAGACACTCCTCCGAGAGTGCATGGGACTGAAAAAAATACACACAAATGTGAAGGATTTCACAGAAATGACTCACGTCACACAAAGGAGCTGAAAACCGTGTGTGTTTTTAAGAAGCTTGAAGGATTTTCAAAGCAACAAAATAACCTGGAGTATCCGTTGAAAGAGTGATAACAGTGCATAGAGTTCAGACTTTTTGTTTTTAGCACAGGCATGTTGTTTCTTTATTTCTTTTTTTCATTTTTGGAGTGAGAAGCGACATTGTTGAGAAAATAAATGCAATATTCACAAAAAGAGTTGGTGGACACGGGCCCTAATGCCGCCCTGGTTTCATGTCATCTCTGTTGTTTTCTGATTCGTTCTTGTGTTTGTTGAACAGTCACCGTTAGAAATAAATCCTGATTTACTCCATGAAATATTCCATAAATTACTCACAGACTGTACAGCAGCTCCACTGTTTTATCCATCATTGAAGACCTTTTTCTCTGTTAACAGCTGCGGTAAAGCGAGTGATCTGACTCCTCAGCAGCTTTGAGTCTTCAATAAATTGATCGTCGACATTTTTCTGATTCCTCCGCAGGTTTATGGCCACAAATGACCTGATGACGGAGCTACAGAAAGACTCGATCAAACTGGACGACGACAGCGAGAGAAAGGTTGGTTTCGTAACCGTTTTTAACACTTCTCTCTCCTCTGTGTTTTTAATGACTGATCTATTATTTGATTGATGCATTGATTGACAGGTGGTGAGGATGATTCTCAAACTGTTGGAAGACAAGAACGGAGAGGTTCAGAACCTGGCTGTCAAATGGTAAAAAACAAAAGATATCATTTCCAAATTGTGTTTTTTTCATACATGATTCTGTGTTAAATGAATGTTTGAACTGTTGGTGCGTTTGTTTCGTTCAGCCTGGGGCCCCTGGTCAGTAAGGTGAAGGAGTACCAGGTGGAGACGATCGTGGACACTCTGTGCACCAACATGCTGTCAGACAAAGAGCAGCTCCGAGACATTTCCTCCATTGGACTCAAAACTGTGATCGGAGAGTTACCGCCAGCCTCTAGTGGTACAAAAACGACAACTACACAAATAAAACTTATAAATACTGAACAAAAAACCCACAAATATGCTACAGACACTTCTTAAAAATGTTAAGAAGTGTCTCCTACTTGTGGCACTTTTACGACAATATTTAAGTTTTTATTCCATTTCCATCCCTCTCAGGCTCTGCTTTAGCTGCCAGTGTTTGTAAGAAGATAACAGGTCGTCTGACAAGCGCCATCGCCAAACAAGAAGACGTGTCGGTGCAGCTGGAGGCGCTTGACATCATGGCTGACATGCTTTGCAGGTACGGCACCTGTGCGTCTGTTTGTGTTTCTATAACGCCTCCAGAAGCAAGTTTAATCCTCGGCGAGGGGACGTATCGGTGTAACTGCAAAACAACAATCACTCAGTTCAAGACGACGTCACACAAACACAGACTGTGACTTTAAATCAGTTTGAATTTTGATCGTCAGAACAAGTGGCAAACAGGAAAATCAAGGAATCTGAGATGTTTGTGTCGTCGTCTTTTACCAACTTTAGCACACTGTTTCCTTAAATGTTAAAGTGTCAGTGTGAAAAATACAGTTTTTTTTTTTGTACAAAACATTTTTGAAGAGTTGAAATTATGCCTGAATCAGCAAAGGATCTAACATGAAAACAACTTAAAACTCGAACACAAAAGAGGCTTAAAATATTAGGATCATTATTCATCTGGGTTTAAATCTTCAGTTTTATTTTGTGATTCTCTATTTTAATTTTGTGGACAACAATGTGATATTTTACTGATATTACAAAGTCTGCCTAAAAAGTGTTTTAGGGTCTGTGTTTGATCTCAGACAAGTTTTAACCTTTAACCCATGAAGACCTGAAGCCTGTCTGAGACACGCCTCTGAAATCCTGAGGCCATTTTTGAGAAGGGCCACCAGATCCTGAGGTTTTCTGAAGTGTTGAGGTTTACAAGAAAGCTGATATCTCGGCCTCTGTAGCAGATAGAAACAACATTTAAAAGTATTTGAGAGCTTAAACATGTGGCTTTCAAGAGAATTACCTTTTATTTTTCCAAACCTTCATCACATTATTGAAAACCTTGAACAAAAAAACTCAAATAAATTAAAGTGGCTGTATAAATAAAAGTAAAGACTCTGCACCAGAGAATAACAAACTGTTTGCTTTCTGTAAAACAAGTGGCAGTCATGATAAAGTGTAAATATATAAAAAATAAACTGTTGAAAGGGTATACAGCTGCCCTAGTATGGTGCCGGTACAAAAACAGTACTAAAAACAAAAAAAATACATAAATACGTGGCTGACAGTGTGTTCATGTCTGTGCTCACCCAAAGACATACAACACTCACAGAAAACACAGAGTGCGAGCCAAAGCTCTCAATATAAAGAGGTCGTTCACACTGCTGGATGTTTCTCATCCGAAGCTGCTCTCTGCCTCCGTCATTGTTTACTTTCCTCACGAAGCACGTAGCAAGATCCGAGCATGAATCAGATCGCTTTGTTAAGTTTCAGATCAGAGGCAGACTGGTATGATGATTTGATTCTACAGAAATGATCGAAAAACTACAGAATGTTACGAAATGACGCAGCCGTGCTCCTGGCTCAGAAGGTAGAAATGCGCACATGCTGTCCCAGTTTAAATAGGTTAACACCATCAGTGACAATTTTGTTGCTGGTGGTGGTGGTGGGAGATTTTCTGTTTTTTTTTCTGCCAACCACATTTCTGATTAACCTCCTGCAACATGAGGATGAATGTGATAAGCAGTATCTTTAGAAAGCATGCCTTCTTTCTGTCTTCAGTTTGTATCTAAAACCTCCAGACTTCTCCTGCCTCTTTACTGCACCCTTACATGTTTTAAAAAAAAAAGCAACAAAACATTAAAGAGGGTGTGGTCCAGCTCTTAAATCAGACATGTTATTTTGAGCTTGAGTAAAAGGAAAGAGATTCAGTGTGATGGGTGTCTCCCTCCAGAAACAGAAATCTCTGCTCTGTTTTATAAGTCATATTTTTTTGTCTGTAGATTTTCTCAGGGTTGAAACATTCAGGGATTAACTTCCTTCTCGTCTCTCTCTGCAGACAGGGAGGTCTGTTGGTGAACTTCCATCCCTCCATTCTCAGCTGTCTGCTCCCTCAGCTCACCTCCCCCAGACTGGCTGTCAGAAAGGTGAGGCTGACCTCTGACCTCTGAACTTGCAGCATCAGTTAGTGTTCCCGCTGTTGTGTTTGACAGCTGTGGCCTCTCACCCTGTGTGTGTTTTAGAGGACCATCATGGCTCTGGGTCACCTCGTCATGTCCTGCGGGAACCTGGTCTTCATTGACCTGATTGAGCACCTGCTGACCGAGCTGGGGAGGAATGATAACATGTCGACCACCAGGACCTACATCCAGTGCACGGCGGCCATCAGCAGACAGGCCGGACACAGGATCGGTGAGACAAACAACATCACAGAGCTTAGGTTTCATTTTTCCTGTGCAGTTTTGACTCATTGTGTTTGTGTTCTTCAGGAGAGTATCTGGAGAAGATCATCCCTCTGGTAGTGAAGTTTTGTAACGTTGACGATGATGAGCTCAGAGAGTACTGCATCCAGGCCTTCGAGTCCTTCGTCAGGAGGTAACACACCCACAGAAACACTTTATTAAAATACTGCAGCATTTGTGTTTTTCCTGTTTAACCTCCATAATGTTGATTCCCCTCCAGGTGTCCCAAAGAAGTTTACCCCCACGTCCCCACCGTCATCTCTATCTGCCTGCGCTACCTGACCTACGACCCCAACTACAACTTTGATGATGAAGACGAGGACGACAACGCCATGGATGCGGAGCAGAACGACGAAGACTACCAAGGTACCGACATTTTTTAACTTGAATCTTTTGTAACTTCTGCCAAACAACTTAAAACCTTTTGAAGGATATTGTTATGAAAGAATCACCAACATGAAAAGCGGCATGTTGTCAGGGGTCATTTCAACTCAAAGCATAAAATCATCAGTGCTTTTGTCTGTTTAGGAAGTGACGATGAGTACAGCGACGACGACGACATGAGCTGGAAGGTGAGACGGGCCGCCGCCAAGTGTTTGGACGCCGTCGTCTCGACTCGTCACGAGATGCTGCCAGAGTTCTATCGCTCCGTCTCTCCTGCACTCGTCTGTCGCTTCAAGGTAACATCACCTCTTTGATTCTCTCTGCATCTTGCTGGTATCTGACGGCAGAGACTTTAAAAAGGACAGCGCTTATGGAAACTGATCATGAAGAGTAAAGGGCCCGACCGATATGGATTTTTTGGGGCCGATACTGAAACATTTTCCGAGTGAAACCAAATCTTATTCTCCGCATTTTATTTCTGAAAATATCGCCGACAAACAGCGAGTTTTGGCCGATTACCGATTAGTCTCAAACGGGCTAAAATTGGCCGATTGAATTGGTTCGCTGATAAATCGGTCGGGCCCTAATAAAGAGTCTAAAGCACTTTTTAAAAAATGTAACGTCTTTCCAGTGACCAGCAGAGGGAGGTCACTAAGGTTATCGAGAAGTTTGGTCAAATGGAACCAGACAACAACTTACCAGCTGATTTATTCCATTAGTGAACACTTTCTACACAAGTTTATGGTCTTAATCTGTATTTGAAGCCTCTTTCAATACAACGTAATGTTAATTTGGTAAATTATGGTTCAAGAGAGGTCACTCAGATGTTAATATAGCAATGCGTATCCACCCTCCAAGTCCAAATATCTCCGCTTTGATATATAAAAGGTCAAAATGTGCGGCTCAAAGCTTTAAACTATGACTCATTCAAACTAATCTGACCTTTTGATCAGACAAAACTTTCCTCTAAGATCTGATCTGGGAAATCCAGACTCCTTAATCTGACTGGTTTTGATCTGCGTGTCTTAAGGAGCGAGAGGAGAACGTGAAGGCGGACGTTTTCCACGCCTATCTGTCACTGCTCAAACAGACACGACCGGCTCAGAGCTGGTTGGCTGATCCAGACGCTATGGAGCAGGGAGACACGCCGCTTACGATGCTGCAGAGTCAGGTAAGGATATCATCAATGATCTTTAAAAGCTAAAGAGCCAACGTACGATCAATAATAGATTAATACTGAAGAACCAGACTTCAAGATTTATTGGCTGAACAGAAAATCTACTACACGAATCTTGGCTCTTGGCAGGTGGGAATTTTGAAGCCTGTTAGAAATTGTTCATGTTTAAAGAAACAACTTAGAAGGACCAATCAAAAATCTTTTACCTCGAGTGAATTCTACCTCTGCTAGTGAGTTTGCCCAAACCTCAGAACCTGCAGTTCTGCGTTTGTGCAGCAGGTGTTGCTGTTGTTATCTCCCAGGACACTCAGCATCCTGCCTCGACTGAACCAAACAGTAAAATAGAGCTCCTTTCTCTCTCTCACTGTGTCCCCGTCTCTCGCCCGCTGCAGGTGCCGATGATCGTGAAAGCTTTGCACAAGCAGCTGAAGGAGAAAAGTGTGAAAACTCGTCAGTGTTGTTTCAACATGTTGACCGAGCTGGTGAACGTTCTGCCAGGAGCTCTGACGCAGCACATCCCAGTACTAATACCAGGTAACATCACTACTGACACGACTAATACTACTCGCTGAAAAGCTCTTTGTGGGGATACCCATTCAAAATACAAACTGAGGATGTTTTTGATTGTTTGATTGTCAGTTTTTTTTGCTTCTTTTTGAGGCTCATGGTCGAACATTTATGTTTCAGGTATCATCTTTTCTCTGAACGATAAATCCAGCAGCTCAAACCTCAAAATCGACGCCCTGGCATGTCTCCACGTCATCATGGTCACACACCCAGCTCACGCCTTCCACCCTCACGTCCCCGCCCTTGTCCCGCCTGTGGTGGCCTGCGTAGGAGACCCCTTCTACAAGATCACCTCAGAGGCTCTGCTCGTCACTCAGCAGCTTGTGAAGGTGCGAGTCCAAAACCTTTAGGTTTAAAAATTTCTCTCTGAACTCCCACTCGATCCTGACCCGCATTATTTTCCCCTCCTCCAGGTGATCCGACCTCTGGACAACCAATCAGAGAGCTCCGACAGCTTCGACCCCTCCCCTTATATTAACGACCTCTTCACCTGCACAATCAGACGCTTGAAAGCCGCTGATATCGACCAGGAAGTGAAAGAACGTGCCATCTCCTGTATGGGGCAGATCATCTGTAACCTAGGTAACACTACCTGTCAATCATACGCATTGATGTCATCGCACAGTTTCCTGTGTTTCTTACTGGCTGAATTTCTGGCGGTTTAGGAGACCGGCTGCCTGCTGAGCTGCCGGGAACGCTGCTGATCTTTCTGGAGCGTCTCAAGAATGAGATTACCAGACTGACCACAGTGAAAGGTAAGCCCCCCTGGAGTTAGACACCCTGTAGAGAGATGAATGTTGCGACCGCTTGCTTCTCCAGTTATACCAACTTTAGTAACGACCACATGATAGCAATACACAGCGGTCTCAGGAGCCATAAACAAACCTCAACCTAAACGCCACTCTATAGCCACTAATAATGCTCAGAACAGCAACTAACTTCATCAACAGTACATATAGGGTCCCAGCCACAGTATTACCCACCAAACATCTTTTTAGCTTTGCCTAATTTCTTTAGCAAAGAGGCTAAACACGACTCACCTACTCTCTTCCAGCAGCCGCTTGTTTGTGGGGGACGCAGCTCAAGGAAGAAAATTTGTGATCATTTCTTCATGGATACACAATCAGACCGCGTCTGCAGTGCAAAATGATTAATATGGCGATTATTACTTCAAGGAAATGACAAAGAAATAAATTTGTTATAACTAGCGAAGCAGGTGGTCGACAACATTCATCTCTAACTTGGTGTGTTACAGTGTGTTTCACCCAAACTAATTTTACGCCGGAGTATCCCTTCAGTAGTTAGAAACTAGATAGCTGCATTTGCATATGTCGTCTCTAGGTTTTTGTGTCCAGTTCAGTCATACCCTCCAAGTGTCCCTCCTCTTATCTGTGAATATTTACCAAACAAATGAACCTTAAATTAATCCCCTTATGGATGCTTAATGTTGCAACATCTCAGGAGAGTTTGTGTCTGATTGTGACTCCCTGTGGACTTGATGTAAAATTAGACTTCCTTGAAAATTCTGAGTTTTTGCACCCTGGAGGTGAAATTCAGAGTTATGTTTACACGGGCTCAACAGCACGGTCTCTGTGGACTTCATATCTTTACACAAACCATTAAATATATGAATGAAAGCAAACAGAAGTCCAGAGTCAACAGGTTTGATTTTAAATTGAGTGGGGGATAAAGAGGAGCTAGAAAAAACAGTTGTTCTGAGTCTGATTGTTTGAGTTTAACACTCATTTTTTGGGTATCAGGTATAAGCAAACTATGAAAGAGCTTTTTAATTGAGATTATAGCAGCACAATACGTATTAAAACTCTGATACTTGAGTGAAAAAACAAAAAGTTCCTGAGAAGTCGGCTAAAAACAGACGCTCCCCAGAGATTAACTGTCCTGAAGTTTAAAGAGTTTTGTTGTTGTTGTTGTTGTTCCTCTGATATCTAAACTGTGTTGTGTGTGTCTTTTGTCTATTTGTGTTCATGAAGCTCTGACACTGATCGCTGGCTCCCCGCTGAAAATTGACCTGAGGCCGGTCCTACCCGACGCTGTCCCTATCCTCGCCTCCTTTCTTCGCAAAAACCAGCGAGCCCTGAAACTCTGCACGCTGGCTGCTCTGGACATCCTGCTCAGAAACTACAGGTAACACGTGCACACACACACACACACACACACACACACACAGTCACAGTCACACACTCACACTTGTAAGCCTTCAGCCCCGCCCTTTCCCTGTTTTCTTCCTAACACTGTTTATTTCCCAGCTCTGCGGTGACCCCCGTCATGGTGGACGCTGTTCTGGCCGAGCTGCCCCCTCTCATCTCAGAGAGCGACATGCACGTGTCTCAGATGGCGCTCAGTTTCCTCTCCACGCTGGCGGTGACTCACCCATCCTCGCTGGGTCAGCTGAGTGGCGGGAACATCCTGCAGCAGCTCATTGCGCTGGTTCGATCCCCGCTGCTTCAGGGAGGAGCACTTGCTGCTATGCTGGACTTCTACCAGGTAAAAGATCAGCACGGGATTCATTTAGACTTTTTATTTCTTAAGAGCTTTGGAGTAGCACTTAGCATGGCGGGTCCATAAATGTGAGGTTAGAGGACTTAGGAGACTGTGGTTAAGAGCTTTGGGACCCAGGGAAAGACAATCCCTCGGGGAAAGTGTGGCATCTAAACCCCCAAGTGTCTGGCAACTGTTATCACCTGCGTTAGTCATGAAGGCCCTGAAAGGTTGTTAAATAATGCTCCAAGAAATACTTGACTCTAGTTCTTACTTCCTTTAGCTTTAATAATAGCGGTTGAATTATGTGTTCTCTGCGTGTTTGTGTTTAGGCACTGGTTGCCACGGAGACCCCTGGTCTGGGTTACATGGACCTTCTGAGGATGCTGACCGGCCCAGTTTACTCCCAGAGTGCGGCTCTGCCTCACAAACAGGCTTACTGCTCCATCGCCAAATGTGTCGCCGCTTTGACCCGAGCCTGTCCCACAGAGGGGCCCGCTGTGGTCGGACAGTTCATCCAGGTGAGATCACCTGTCTACTTTTCTATCCGTGAGCCTCAGATTAGATCAGAGCCAGAGTTTAAAAGCTTTCTATTCCCGCGCCAACAGGATGTGAAGAACAGCCGCTCCACGGACTCCATCCGGCTGCTCGCTCTGCTCTCATTGGGCGAAGTGGGACATCACGTGGACCTGAGCAGCCAACCAGAGCTGAAGACAGTCATTCTGGATGCTTTCTCCTCCTCCAGTGAAGAGGTAACAGCTGATTTTTCCACCAAGAAGTGATACTCAAATCTAGGACTGTCTGCATCCCACCTTTATCTGCCACATTAAACTAAACAATATGGTGTCTTACGCTTATTTTTCCCCCTTTGTGGCTCATATTTCAGTCAGCAGAGGAGGACATGTAGATACCCACTTGTCACTTTTTGCATTTGTGTCTCAGGTGAAGTCTGCGGCCTCGTATGCATTGGGCAGCATTGCGGTGGGGAATCTTCCGGAGTATCTTCCTTTTGTCCTGCAGGAGATCTCCTCCTCTAAGAGACAGTACCTGCTGCTGCACTCGCTCAAAGAGATCATCAGTGAGAGACAATCACAAACAGTATTTATAAAAAGGTGCATAAAAAAAGTGTGTGTGTTTGGTTTTAATCTGTGTGTGTCTTTTGTAGGTTCGGCGTCTGTTTCCGGTCTGAAGCCGTACGTAGAATCGGTCTGGTCTCTGCTGCTCAAACACTGCGAGTGTCAGGAGGAAGGAACCAGGAACGTGGTCGCAGAGTGTCTCGGGAAACTGACGCTGATCGACCCTGAAACCCTGCTGCCCCGCCTCAAAGGATACCTGCTGTCAGGTAACTTATACCCAGGTTTCAAACTATTAAAACTGAGGGGACAAACTGGGGCCTGGAGTCCTAACTTCAGCTCCTTTAAGCCAATTAAATCAATTCTACTACTTCCTGTATGTTGACAGATTACTTTCAAGTATTTATCTACAATTTTAACGTCATTTTATTGTGACCTTAAGTATTTAACTGGTGATTGATATGAATGATGTACTTATTGATCATAAATTTTTGTTTTTGCATGTTTAGGTTCGTCGTACGCCAGGAGCTCAGTAGTAACAGCTGTGAAATTCACGATTTCTGACCAGCCGCAGCCCATCGACCCCCTACTTAAGAACTGCATAGGTAAACATGAATACCACTTTTTTTATTGATGATCTGTAACTAGCATTAATGATTGACTTTTTGCAGTGTCTCTTTAGAACATGAATATTTACTAAATGTCTCCCAGACCTTTTAGTTAAGGTCTTGTTTCTTGTCTGCATTTCTGTGTTTTTTTGCATTTGAAGTACGAGTTGTCCCTGAAACGACCCCCTACATGGATTAATAGAGCTGCTTGAATCAAATATGGGACTAAGTGTGCCTTTGTTTTCCCCTTGAGGTGATTTCCTGAAGACACTGGAGGACCCAGACCTAAACGTACGCCGTGTCGCCTTGGTAACGTTTAACTCGGCGGCCCACAACAAACCTAGTCTGATCCGAGAGCTGCTGGACTCGGTTCTACCACAGCTATACAATGAAACCAAAGTGAGAAAGGAGCTGATCCGAGAGGTAAGAAGGACCACAGATAAACAAACACAGCTGCTGTACACTAAACGGTAAACAGATCAGCTGATGGTGTTTGTGTGTTTAGGTGGAGATGGGTCCATTCAAACACACGGTGGACGACGGTCTGGACTTGAGGAAGGCTGCATTCGAGTGCATGTACACTCTGCTGGACAGCTGCCTGGACCGACTCGACATCTTTACCTTCCTCAACCATGTAGAGGACGGACTGAAAGACCACTATGACATCAAGGTATGACAACAACAAAAAAAAAAAAAGATTCACAGACACCTTATAAAACGTGGCTCTGTAAAATATGAGTAAAAATAGAGTTTAATGGTGTTAAAATCATTGAAACTCTACATTTAATTGATGGTGCCAGCAATACATGCTAGATGTTTTCATTGGATGATAAGTCAGGACTGCAGACAGGCCACTTTAGCAGCAGGACTCTTCCACTACAGAGCCATGCTGCTGTAATACCTGCAGAATGTGGTTCGTCATTGTCTCACTGAAATAAGGTCTTCCCTGATAAAATCATTGTCTGGATGACAGCACATGTCACTCCTAAACCTGCATATGTTGTTCAGCATTAATGAAACCTTCACAGATGAGTATTCTCTGCAGTTTTGTTTCATGTTTGTTGTTGTTGTTCTTGTTGTTGTGTTAGATGCTGACATTCCTGATGCTGGCCCGGCTGTCATCTCTGTGTCCCAGCGCTGTTCTGCAAAGATTGGACAGACTGGTGGAACCACTGAGAGCCACCTGCACAACCAAGGTTGGGAGACACACTTAACACAACACATGCTACACAACACATTGTGTAGCCAAAATAAAAGAAACGGTCAAATTTGGTTTGTGGGGGACTGGCCATACCAACCCGAGAAATGTCCAATCTCGTCTGATCTCGGAAGCTTAGCAGGGTTGGGCCTGACTGAAGACTTTTCCTGGGGAAAGTCCCGCCTCCTTCGCCTCTGATTGGCTAGAAAAGCTGGAAAAGTCATCACACGCTCAAGCCAAACAGTCAGCACTTACAGCCAATCAGAGGCGATAAGATAAGCACATGAAACTATGGTAACAACCGTTAGCTTACGTTAGCACAGATGAAAGTTATAACAAAGGCGTTTAGCAAACTGTTAAAACACACAAACTATCATCATATGAGAGATCCGACGCTATGTTGTCCTTCAGGTCGTTATCTTTGTAATGTTTGTGTCTTTTATCATAAAGTACTCTGTTCTGCGACACGTAAACAATCAGCCACTCTGCCATGTTGGATATACCGATGAATCAGACGTCGCAACAACACGCAATCTGATTGGTCAGAAGTGGACACACAGTATGTGAAACTTTAGAAAAATCAACCGTGATCCAAAAAAAATATATGCCGCAATAACGCAGGATGGGAAAACGTTGTTGATGTGAACGCTTGTATTGACGGGTTACGGGTTTGAAAAAAATATTGACGTCCAAAATAATCGCACAAAAAAACGGTCCCGGTGTGAAAGGACCTTTTAATAAAGAAATAGCGATATAAAAACCGAGCTCTGGATTGATTTTCGAGTAAGAGTGTCTTCTGTCTCTCCACAGGTGAAAGCCAACTCTGTGAAGCAGGAGTTTGAGAAGCAGGATGAGCTAAAGCGATCGGCGATGCGAGCTGTGGTGGCGCTGCTGACGATCCCGGAGGCTGAGAAGTCGCCGCTGATGTCAGAGTTCCAGTCCCAGATCTCGTCAAATCAGGAGCTGGCAGCCATCTTCGACTCCATCCAGAGGGACTCCAGCTCCGCCAACGTGGAGTCCATGGACACCAGCTAAAGAGATGGACTCAAAAGATTCCCACGATGCAACACGGCACCACCCGCTGCTGGAGCGCTAACCCCGCAGCATGTTTCCATGACAACAGGACGTAAATACACACGCACACACATACATGACAAAAATACACACACACTTGTAGTGACACACCCTCTCCTAGCGATCGATCGTTCCATGATGCATTGCACTGAATTCAGCGGTTGGAAGAGAACGGAAAAGGACTGATGTACGGCAAACACACACAGACAAAATGGACAAAAACAAGAACAAAAAAAATTATTCCAGAAAAATATGTTCCATACGAAGCTTGGAAGCTCCTTCCACTTCCTGTTTCTTTTACTAGCGAGGTTGTCTGATTGGCCAATCTCCTTGTTCATCTACATTCTTTTTTTCTTTTTTTTTTTTTTTTTTGTTTCTTATAATTTCTTTTAAGTTACTAGAAAGTTCCACAGGTACTGTTACCTGATTGGCCGCTGCTGAGTGACTAACAGTTGGCGTGTTAAACTGACCAATGGGAAAATGGCCTTTCCTGCCTAAGGCTGAGGTGACCAATGGGAGAGGGGCTCACTCTGTTTTTTTGCGAATGATAAAGGAAACTGAAAGGATGCTCTGGGGTGATGAGAGGTGGGCGGGGTTTTACTGTTTGTGGACCAATCAGATACTTTGTTTTCCCATGGTTCCCTGGTGAGGGAAAAGGAGAGCTTGTAGGACCAGGTTCAACCTGACCAGACCTGATTGGAAGATATTGAAGACCTGTGTGGCTGTTGCTATGGTAGCACAGCGTGTGTAAAATTATGTAACAATATTCCTGATAGGCTGGTGGGCTGTTATGAACTGGTTCAGGCCGGTCATTACTGGTTTGGTATTGTGTTCTAGTCTAGTTTTATTTGGTGAAACACGGTCCAGTCTGGTTTAATCTGGTTCAGTCCGGTCTGGTCAGGATTATCCACTGTTGTTTATTGCCCAAGAAAAAAATAAAAAGGTCCATTTCTGCCTGCCTTCATACTCTGATCTCTGTCGTTTTTCTTTCCAAGTGTTTTACCTTCAAACCAAAAGGTTTTTCAAATGTTTAAAAAGTGTCTGAAACCAGGTACCATCTGGAACTTTGGTAGGAATATCCAGAACTGCTTTTTTAAGCCCTGATCCTGATCCAAGTTTTCTAACATATGTCTGTCAAGGTCCAATCTAGTACTTGTGTTGCTTAGATTATAGAACTGCACTCATTTTTTGGTTAAAAAAACAACTAAAGTAACTCTGAAAACTAACCTCGAATTAGGGTGACATACAAACTTGATCAGTGGTCCCCAACTTACGATCCTGGATGCCCCAACTTAATGTTTAAAGGAAGAGCAGAACCTGCTCCATGGCCCTCAAAAAATGATGCATGTCTTTCAGAAAATTAATTTTAGTGTTACCAAAATAAGAGAAGGAAAAAAACAACCTTTTAAAGGCAGAACTATCCAAATTATTCAGTAACTCTGCCATTAGTCTGTGTGTCCCCCCCTAATATTGCTGGCCCACATATTTGGGACCAGTGTCCAGATCAAAATACTAACAAATCATGCTGCACTATGACCTGCTATCTGTGTGCTGTGCTTATCGACTGTACATCAGATTAGTACCACAAGAGGGCGCCACAGCTCAGTTTATACAGCCAACAGCTCACACTACAATGTACAGCAACAGTGCAGACTGACATAAGGAGACATTCTGCCCTCAGTTTTGTCATAAGGCACCCAAAATTGCAAACAATTGACACAAATGTTTTAACTTGTTTTTAACTCAGTTTTTTTCAGATTTTTTTTTTACCCCAGAGGCTAAATTCAGGGCTTGACAACTTTTTGCCTTTATCTTAAATAGAAGTAATTAAAAAATAGACCTCAGTCAAATATCTTACAAATTCTTTGGCTTACTGAGTAATGCCCTGAATTTTTGTTGTCAGGCATTAAAAAGATGCTGAATGTTTAAAAAAAGCTTGATTTCTAAGTTTAGATTGAGGCCTTAACAACAGTTGGCCCTGAGCTCAGTCTGTCAGGCATTGAAGGAAAATTTCCCCCTAACCAGACATTATCAAAAGTTCTTTACCGAACTTCATTCAGGTTCCTTTGCCCTGAGTTTGGTCCCTCGGGCACCCAAAACTGTAACAAATCAAATGTTTTTTCAAGTCTGAAAGCAGAGTTTGACTTTTTGCCCTGAGTTGATTCTCTCAGGCAAAAAGGAGAAGTTTTTTTTTTTTTATGTGACCATCATGGTCTACTGGGTTGTTACCAGCCTTATCTACAGATATAAGATATAGGGCACAAACCTTCCTCTGTTGATCACCAGACTGGGCTCTGATTGGCCCCTCAACCACAGGGAAACTCGTTAAAGTACAAATAAAACCGAGTGACGCCGGCTCCTCTGGTCTCCTAGCAGCAGCTGAATTGATGAGTTTGTATTACAGCCTGGCTGATCATTGACATGCTGATGATTTTTCCTCTTTGAGGTTCTCTAATGTATTCTGTCCTGAAGGACTGAAGCTGCAGACTGAGACTTTCTGACACGGTGTCTTTGAACAATGCAGAGAGTAAAATCTAATCAGGAAAAGTGATGGAAATCAGCGATTAAGATTTTATGTCAGAAAATTCTCTTAAATCTGCAACCTCCCTCACTTAATTTGAATTTCTGGATCAATTTTATCTATTAGACCCACAAATTAACTAAAAACAGCTGTGAAATATGATGCATTTAATGTCATTGATTATTAAGCTTAGCTACAGTTGACGTTTGTAAGAGTAAAGCCTCTGTGTAACGAAGTATTTACAGTGAAGCTAAGACTCATCACAAGAAGATGAACAAGAGCTACTGATTAAAGCAAAAAAAGACCCTGAGGATTCACAGGAACATCAGTTTTTCCCACATTTAAACCACTAAATGTAAGCCATAAAGAAGCCCCTAAACTTACAATCCACAGCACAACTGAGACTCACCCCGGACAGAAACAGGGACGCAACTGTGAGAGATGTAATTAACAGAGAAATTACAAAAAGCTGTGTTTCCCAAGACCAAACTGCCTTAATAAGCCTGAGATTGGCGTCTGTGTTACTTTCTTTTTTTACAGTGAAACTGTGACGCACCAAAATTGACAGGTGCTGCTTCAAGGGATAACAAAGAGATTATACAAAAATCAGTTACATTTCAGTATAATACCATTACATTAGCCTGAGGGAATCTCTTGTGTGACCTCGATTTTCCACTGAAACTGAGACTCGCCACTTAAAGATGAATCGGTGCCATTGTGAGAGACATAACAAACTGAGAACTCAAAAGAAGGTCACTTCTTTTTGAGGTTTACAACCTGAAAGTAATCCAGTGTGAGGCCTGTGTATAAACTTACCATTTACAATGAAACTGAAACTCACCACAGACAGATATACAGCTCTCTGTATAAAAATATAATTTCTGTATTTTTAGGTTAACACCATAAAAGTATGCCAGAGTGAAGCTTCTGTGTTAACTTGCATTTCCAGTGAAACTCAGACTAACCACAGATATGCAGACATGGAGTAAACCCGTGGTATAGTTCTCCTTTCACAGTAAAACTGAGACTTGGCAGAAACAGATGTGAAGTGTCACTTCAAGGGGGGAACTAATAAAGACATCACAAGAAAATTAGATCATTTATTAGGTTCAAACCTCTAAATTAAACCAGAGTTGAGCCTCAGTGTTACTTTTACCAGTGAAGCTGAGACTTACCACAAACAGAACAGGCACCAATCTGAGTTAAAACAGAAGCATAACAAAAAAATGTGTACCTTTTTCGTGTTTATGATTGTAAAAGTATGCCAGAGTTGGACCTCTGCGTTCTTACTTTTTACAGTGAAACTGAGACTTGCCACAAACCGATGAGCTTGAGATACTGGAGGGCTGAAAAAACTGAGGAAATTATGTTTGCTTCACATGTTCAACATATTATTAAAATGATGAGTCTTGTTCCTGCTTCCTCTTATGTGACCAAAATCATTGTTTAAGGTCAAAATGCTTCTAAACTCCATTTAATAGGGTTATAAAGCTTACTCCACAGTCAGTGTGTGTGACAAACATCAACATCATGTTTATAAAAAGCTCATCAGTGTGAAACAGCTCCATATGTATGGCTGTTACCGTGGCAACATGTGATTTCGGGATGTGCTGTCTCCATAGATATAATGATCTAGGTTCTTACATACATCTAGTGATGCTTTTCTTGGACACATCCTCAGTGATAGTGCCTGAGCTCATCGGGGGTTTCGGGTCTTTCAACTTCAGACCCCCTCACTCAGGTGACCCGACCGGGGTGATCAGTTCCCGGCCCGTGTCCAAGAAGCACTCAACCACTGCTTATCCCTCTGGATCCACAGCCATTGCGAGGCTCTCTCTGCAGCCTCAGAGGCTGTAGAGATGGCTCTCCTCTTCCGTGCCCCTGTGATGCCCAGGAGACTGTAGGCCTTGCAGAGTGATTTCCCTGCAAAGCCTCTTCCCCCCACCTCAATCGGTAGGCATCGTGCACGCCACCCCCGTTTGCGGCACTCCTCCACCAGCTCTGCATATTTCTCTCTCTTTCTCTCACTTGCTTCTTCCATTCTCTCCTCCCACGGCACTGTTAGCTCCAACATGATGACTTGCTTGGATGTCTCTGAGACTAGGACGATGTCTGGCCTAAGTCTGGTTTCCACAATGTTTTCAGGGAATTTCAGTTGTTTTCCCAGGTCCACCCTTAGCTGCCAGTCCTTCGCTGTTCCCAGGAGGCCTGACTGGGCTTTAGGTCGGGGAGGTGGTTGATCTCCGGCTCTTACAAAGGAGATTTCACGCCTTGATGGTTGTAAGCGTTTGCTCTGGAAGATGGCAGTGTTGATGGACTCAGCAACCGCCTTCAGCACACGATCATGGCGCCAGCGATAGCGGCCTTCACCAAGTGCTTTAGGACAGCTGCTGAGGATGTGCTCCAGGGTTCCTCTTCCTTGGCACAAGGGACATGCTGGAGTTCCAACCTTGCCCCAACAGAAGAGGTTCGATGGGCTGGGCAGGACATCATAGACAGACTGAATGAGGAATTTAATGCGGAGGGGTTCAGCCCTCCACAGCTCGTTCCACGAGATTTTTCTGTCTGTGGCTTCCTCCCATCTGGTCCATGCGCCCTGTTGCCTCAATCCCACCCACTGGCTTGCACGCTGCTCTTCAATTCCGGCCCTCACCTCGAGCTGGACCTGGTCCCGCCTCTCCTTGCCCTTGAGCTTGTTGTACCGGGTTGTTGGAATGGTTCCCAGTCCTGCACGGCCGGCAGCCACCGATCCCACGAGGTCTCTGTGGCACAGCCGTGATTCTGCCTGGTCCACAGCCTCCTTCGCTCTCCACTTTCTGCCAGTCCTCACCTCAATTCCTGCTTGGGAAACCTTTGGGTCCTTGGATTCCCTGTACTGGAGAACCTCCCTCGCTCTGGCAACCATGAACTCCTCGGTGAGGCTGTTTATGGGGAGAGTCAGCTTGTTCTTGTTGCCGTAAAGGGCGATGCTGCTTAGGCTTCTAGGCAGACCCAACCATCGTCGCAGGCGGCTGCTGACCCTCCTCTCAAACCCTTCCACAGTGGAGATGGGAAACTCATACACCAGCAATGGCCACAGAATCCTAGGCAGGATGCCATGCTGGTATACCCACGCCTTGAATTTCCCCGGAAGACCTGACTTGTCGACTGTGGTCAGCCAACTCTCCAGCTGTTCGTTGGTCGCCCTGATGGAAGCGGCATCCTTTAGGGAGCAGTCAAAGGTTTTTCTGAGGCTCTTCACGGGCTTCTCTGTGACTGATGGAATGTGGGTACCCCCTAGAGAGAAGTGGAACCGGTCAGTCACCTTCCCTCTCTTCAGGACTAGAGACCTGGATTTTTCAGGCTTGAAGCGCATCCGGGCCCAGGTGGTCAGCCTCTCCAAGCCCTGGAGAATCCATCTGCATCCTGGGACTGACACTGTTGTTACTGTCAGGTCGTCCATAAATGCTCTGATGGGGGGCTGACGGATTCCGGACTTGGATTTGGGGCCTCTGCACTCCGACTCGGCAGACTTGACCAGCATGTTCATGGCCAGGGCAAAGAGTATCACTGAAATGGTACATCCAGTGATGATCCCTTTCTCCAGTCGATGCCGTCCAGATGTAACTGTGCCGGAGGTGAACCTCAAGTTGAAGCTGTTGTAATAGTCCATGATGAGGACTTTGATGTTGCCAGGGACATGGTGCCTCTCCAATGCCACCTCCACTAGCTTGTGAGGTATAGAGCCGTACGCATTGGCTAGGTCTAGCCATAGTACAGCTAGGTCTCCTTTCCCCTCTCGAGCATCCCTGATCAATTGTGTCACCACGCCACTGTGTTCAAGGCAACCCGGAACCCCTGGGATTCCCCCTTTTTGCACCGAGGGGTCGATGTACTGGTTCTTCAGGAGGTAGTCTGACAGCCGGTGGGAAAGAATACTGAAAAATATCTTCCCCTCGACGTTAAGCAGTGAGATGGTTCTAAACTGCTCGATGGTGGTTGCCTTCTCTTCCTTTGGAACCCATACCCCTTCTGCAGATCTCCATTGTTGGGCAACTGTCCCCCTCCTCCAGATCACCCTCAGGATCTTCCACAGACGGTGCAGGAGCTTGGGGCATCTCTTGTACACTAGGTAAGGTACACCATTGGGTCCAGGTGCCGAGTTGTTTCTAGCAGCCTTGACCACCGTCTGGACTTCTTTCCAGCTGGGAACCTTGGTGTTTAATTCAGTGGCTGGTACAGGTGGGTTGATTAGAGCTCTGCATTCACCTAGGTCCTCCTCCCGGGCTGCATCACTGTAGGTGTCGTGAAGGTAGGTGTCTACCTCCTCCTTTGAGCATGTGAGATGGCCGCTGCGCTTCTGGCCTAGCAGCTGTTTGGTGAACCCAAAAGGATTCGCTAAGAATGCAGCGCGTCTTTTGGCTCTCTCCCTAGCCCGCCTTCTATGCCACTCTGCTCGGCGGAGGGTCAGCAGCCTCCTCCTAAGGACACCACGTAGTTCTGCCAGTCCTGGCTTCTCATCCTCACTTGCACCCTTGAACTGCTTCTTCAGGTCTCGGAGTTCCTGTCGTAGCTGTGAGATCTTTTCTGCCCTGCGGTTCTTGTAGTACTGGTTTGTGGTAGCACGCTTCTCCATTGATCCGAATCTTTCAGTGGCGATGCTGATGATCATGGTAGCCATTGTTTGGAGTTTCCCGTCTGGCCCTCCTTTCAAGGTAGCTTCCAGGATTCCATCCACGTCATCATCGAATTGCTGCCACTCACTCCCTTTGCTGGCTGGGGGCCACTTAACCCGCCGGTGGTGTTGTGGGATGACTGGCGTTTGGGCTTCCAGGGCACGGAGGTTCTGGGCACTGTGGGTTGACTCCTGGCCCGGGTCCTCCTGCGTCTCACCAAGGACCTCTGGAGCACATGGGTTCTGGGTGCTGCGGGTTTCTTCCCGCCCCGGTTCCTCCTGCGTCTCTTTGAGGTTGATCCTTGAGCGCTGCTCTGGCTGCCTATTCACCAAACAGCCCATCTTGGTCTGGTGGATCTTCAGACCCTTTGGGTTTTTGCAGCTCTTTCCGCATACACATACAGCATTCGTTGTCGATTGTCCGTTTGCGCTGGTCGTTGCCTGGTTGTCCGTCCGTTCGGGGTGCTCATTCTCCCCCCCTCTCGGGCTCCCCTGGGGGTATGTTTCTTTAGGGCTTTTTGTAGCTGAGTTTGGGTTCTTCCTCACGGAAGTTGCAGGTCGGGTTGCTGGCCCTTCCTGTCCCGGTTGCCGTCTTTCCGTGCTGTCTGCTGTCTCTCCAAGCTGTCACCACACTATTCATGGTCGTCAACCAGTCTATTCCTGGACGTCACTGGCCTAGCCAGAATGACATGGTTCTTACATACATCTAGTGATGCTTTTCTTGGACACATCCTCAGTGATAGTGCCTGAGCTCATCGGGGGTTTCGGGTCTTTCAACTTCAGACCCCCTCACTCAGGTGACCCGACCGGGGTGATCAGTTCCCGGCCCGTGTCCAAGAAGCACTCAACCACTGCTTATCCCTCTGGATCCACAGCCATTGCGAGGCTCTCTCATAACACCGCATCTCATCTCATAAAAGACAAAACTTATCATTGAGTTCAGTCGAGAAAAATAAGTTTATCCTCATTTTCTGATGATAAGTAAGGCCAGGATTATTTTAACATTAATGGTATTTTCAGAATAAAACAAAACATTCACTTTCAATTCAAACATCTGAACTCAAATAGATGCATTTTTACTGGTTTTCTATAGTGTTAATGTTAAAAATGTATGTCTTTGCATTGACTTTACATGTCAAAAATATACGTTACTTTTTGCCAGACTACAAACCAAAGATGTTGGACATAACTTAAAAAAATGAAATATTAGACATTATTCTGTTTGTTTTTAGCAGAATAGAATAATTTATCTTTTAGTCAGCACATTTTATTCTTAAAAAAAACAGAGGAAGTTTGAGAGTATGTAAGAAGGGGAAGCTGGTTGGGTGGGGGTGACTCTATTCTGGGTGACTCTTTCCTGTTAGGGTGTGGCTTCACAAGACTGTAGTAAACACTGTACAGAGTTTGTGTGTGTGTGTGTGTGTGTGTGTGTGTGTGTGTGTTTGTGTGTGTCCAGGCGTGTTTCCATCAACACGCTCAAACATGCTCGGCTGCGTCTTGACTAACTCACACATACATTTAAACTCGTGTGGTTTTTGATCTTTACAGGTTACCTCAGGACTCGCTCAGCCAATAGGAAATGACAAGATGGTGATACTTGGAGTAAAAGTGTGCATCACACAGAGGCAGGAAATATAAGGATAAAGTGAAGACATTACAAAAATAAAGTTGTTACGAGTCCCAAGACGAAGTCTGAAGAAAATAAGGTTAAAATATTTGGGGAATTTAGTCTGAATATGACATGAATAAAGTAGTGAGACACTAATGTAATATCATGATACTACAAGAATAAAGTCACATTCTTAAAGTCACACAAGTTTGTATTATTTCTCAACAATGCCGCTAAAGCCGTACATCACCAACACCCTAAAATACTTTGTTGTAAAAGAGTGCGGGACACTCAGACTGGCCTACCTGCTGATCAGACCTACAATATCTCCCATTGAAAATATGTGGTGCATTATGAAGCGCAAAATACCACACCAGAGACCCCGGACTGTTGAGCAGCTGAAGTCAAGAATGGGAAAGAACTCCACCAACAAAGCTTCAACAATTTGCACCTCAGTTCCCAAATGCTTGATGAGTGTTGTTAAAAGGAAAGGTAAGGTAACAGTGACCCTGTAACTGCTTTTTAAAATTGTGTTGAAAGCCTTGAAATAATAAAAAAAGAATGATTATTTGAAAAAAAAACAAAAAACATTACATATCTTGTCTTTGCAGTTCCTTCATCCATCCATCCATCCGTCCATTTTCTACCACTTATCCCCGTTCCCAGGGTCGTGGGGAGCTGGAGCCTATCCCAGCATCTTCAGGTGAAGGCAGGGGACACCCTGGACAAGTTGCCAGTTTATCGCAGGGCTGACATATAGAGACAAACAACCATCCACGCTCACATTCACACCTACGGGCCATTTTGAAAGTGGCCAAAGAACCTAACTCCACTTCTGCATGTTTTTGGGATGTGGGAGGAAACGGGAGTACCCGGGTCAAACTCATGCAGACACAGGGAGAACATGCAAACTCCGCACAGAAACACCCTGACCTGGATGGATTCGAACCCAGGACCTTCTTCCTGTGAGGCAACAGTACTAACCACTACATCACTGTGCTGCCCACACTGTCTTCAATGGGTGGAAAATAATGTTTGCAAATCATTGTATTCTGTTTTCATTTAAGCTTTACATAACAACCCAACTTTATTGGAATCATCTTTAATCAAATTTAACAACTTCCATCTCTAATGACTTTATTTCTAGAAAAATACAAAGAAAAATTTTAATCCATGAGTATATTGTCTGATACTTTACTGGAATGAACTCATATATCAGCCTATTCTGTCACAAAGTCAACTTTTTTTGTATAAATGGTTTAACAGTGTAACTAAACAAGCGAATTAAGCAAATTAAATGCAGTACAAAAACAATATGGTAATTTGTTCTAGTTCTTTAAAATTATAAAGTAAAAATCAATTGTAAAACATAATTTAACTCAAAGTTTAAGTGAACAGAACCGTCTTCAGCTTTTGCACTTTAGCAGGAAGCGGGAAGCAGCTGAGAGCGAGCCTGAAACGTCACATAAAAAAAAGTCTAACCAAAATATGATAAAAAGAGAGCGAAACAGGAAGTTAATGTAGATAACCTTCAAAATAAAAGTACAATGTTATTGCGTTTCGTGCAGATAATAAGGTATTGTTGTTTTGTCCGAACATGATTAAAACGGTGTCTGTGTATATAAAAAGTTTGAAGTTGTGTAAAACAGAAACGCAAAATAAGCCTTTACTCGAAGGGGCTTAACTGAAACATTTTTTTTAGTTTCCTCTTTGTTCCACAGCTCTCTGAATTTAATTGATCAGAGCTCCAGTTATTAAAACTGTTTTTCTTTGTTGTTCTTTTTTTTTTTTCACTGAAGATTTTCTAAGAGAGGTTTCAGATTGTTGGACTTTTTTGGACATGAAATAAGCTGCTTATTTTAAATAAATTAATAGAACAAATTAATTTCAACCAAAAATTGTTTTACAGGTGGCTACAGTTAATGGCTTGATTTAAATGTTTGAGCAGGCAACACTTTGTGTAAAGAGTATTGTCGCCATAGACTGTATATATTATGGACAACTTGGTTCCGCCTTCTGCCAGTATACAGATTTGGAGCAGAAAAGCTCTCGGTAATTCCGCATTTTCTCTCCATTTCCTGAAACCAACATTGCGCAGTAGCGATGTGCGCATTCGGCGAGAGAGTCGCCGAGAGTTACTGTGATGATGCTCAGCTCAAACAGCGTATCCCCTGGTGAGCTACGCAATCTTCGTACGCCGATAGGCTGTATCAGGCGTCAATCATAGAAAACATGAACCCCCTAATAACTTTTAAAAACTACATGTTAAGATCACAACCAGGGTGGGGGAAAAATTTATAGGTTTGTCCAGAGCCCTATAAGCTTTGCTGGCGGAGGCGAGATTTATGACCTGTACTGCAGCCTGTCACCAGAGGGTGCTGTTCTCGGAGTGGCTTCACCCAGCGAGGAGGCAGACGGTGTCCGTTCTATATACAGTGTGTGATTGTCACACAAAACAGTAAAGCTTTTTAGTGTTTTGTTTCCTAAAATTCGTTACCAGAATATGTTCTTTATATCAAATTGACCCAGACATTTTTATCATGAAAAATATCTGGTATTTACTGGTTGCGAATATAAATAACAATAAAAAAGAATCTAAAATGATATACAGCTTTTACTCTTAATTGAGTTTAATCACCTTCAATTTTTCCCTACATGAAAATTAATGAATTACTCAAGTTATGGTTATTTGACTGTTGAAAGCGTTAATAAAAATGTTCATATTATGGACAACACGGAAATTCCATCTTGTTTTTCACCTTATTTTGAAAGTCTTGACAGGAAACGCTGGAGTTCAACCCTTCCAACTTTACGTCTACGCGCAGCGGCAGCAGGAGGGAGCGGCTCTGGTAGAGCGACATCCACAGAGAGTGTGAAAGAGAGAGAGAGAGAGCAGTGGAGCGGACGGGTGGATGACTGTGAGTACCGCTTCCTTTCTCTCTTTTCTCTCTTTTCTTTATTCCTTCGCTTTTTCTTTCTTTTATCCCTTTCCTCCATTATGTTAACTCAGCTTTACCCGGGTCAGATCTTGACAGGGGCGAAAGCGAAGGGGGACAGGCCGTTGCCGAGTCGAGTCGAGCTGGGTTGGGTTTGCGGAAGCGACCGGCGGACAGACAGACGGACGGACAGACTGGAGCACCGTTAATGATAATACTATTGATATTACACACACATAGACAGCTGGGTAACAACATGGCGGGCGTGTGTCTGTCTCTCCGTCTGTTTCACGCCGCATAGGTCTTTGAGATCCGGCTTTCAGTTTGTCTCCAGTCTCCCAGGCAGCGGGGCCTCTTGCCAGAACTGGCCGGGTGAGGGGCGTTCAGAGACGGTCACAGAGCTGCGGAACTCCCGCTACTCTGTCGGAGGAATAAGAGGGGAAGAAACTTATTACTGACTGCAGAGTTGGGGAGTTCGGAGTCATTTATCTGCCTCTTTCTCTGTCTGTCTCCCTGTCTGAATACCTGTCTGTCTCACTCCAGTCTATAGACAAGGATTGGTTTTATTCCTCTGCTGTTGTACTGTCAGCAACACACACTTAGTTACACACACACTCACACACACCCACACACACTCTGAGTATTGACAGGCCCCACCTAGTTCTGGTTGACTCAGGGATCTGTGTGTTTGTGTGTCCATCTTTCTCCTCCACCAACTTTACTTTAGAAGATTAACATCGTGCTGCATTCAGTGCCAGTTGGAAAAAGCAGAACTACACAATGAGCATCATAAATTGGGTAAAACACAAGAGTATCTGAGGAGGGGTTTCAATCATTAGAGAACTAATAGTGTACAGGGAACCGCATTAAAGCATAAAAAGTTCAATCTTGGGATTCTCACAATTTTATGGGTCAAGAAAAAAGGATCTTTACACCTTATAACCGTATTAACCCCTTTGCATCCCCCATTCTTTTTTTTCATGATGCAAATGTGCACAACAGACAACAGATTAATGATTCAGAAATAAGCAGAGTATTTTATTATTTGAGGATACTCTTTAAAAGAAATGTGGATGTTAAAGAAGCCACATGGTAAATTTTATGAAATTTTCTCATCTAGTGGAGAAATAAAAAACATTTTGTTCTTAAAAGGCACTCTTACGAAGCCTTATACAGGAATTTTTCAGGATCTGCCATATTTGTAATTGCTTAAAAAGACAACTCAGAGACATCTCTGAAAAGAAACACACAATATTGTGCTGTAGAATTGTGCATTTTTCTGTGTTTTCATTTGGTATCATTTTGTGGCCCCTCAGATTGATGTATATCTGAGTCTATCTGTGTTCATATTTATCAATATAACTTATTACCTTATCAAATAAAACATGTTGTACAAATCCTGTCACGACCTCTGCCTGACAGTCTGATGAAGCTCTTTAGTTGAGCTTGTAATGATCATAAGAGGGGCTATTATTAGAGGAGTTTTGATGCATTATTAATACACAATACAGTGATTTAGACACTTATTTGTTCCAGCTTTATGATGTAAATATTTTCTGCAGTTAACCATCGTAATGATTTCAGCTAAACTTAACCCTTTGGATGAACACACCTGGAAACTAGAGCACCTTTGGACATTTTATAGCTGTTTTCTGGCTTTTAAGACTAAACCATTCATTAAATCTTCTAAATGGTCTGACAGATATATTCATGAAATGAAAAGTTGTAAACTGTAACCATACAGCTGTTTTAAGTGGGTCTTGATCTTCTATAGCTTCTTAGTAGAGCTTGAAATGTTAGTTTGATAAGGTCACAATCTTTGGTTTGGTACTGTTTTGAATATATAATTGGAAAAAATTGTCAAGTAAATCTAATCAAAAATCATTCTTTCTCTGCTTTTTGGTCCCTCTTTGTTGTTGAAAATTGAAATTAAATATTTTGGACAAACAAAACCAGGAACTCAAACAATTCTGTTGAGACACAGATTTATTTTTTTCCCAAATGTTTGACTAAAGAAAACCCAGAAAATATTACAAATTGTTCAGTTTACAAACGAAAACTGAAAATCCTAATTGGACTAAAATTGAAACAACAGTGCAGCAAATTAGCATGAAACTTCCTCAATCTATCTTTAACTTGTTTTGGGTAAACTTAGGTGTAGTTTGCTGTAACAAAGGAGGAAGTTCAATGATCAAAGTGCTACTTATAAAGTCAAAACGTCACAGGTTTTATTACCAGAGTCTGAAGCTCTACTTACCCTTTGTAGCTCCTTGTTTTGGATCTGTTGGCATGATCAATACCTCATTCAATCTGAGTGTTTTCTTCTAAAAAAGTAGTGAACAGTCATTTCAAAGAAGCAAAATGGCTGTATTCTGTCAGGACGGGGGTGGGGACCAAAAAAGAGCAAAAAGTGAAAAAATATTTATAGACTGAGCTCTGTTTGGGGGCTCATGTCACCTGTGTCTTCATAATGTGAGCTTTTTTTAAAAGAATTTTAGCAAAAATTTAACCAATAACAGCTTAATAGTAAGGTAGTAATATAACAAGGTTATGTGCCTTTGCTGCCCCGAGGGGCCATAAAATGAATTAGAGCAGATTTAAAAGTAAATATAGATATTTGTTTTTGTATGCTCTGGATAAAAGAAGATGACATCAGTTCAGTTTTTGGTTGAGCCAGAACTTTAATATTAAAGGTGAATATCCAGGTGCTGGTCCCCCTCAGGTGTAAAAGTGGGAGGAGCCAAAAGAATGGCCTCTTCGTTTAGATAAACTTTTAAGAGAGTTGGGTCTTCTACTTTGAGCTCATCATCTGGCAGACACATTTTCTTTTCATTGGCCTCGCCTGCTTCTTCTTCTTCTTCTTCTCCTTCTTCTCTCTCCCCTCTCTGACTTCCGTGAATCTCTGAACTCGTCCTGACTTGTTGCATCAAGCGTAAGTGAGAGTCATGAGGTGTTCCTGTTCAGACCTTCAGGCAATGAAATCTAAAACTTGTGATGCATTCACTTGCTATAGGAAAGTTAAAACTCCTTCCTTCCTTTTTTTTTTTTTAAACCAGGTCTACTATTCATCTTGTGTAACAGGATTACAGTGGAACACAGATATCACATTATAAACGCAGATGTCTTGAAGAAAGACCACCAGCAGCCAAAAATTTTTAAAACTCTATATTGTGGCTGTAGAGCTTGGACTACTTCATTGTTTGTTTAAGTTATTTTTAGTAAGGTGTTAAATCTTTATTCTAGGACGTTTGAGATGTCTATCAGGGCATTACATTGTATCTCTAGAACATTATAGGTGTTCATTTGGGTGTTAAATTGGAGTTCCAAAGCACTTAAGTTTTTTTCTTGACGGAGTTAAAATGTAGTTCTAGAAGACTTAAGGTTTTCATAGGCTTGTTACATTGTAGATCTATAACATTTACAGTGTTTTCAGGGTGTTATGTTGTAGTTATAGAACATCTAAGGTGTTTGTATGGGTGTTACATAGTGAATTCGAGATCAGTTAAGGTGATTTTTGAGGCGTTGCATTGTGTTTGCTAGGGTGTTATAATGTCATTCTAGCGAATTTAAGGTGTTGGCCGGGGGGTGTAACTTTGTTGTTCTAAAACATCTAAAGTGTTTTTTAAGGCGTTAGATGGTAATTCTACTGCCAGAGTGTTACATTGTAGAACACCAAGTGTTTGATATGATATTTATGATGTGAAGTACCATAACATATTATATAACATTGTAGTTCTTGAATGTTTTAAGATGTCTGCCAAAAAGTCACACTGTTCTATTCATATGTTACAGGGTTTGGCCAGGAAGCTACATTGTAGATGTAGAATATCAAAGTAACTACTAGAATTAAGTCTTCGTGTGTCTGCTAGAGTGTGTCACTGAGGTTCTAGTATGTCTAGGGAATGCTGCAAGTAACTGTTCTAGAATGTTGCAGTTGTCTGCCATATTGTCACATTGTAGTTCTAGAATGTTCAACCTGCCTGAGGGAGTGATACATTGTAGGTTCTGCGTGTTACACTGTATGTCTAGAATGCTTAGCGTGTCTGTTAGATTGTAAAACTGTAGTCAATGAACATTTAGGTTGTGAACCAGATCGTTACATTGTTGTTGTTTTTTTACACAGGCACAAATTTTAGACTGTGCAGAATGTCTGTCAGCCTGTAACACTAAAATTATATGTCAAGGGCATCGGATAGAAAGTTACATTGTGGTTCTATAATGTCATAACTCTACATTGTAGTTCTAGAATGTTGAGGGTTTCTGAAAGATTGTTTCGTTGTAGTTCTATAATGTTAAGGGTGTCCAATTAAATGTTACTTTGTGGTTCTAGCACACATTAGGCATCTGATAGAATTTTACTTTTTAGTTCTAGAACTTTTCTTTGTAGTTCTAGAATTTTTTTATGTCTATGCAAAAATTTGCAAAGTGTATTAATATCGAAACATGGAGTCACAAAATTTATGACATTTTAGGCAAGAAAAAGGGTTTTACACATGCAAAAGAACGATTCCGGGTTTTTGCTCATTACTCCCGGCAAAACAAATATATGATTTTTTAAAACTTTCTTCTCTCTTGTCAACCTAATTGGACCCAAACTGGGGATTATGGGTAAAATAACATGGTGGAGACAAAGCTAGTTTAAAAGATATGTTAATGTTTGTTCCCCACAGCACCTGCTTAACCACACACATCCACACACACTTATGTCATCACCATGGTAACCTTGGCAGACCCTTATTAACAGAGATGAGTGTGTGTGTGTGTGTGTGTGTGTGTGTGTGTGTGTGTGTGTGTGTGTCGTCTCCCATCATGTTGCTTCTTGTTGCTGCAGTGATGGTGAGGCATGATTGGTATGCACACACACGCACGCACACACACCCATCCACACACACACACATTTATGTATATGGATACAGACATATGAGGGTGCATAGCAACAGTAACCAGGAAGGATTCCACAGTTGTGACATCACCACCAGCTGTGTGATCATGTGACTTCTCAGTTTTCAAAATGCTTCCAGATGCATGCTGGGCAACAATTACCCCCTAGTAAGAGGATCTGTGTGTAAATATGCGTGTGTGTGTGTGTGTGTGTGTGTGTGTGTGTGTGTGTGTGTGTGGAATTGATAGTTTAACAGCTCCAGGTGCTGGGCCTAATATAATGTTGTGCTGTCATTGGCTGTTAGGAAATGAGGTCTTGAAGTCAACTTATCATTACCTTAACCTCTCTCTCTGTCTTCCTCCCAACAGACAGACAGTCAGGATGCGTGAATACAAACTGGTTGTTTTAGGATCAGGAGGAGTCGGCAAGTCAGCTCTGGTAAGTTCTCAGTAAAAGTCACTTCTCTATCTCTTCTGTCAGCATCACGGCTTAATTTACACTCACCGGCCACTTTATTAGGTACACCTGTCCAACTGCTCGTTAACACTTAATTTCTAATCAGCCAATCACATGGCGGCAACTTAGTGCATTTAGGCATGTAGACATGGTCAAGACAATCTCCTGCAGTTCAAACCGAGCATCAGTATGGGGAAGAAAGGTGATTTGAGTGACTTTGAACGTGGCATGGTTGTTGGTGCCAGAAGGGCTGGTCTGAGTATTTCAGAAACTGCTGATCTACTGGGATTTTCACGCACAACCATCTCTAGGGTTTACAGAGAATGGTCCGAAAAAGAAAAAATATCCAGTGAGCGGCAGTTCTGTGGGCGGAAATGCCTTGTTGATGCCAGAGGTCAGAGGAGAATGGCCAGACTGGTTCGAGCTGATAGAAAGGCAACAGTGACTCAAATAACCACCCGTTACAACCAAGGTAGGCAGAAGAGCATCTCTGAACGCACAGTACGTCGAACTTTGAGGCAGATGGGCTACAGCAGCAGAAGACCACGCCGGGTGCCACTCCTTTCAGCTAAGAACAGGAAACTGAGGCTACAATTTGCACAAGCTCATCGAAATTGGACAATAGAAGATTGGAAAAACGTTGCCTGGTCTGATGAGTCTCGATTTCTGCTGCGACATTCGGATGGTAGGGTCAGAATTTGGCGTCAACAACATGAAAGCATGGATCCATCCTGCCTTGTATCAACGGTTCAGGCTGCTGGTGGTGGTGTCATGGTGTGGGGAATATTTTCTTGGCACTCTTTGGGCCCCTTGGTACCAATTGAGCATCGTTGCAACGCCACAGCCTACCTGAGTATTGTTGCTGACCATGTCCATCCCTTTATGACCACAATGTACCCAACTTCTGATGGCTACTTTCAGCAGGATAATGCGCCATGTCATAAAGCTGGAATCATCTCAGACTGGTTTCTTGAACATGACAATGAGTTCACTGTACTCAAATGGCCTCCACAGTCACCAGATCTCAATCCAATAGAGCATCTTTGGGATGTGGTGGAACGGGAGATTCGCATCATGGATGTGCAGCCGACAAATCTGCGGCAACTGTGTGATGCCATCGTGTCAATATGGACCAAGCTCTCTGAGGAATGCTTTCAGCACCTTGTTGAATCTATGCCACGAAGAATTGAGGCAGTTCTGAAGGCAAAAGGGGGTCCAACCCGTTACTAGCATGGTGTACCTAATAAAGTGGCCGGTGAGTGTATATTCAGTGAAATACACACAAAATAGCCTCACCTTTGCTCTGTTTAATACAATGAACACACTCTGTAGTTTGTTTGACTAGTCACACAAAAACACTTGCCAGAGAGCCAAATGTCGATTTGTCCGCAGCTGTTGGTCCCCAACAAACTCACTACACCCCTCTGTTTGTTTGATTAGAAGCTACAGGAAGCAGCTGCTTTTGCAGATTTTAGGAGAATGAATATGTTTTGAGTTGAAAGCCACATTTAAAGTAAGGACATATTCACAGATGTAGAAATATAACCAAGACAGATGCTGGCAAATGTTAGTTCTTTTTCCACAGTCTCATAAAACATACTGAAACTCAAGTTTCATGTAGACCGAAGTGGGCCTCAACGCAATAATGCCATATTAAAGGGATATTCCGGTGTAAAATTAAGTTAAGGTCAAACACACCATCACACCAAGATAGACACCCCGTCGAGAAATGAATGTTGCCGACTGCTTGTTTCTCTAGTTATACCAACTTTAGTAACGACCACACAATAGCAATACACAGCGGTCACAGGAGCCACACGCACACCTCAACCAAAACGCCACTCTAAAGCCACAAATAATGCTCAGAACAGCACCTAACTTCATCAACAGTACATATAGGGTCCCTGCTATGGTACTAGCCACCAAACATCTTTTTAGCTTTGCCTAATTTCTTTTGCAAAGAGACTAAACACAACTCAACCACTCTCTTCCAGCAGCTGCTTGTCTGTAGAGAGACCTTGGATGAGTCCATCACCGACTGCTGCGGGGTGACGCAGCTCAAGGAAGAACATTTATGATCAATACTTTATCATTTCCTCGAAATAATAATCATCATATTAATCATTTTGCACTACAGATGCAGTAGTTCTTCTGCCTTAGCGTCTTGGTCTAATTGTATTTCCATGAAGAAATGATTATAAATGTTCTTCCTTGAGCTGCGTCACCCCGCTGCAGTATTGTGATGTACTGTGTAGTATCCTATCTAATCGTATTATATCTAATCGTATCATGTCGAAATATGTTATTGTATCATATCATAAAGTAACCAATTATATTGTATTGTATCATACTGAATCATATCATATTGTACTGTATCAATACGATGGTGTGGTATGGTGTAGCCTCCTTCAGTATTAAATTGTACTATACTGTACCCTATCATATTTTATTGAATCATTCAGTTGTGTTATGAGGTATAGTTCCGTACCATACCAGTGGGTTACCCTGCATCTGTGTCACTGAAAAAAGACAGCTCAGGACTTTTTAGTCTGGACTTTTCAGTCAAAATATGAGCATTTGTGCTGCAGAGAAAGAGTTTGTCGATACCTTGGTGTTTGTAATGAATTTAAACCTCAAACTTATTGGAGTAAAAGGAGGAGAAGAAAATTACTCAGAAGGACAGGAATAAAGACACATAATTTTCCTGATGAATCCTTCTGTGTGACACACACACACACACACACACACACACACACACACACACACACACACACACACACACACACACACACACACACACACACACACACACACACACACAGAGTGGTGTAAGTCTTGTTACAATGAAGTGCTTTACTCCAATGATATAATGGAGATGTGTCAGTGTGTCACATTAATTCCATTCTAATGACTTTCAATAGAGAACAGAACAGAGCTCCATTAACACCACTGGCCTACTTCTATTTATCCCTTTGCCTGTCTCACTGTCTCTCTGTCTCACTGTGTCTCTGTCTCACTGTGCCTCTGTCTCACTGTGTCTCTGCAGACTGTCCAGTTTGTTCAGGGAATCTTTGTGGAGAAGTACGACCCCACGATAGAGGACTCCTACAGGAAGGTGAGACAGCTGCAGGAGGGAAAGGAAATTTAGAAGATGATTCCTGTGAGAAAAAGGGAAAATAAGAAGAATCATAATATTGTTCATCGGATGGAGAGATAAAAAGTCTGAATTGTCAGAAAATATGTCCAAATTGTGTCATTCATGTCAGTAAGGAAAAAAAAAATCTCAAATAGATTATGAACTGTAAATTATTGAGAATAATTGAAAAACTTTTAACATAAAGGTCAAAACGGTTTAAAGCCATGTTTAAATGTGAGTTTTAGGTGTATGGTAGGTCAAACATGAGACAAATACTCAGAATACACAATTTTGGATATCATTGACATCTGAAATGCTGATATTTTCAGTCTCATTTTAGCTGATACAGAAATAAACAGATCGTTATTTTTAATTGTCGTGTTTCGCCTGAAGTAGAACTACATGTCACTTGTCTTTTTGTTTTAGGACCTGAATAAAACAGGACAAAAAGCATTTGATTTAACCATAAATGAATAATAGGTCCGTTTCCAACTTCAAAGTACTTCCATACTTCCATATATGTGAAGGCTGTCATTGTCATGCTAATTATATTGTGCATTCTAAGTTTTTCTCTGAGAGTGATGACAAATTATGAAGTTTTTTTTGTGTAATTATGACATAAGGATCTGTTCAACTCTCTTTCCAGCAAGTTGAAGTGGATGGACAGCAATGTATGTTGGAGATCCTGGACACAGCAGGAACAGTAAGATCTTTTAACCCCGTCCTTCTCCCTCCTTGACAGACACCTAGACACCTTTCATGTCAGGAAACAGATTTTGTCTGTGTTTAACCTGTGTGTGTGTGCCTGTGTGTGTTCAGGAGCAGTTCACAGCGATGAGGGACCTGTACATGAAGAATGGTCAGGGTTTCGCCCTGGTTTACTCCATCACGGCTCAGTCCACTTTCAACGACCTACAGGATCTCAGAGAGCAGATCCTCAGAGTGAAGGACACTGAGGATGTATGGAACACATACACACACACACACACACACACACACACACACACACACACACACACACACACACACACACACACACACACACTTGAACATTAAATGCTCAATGTCCTGGAGGTCAGGGTTTGGGAAGGAAAAAAAAGGTCCTCAAGGGAGTTTAAGGATTTTCTCTTTGCTGCCCCTGCTGGTTGAAGGTTGTGCAGGCTGCAGGATGAGGCAGCTTGTAGTGATAAGTAAAACGACACCTGAGCAGCACTTTGCACTAATGTATCTATGCTGTACATTAAGAGCTCTGTGGTGCCTTGGACATGCTGTACTGCGGTCGTTTCTTACCTCATGAATCTAGATTATGTAAAGAGATTTAAAAAAACCACAATTTCATTTATTCTTTTTTGGTTTATTTAATAATTAGTTCCTAAACTAAAGAAATTGGTGGAAAATGTCTGTCAAAGCTTCTTAGAACCAAAGCTGGCATCTATAAACCATGAGAATAAGTGGCGCTCCTCTTGATCTGCGATTTAAATAATTAAATGATCAAAGATTAAAAGTCTTTCAATCATCTCTTCAATTAATCGTTGAGGTACTAAAGTGAAAGTAGTTCTGCAGGAGAAGATGCTTTCCAGTCACTCAAATACTTACATGATCTATAAATGGTTCATTGATTCAATCACACGCTGTAAACGGTGACACCTGCTGGTCAAACGTTAGCACTTCACTTAAACAGATGAAACAGATCTGTTTCATGGACCAAAAGCTTTTTAAGATGTTATTGAGGATTGCTTTTTAAGGTTGATTTTCTGATAGGGGGTTGTTTTATATTTTCAAACATGATGCCTTCAGGTTCCAATGATCCTGGTTGGAAATAAGTGTGACCTGGAGGTAGAGCGTGTTGTGGCCAAAGATTCAGGTATTGGCCTCGCCCGCCAGTGGAACTCCTGCGCCTTTCTGGAGACCTCGGCTAAGAGCAAGATCAACGTCAATGAGGTAAAGACATACACATCCACTCACAGAAGGGGTTTGTCATGATAGGTCATTTAAAACACAAAAAGCTAAATGATGTTAATACTAGTTACAACACTACAGCAACAAAATACCAACTCCTGGGTGACCAAATTTAGTTAATTTCCTTTGTTTTGAAATACCATACTGCAAACAAGGTGGTGGTGTTTGCAGGGATTGCTCTTTCTCTCAGTATTCTGTGATTTTCTGTATTTGGATAATTTATTTATTTCAGTCACTTCGGTAATGTGCAGGTGCAGCTTGATTAGATTACTATTCTCGTCCCAGTTTACAAGCAGCGGCAAACTGGTGATTGGTGGAAACATGACCAACTCAGGTCATATCCAGTGGCAGACAGTGATAGCACAAGCCTGGGGCACATCTCAAAAGTCTCCAAAATTACCCCCTAATTCCTTTTCTATCCTATTTCCTTGACCCCTAGTTGAAAACATCACAGGGTTCAGTTCGGAAAAGACAGTTTGAAGAACTGAGGAAACATCTGTCAGGTTTCATGTCTCTTAATATGAACCTCTTGTAACTGTCTTTTTCACATGAATCATAAGTTTGATTGAACGAAAATATTTTCAGTTCAGTTATAAGGCTTAGTTTTCATTTCATTATCATCTCTATGCCCCTACGTAACTCACCAATCACTACTTTTTCTCACAACAGCTTTAGGTAATTTAAAATGACCAGAGATCAATTTTTTATTCAAGTTTTGGGACTTCTCTACATCACATAACCCAAAAATCAGGCGATTGTATTATTTTACAACACCCTTGGAGGTTTTAAAGAACGTGACAATCTTAAAGAATGTCCATTTTGTTTACATATAGATTATATGTCTTTAAGAGATTTTCTGTGTTTGAAAAATGTATTTCCCCGAAGAGTTGAGGTCCACTGTAGATAGATACTCATGATTTGTGTGTGTGTGTCTGCGCAGATCTTCTATGACCTTGTGCGACAGATCAACAGGAAGAGTCCAGTTCCAGGAAAAACTCGCAAAAAGTCCACTTGTCAGCTTCTCTAATGACAGGTACATCTAAAATATACACTTACATTTTTGGACAAACTCATGATAATGTGCAAAGCTACATTCCATAGGTACACAAGTAGATTTAATTGCTTCCGAGTCCAAAAACTACAGTTCCCATAATGCTCTATTTGTGAAGAGGAATGGCTTCTTACTTTTCTAACTGTATTTTTCTCTTTCCTCAGTTTTCTCCTCACCTGACCAACAAACAACCAATCACACCACATCTTCCAGCTGGCCACGCCCCTTTAACACAACCATGTCATCATTAACATTAGCCACCTCTGACCTCTGTTCTTGTGACGACCATAACTCCCCATTACCCTTCACCACACTGTCTGATGGAGACGGTTGCCTTGGAAACATTTAAACCAAACAAACATCAAAAAGACTGCAGTGGTGGTGGTGATGATGATGATGATGATGATAATGATGAAGATGATGATTCTGCTGTGGCAGGAATGGGGGCTGTTCAAACAACTGCCCAGTTCTAAACTACAGTTCCCATAATGCTCTCTGTTAGGCAATTTTACACAGGGGGAGTGGCTTCTTGCTTTTTTTATTTTAAATGTTTCTTTCCTGTCTTTTCTCTTTTTTCCTTCTTGTTTTTTCAGCTGTCCCGAGCGACTCACACGCAGTTTGCCCTCTTTCCTATCAGTCATGTTGTTACCATGGTTACTCTGGTGGTGTCACCGCTAGCATGGCTGACTCTGCGTGTGTGCAGCTCTGGTAGAACCTGTGGATTGAAACAGTGATTCTTATTACAGTGGTTATTGTTATGATTCTGTGTGAAAAGATATAAAAGTCATTTATTGTTTTTTAAGTTTTGGGGGGGTGGGGGGAACAAGGGAGCAGCAGGGTTAGGAGTCAGCTCAGCGTGCTCGTAGCTACAAGCTAACTTAAGCTGCCTGTTTTTGCAGCTACTGAAGGCAATTGGCAGAGAATGCTAACCATTTTTTGGGCCTGTTAAGAAAATTCCTAAAGATTAGCTTGTTACGTACAAATATCACATCACTTTGTGATTTGTCGTTAGCCTAGCATCTGGCTGTTCCTAGCATTATAAAACCAAAAAAGTTGGGATGCTTCACAAAACATTAATTAAAATAGAATTCATTGTTTGTTTACCATTTAAATGCTAAATTTTGTTGAAAATAGCGCTAAGATGACATATCAGATGTTGAGAGAGTGAAGTTAAGTTGTTTCATGAAAAATTTTTAGATGCGAGCAACAGGCTCCAAAAAAGTTTGGATGGACAACATTTTGACAACAATAACTCTGAAAAAGTTCTGAAATACTGTAATACAAGAATCATTAGTATCATGACTGAGTTTAAAAAGGATATTTAGAGAGGCTTAGTCTTACAGACTGAAAGCTAGAAAGATTTGTCACTTTGTGAGAGACTGTGTGAGCAACTCATCCCACAATTTTGGAATAATGTTCAAAAAATTAAAAAAAAAAACAAAAAAAAAATTTTTTCATTCCGATTCATTGAATCTCAATACATCTCTACAAAAGAGACAAACCAGTTCTGGATAGCCCTCAGTGGAAAACAGACATGACTTCGTAGTGGAAGTTGCTGCATGGGTTTGCCAAATCACAGTCTGCCCATATTACAACAGCACGGCTCTGTAGTTCAAGAGCCCAGGTATCCCAGCTTGTGAATCACATAAAGTACATGTGGCTCAAACAGAGTAGCTGATATCACAGTAGCATGGTGAGCTGACTCTCAATCTGCTGCTCAGGGCGGACATGTTGCCTTCAGACAGCAGACTCACACTGGTCAGTACCCTCTGTATGTGTGCGTATGTATGTGTTATGAGTGTGTTTTTGAGCGTGTTTTTGAGTAAGTGAGTTGCTTAAAGAGTATGAACCAGGCCAGTTTATGTGATGATCATTTTAGCCTGGGTTGGGTGGGTCTGGAGGGGGTTTACATTCTACTTAACGAGCAGAGCAGCCAGCAGGTGTTGCTTCTGTATTATTAACCACATATTATTAGAATATTGATGTAATTAACACAACACACCATGAAATGTGGGTCAATGTTCCCTGTATGTGACACACATAAAACCAACTATCTAGGAAAGAGGACAAAACGGCCCAATGTCCTTTGTGTCCTAGGAGAATTTCATGCTAACACTTTAGCATACACTGGGTCGAGTGTTTGCAGCTGAAAGCTAACATGTTAAAGTGTAAGCATGCTAATATGTGGATGTTTTTCTCAAAAAGATAAACTGAAATTCAAGCCTTTTTAAACAGTAGCATGACTGAGGTTAAGACTGACCTGTGGAGACCGGGTTTTGATTGTAAGCCCTGCCTGTTTTTATTTGGGGGCGTGGCCTGTAAAGCTGCAGCCACACAAAGCCTCTGAATATCTGTCTTCTGGTTGAAATATGAGAGTTGGTATGTTGGACCAGTGACCTCTGTGAGTACTGCTGTGCACAGTGTTGTACTATCAGGAGTACTGCAGTACAAGGTGGTACTGCTGTCAGTATTCTGGTTCTCCTTTAGTACCTTCAGTCATGTAGCATGTTGATGTTTCTGTCAGTTCTCAGTCTGACCTCCAGGAGGTGCTGTGACAGTTTGCATGCCAATCAGAAGCTTAAAGAGTGGAGGTCTGATTGCCGCCGCTTCGGGATGTTCCTGTTAGCATTTCAGCATTGCAACTATTAACATGCGAGCAAACAGGATAGCTTATGCTATGATGATACCCAGATGATTTGCATTGAGCATTTTCCTGAATAGGCTTCCAAGAAAGCCCTACTGCCCCCCTGAGGTCAAAAAACTACTTTTGTTATGGATATTATTTTTCACCACAAAGGGCAGCACTGAGCCGATTTATCTCTTGAAAACAATAAACTCCCACAAAATTGAGTCTAATGCTACATTAAAAAAAAAAAGCTTCCCACCAGTATTTTTTAAATTTATGGGAGAAAAGACGCTTAAGTATTTTAAGAAAAAAAAAACAGTGAGTATCGTAGAGGATATTAAGAATAGATGTATTTTCAATGATGGCGCCCACTGGAGTCTATAGAGCCCAAAGATGGTAGTGGCCATAATGGATATACTGACTCCATCTAATTTTTTGGCTTATCTAGACTCTAACTTGCAAAGATGTGCTAATGCTAAATTTCTTACCACAGTGCAAGTCAAATAAGCCACACCCCTGATCAACTGCAATCTAACTAGCCTCTTAGCCTTTATATAATTGAAATTGACCATGTACCGAAAAATTAGTTAAAGCCATCCAAACTTTTGAACCAGGTTGTAAATGTCTTAAATCCAGTTGTGAGAATGGGTGTTTTAACATGGGGCCTTTCATGTTTGAACTCACTCTGGAGTCCGCCTCTAGTGGCCACTCAAGGAACTGCAGTTTTTTTAAAACCTTCTCCACCAAAAAACAGCGTTTAACCTCTTTATAGACTCTCACTATGTTTTTTCTCTTGCACACAGTGTTCATTTTGGGGGAAGGGCTCTAAATTTTCTCTAATAAAATATCCATGATTTGTGCAGAAATGGTAAAACGGAAAATATCCTCTCACTTTTTCCAGCTTTTTAAGTATCTTTTAACCATTTTTGAGTGTTAACACATTTATGAAAAAATCCTCAAGTATTATCAGGTTTTCCAAATTGAGAAGCCTATTTTGCTTTATGGTCGATGGTAGCACCTGGGCACCTGGAGCTCTCATCACCTTTAAAATTGAAAGCCCTGTCACGGCTGCAGTCAGACCTTTCTGGCATCCAAAGTAACAGAGGCTGTGGTGTTAGTTATCATTACAGAACAGTGAACTGCACAGACCAAAAGCCATGATCTTGGAGCTTTACCAAGAATCTGAAGGTCTAAATTTGCTTTTAAAAAAGCATCAAAAATTGTGGTTTCTAAAGCTGTCAGACAATCAGACAAGCACTTTGTTTGAAGCTTGACGTTTACAGTAAATTGTGGTAAAAAAAACAAACAAACATATTTTTCATTTTTGATAGAAATTAGCTAGCAGTTTGCATCTGCTTCCAGTGTTTGTGCTAAGCTAGGCTTAAACATGCTGGACCTACTTAATGTTCTGAAGTGATGGCTGCCACCACAGCTGAATGCAAACTAAAATAACTCAGCCACAAAGAGAAAACATTATATTTGCATTACTGAAACAAACCTGCTTTTTTTCTCTGTATGGCATGATGACCAGTGAAATGTAAAAGAAACCAGTTCAGACAGCAAAGTATCAAGTTTAAAAATTGGTTTTCACTTTGCTGTATTATCACAATTCAGCAGGGACAAGGTTTTAAACTGGTATTAAATAAGTCTGAACTGGCTTTTTCCTGAACAGAAACCCACAGCAGCAGAGGGAGGTGAGAAAAGGGGGAGGGTAAGGGGTGGGAGGGGGGTGAAGCCAAATGTAAAGTAAAAACTAAAAAGCCTTAAATGAATAAAAGTGGTGCAATTTTGTAACAGCAACCTGAAGTGTGGATTTCTTTGCATAGATAGATAGATAGATAGATAGATAGATAGATAGATAGATAGATAGATTTGCTGGTTATACATGGATGGTGCCCCAGTGAGTTATAATTTTTGTGGTATGAGGAAGTGAGTTAACAAAATTCGCATAACACTACAAAGTACGGTGGCCTTGAACATCAACTGCACAGGCATTTTGTGATCATAAAAACATTTTAGTTAACATAGAAACATTTTAATTAAATTCAACATTTAATACAATTAAATTAAGAAAATAGAAAGAAACTCCTAGTACGAGACAACTTATCGTGAATCTTTTTTCTGTTATTTTGCCTTTTAAATTTTTGTCTCTCAAGAAACATTTTTGTCTTTTAAAATGTTTTTGATGCACTTTAAGAAGTTTTTTTTTTTCATAAATGGAAAAATATTTAGAGGTTTGAATAATCTTTTTATATTTTAAGAAACTCCTAGTATGGAAGAGGATTGAGGCCACTTTACATAAAATAAAGTGAATAAAAATAATCTGAATTCTGAGTTCAAATTAAGAATCATTAATAAATAGAGTTTATAAAAATTAACCTTTAATTTAAATATATATATATATTTCAATTATTCTTTAGTTGGTCTTATCCTCTTCTGTGAAATATTCTAATAGTTTTTTTAAAATATATTTTTCTTTTTTTTTTAATTTTCATGTTTGTTGACATATTTTTTTATTTTGTAAAATATCAGTGGCATTCATTGAAATGTTTTTTTTTTGCAGTGATGACTGTTTGTGCAGTACTGCTTTAGGAGCACAATAATAAAACGTCTTTTGATGTAGATTTTTTTTTTTTCAATTTTTACCATATCTATTATAAAAATATATTGTATGGATATGATTTGATAAACACAAGTGAATTTAGCATTTTCTGATCCATACATGTGATGTAGCTTGTAAACAAACCAAAAGGCGTGCGATAAAAGCTTTGTCCATAAAATAAGATATCAACATTAAAAAAATATATATATTCAAGACTAATCTGTAAATTTGTTCAGTGCAGAATCTCTAATTTAATGTACTTTTTGTAAGTTATTAAGAGGTATCAGCATGAATTCAGCCCGCTAGAGACTAATTTAACCCACCAATATGCAACTCAGCGCATTAAAACTGTATAAATAATGTTAGACAATCCTAAAAACCCATTAAACTGCCATATGATCAACATATTTTCTATTTTGCTAATAAGGAAATAGTTCAAATGAATTATTTTAGGGCAATTCTTGTGATTTGAAGAAAAATTAAGATCTGGAAATTTTAATAACATGGTAATTGGTAAAAAAAAAAAAAAGACTCCAAATTATGTTGAATCTCAATATGCTAAATAATTTATCTGTAACCAGTGGTGGTTTAAGTGAAAACAGTAGCCTATTTACTTATAGTAGTAACTGGTAAAAGTTTTTTTTCAATCGCCAAACTTTCCGCTTGTTGTGCTGCAAAGACGCATGCGCAGGACGCCAGGCTACCATGACAACAGCAGCACCTTGTTCCTGTAACTGAAACTGAAGGCAAACGGAGTTCATCACGGTTAGCATCACGAGTTTTGCGGGTGATTAACTAACGACAAAATGGAAACCAGCAAGTTCTTGAACTCAAGTTATCGCACAGTGACCGTAAAGAAACATCTCGCGGTGTTTGGGCTGCTTTGAGAGAGACATGACTGTCCGCTTCAAGGTGAGCAACAGGTGTTAGCATTAGCCACATTTAGCCGGATTGACGGCAACAAAGCACGCGAATCGGAGTGTTTATGATCTGATTGTAGCTCCTTTACAAGGGATATAGCTATGAATATAAAATGCTTTAGTTCACTGCACAGAAACCCGCAGTGGACTGCAGAGTAGGAAGATATTTAATCTGCTTCATCAGATAATCCAGCTAATCACTGTCAGATTGACTCTTTGTCTGAGCTGTTATTGAAATGAATGTGCATTCAAGTAGGGTGGGAGTTACATCAAAACGAGCAGTTATATGAAAACTTCACTTCTATGGTCTTTAATCATTCAGGGGAGACTTGGGGCAGCTGCAAAATCTCGTTGCTTCACTCTGCAACATCCCTCAGAGATAGTCACTTTGCGCATGCTCAGTTAATCCAACACTGACCGAGAGTACAGGGTGAAACTGCTGCTGCTTGTTTGTGTCTGAGCCCCTGAAGTGAAAGGAAAAAAAGACTATCCTGTGTGCTCAATACAGTAAACTGGACGAAACTCAAAACCATCTTGTAGAGGAGAGTCGGTTAAGATGAGCCGTTTTTCATATTTCAGATCACTACAAAAAGGCAATCATAGTTTTGTCTTTAACTAGTGTATCTGCATGTATTTCAAGATGTTGTGCATCCCTGCAAACCAACAGAATGAGTGTAAACATAACAGTCTTGATGATATAGCATGACAAAAAAAGTGGTCTCCTATGGTCAACTTACCCTGTGTATATGGGGTAAGTTAACCATAAGTAAGTTGAGCCTTATCCCTACAACCCGTGGCTGATGTGGCTGATGGTTTCCATGGCTGGAAGTGTTTGAATGTTTTGTGCATCATTTTATCAAACAATAAACTCAACTTACCTGAACCACCTTTGTGTGTTTGTTTCAGTGTCAGAGTGAATACCAGAAAAGCTACAGTTCCTCTAGAGCAAGAAGTGTTTCCCCTCAGCGTTGTGCCCCCTTTGCTGGTCTGCGCTCTGACCAGATGGGTAAGAATCATTTGAAAGAGCTTTAAAACTAAAATCTGAAATGAAACCAAGAAATGGCTTGAGGTTGTTTTATAATTCCAATTCAGGTTTTCATCAATGCATAAAGAGACTTTGACTAAGCAGCTACTTAACAATAAAACTACTGAAACAATTTGAAATCAGAATATTATCTTTGAACCTTTGAGTGTCTAAATCATCCAGGTCAGCCTGAACCAGAATCTAAAAAGAAAAAAACCAAACAGAATATGATCACTTCTATTTTATAATTCTCATTTTCAGTCATTTTTAACCTATTTCTCTCAGGTATCATCAGAGAACCATGTCTTCAGCGGAAGAAGAGGCTTGGTCCAGGCGGTCTCTCTCAGTCCTGCTGCTCCCTCCTCTGTCCAGCAGGATCACAGAAATCTCTGAATGCACTTAAAACAGCTTCCCCTGCCGGTAGGGAGCTTTCATAACAGACCCATCATTATTTTTTATTAGATTAAAAAACATCAGAGCTCTATAGAGTCACTTGTTAGCATTCTGAAAGCCGGTTTGGCCTCTATAGGACATCTTGGAGCATATCTGGACTCAAAGTAACACTGAGTTTTTAGTTCTATATCATTTAATAGAGCTGAACAAGCTGGCTTCTTTTTGCAAGTTATCGATCATTAGATTGATAACTTGCAAAAAAGAGATGTTCTTAAATGTTTAAGCAGGGGTCACGGTAGCTTTATTGTCAATTCTGCAATATGTGTAACACATACAGAGATTAAATTGCATTACTTAAAGGCCCATGGTGCTATAGTGAACATTCAGTCTAAAAATAGTAACATGCAGTATAAAAATGAGTATAAAAGTATAAATAGATTGTAAAAATATCATATTTTATATCTCTTTTGAAAACAGCCTCCAGAAGTCGCTCGGCTAACAGGAGGGAATCCTCTCAAGGACTGAAACCTCCTACACCTTCAGGTGATGGGGCAGACCCTGAACCTGCTGCAGAGCCTGAAACTCCAGCAGGACCTCGACCTTCTGCAGACCCTGACCCACCAGAGGAACAAGGAGCTGCTGAAAAATCCAGTAAAAGTAAATCACAACTCCCTGCTTTCTTTACTCTCCTACACCCATTTTTAAAAAGTGTTTTTAAGTTAGTGTAATTTTAAGGTCTCACAGCGTCAGTTCCTAAAGTTGTTTTTATTCTGTCTCTTCAGTGCAGCCCCAGCCCTCGAAGTCTGACAGCCAATCAAAACTGAGCCGACCTTTAACAGCAGAACCTGGTGGACAGAAGACCTCAGCCAATGAGGTGAGCCAAAATGTATAAGTAAACCTAGATCAGTGTGTTTGTGGTAAACTAACCTCAACTAAAGTATCAGTCAAAAGTCTCATCTTTTTCTTTTGTAACAGGTACAGCGCTCTCTGCGATGGAAGGCAGGGCTGAGGCCAGGAGGTCAAAGGTTAGGAGGTCACCAGTCAGAATACAACAGACAGTTTGGCTGGAAGAAACCTACAACTTCTGCTTCACCATTACTGACTGCAGAACAGGTGCTTCATACCTCATACACCTTGATTCTACTTTTAGCAAATGAATACAACAGGTACTTTGCATTCATCACTGAAAGGCATGTAGTACAGCTATGCGACCACTAGGGGGAGATAGAAGAGTTGCATAAGAACTCATCTGTGATCAGTTAGACTTAATGTGGGATATTAAAGCAATCAGTGGATTCTGTTGGTGAGATTTTGACAGATTATATGAGCATTTGGGACAATAACTTATTTTCTGGTTTATGTTATTGTTCTGTGTTTGACTTACTGCTGACCTCTGACCCTTCCCCCCTGCAGGTGCTGTACTCCAGCAGCAGGTCTGTGCCCCCCTTTAAAAAGAACCCTGTTCCACTCGACACGGAATACCGCCAGAGTTACAAAGGTGTGGCCCCACCCACTGGACTTCGCCTTCGGAAACACCTGGAACAACAGAGGATCCCCCTGTTCCACACACACATGGTACACACACATATATGGACAAATACACACTCACACTTATTTTTATACTCAAAGAACTGTTGAATAGATGTGGAGAAACATCATTGACCACGGGTATGTAACACTGGGTGACTGGGTATAGAAAGGACATTCAGAGAGGCTGAGTTTACCAGCACTCTGTAAGAGACTGCGTGAGCAACTAGTGCAACACTTATATATAAGTGGATCTGATCATCTACATAATGATAATAATAATAATAATAATAATAATAATAATAATAATAATAATAATGCATCGGATTTCATATAGCACTTTATCAGCAGCCTTCAAAGTGCTTTACATCATTACATACATCATATATATATACAGTATATACACATACACATACACATACATAAACATATACATCATTCCTTCGCTCACACAGTCACACTCTGGTGGTGGTAAACTACCTTAGTAGTCACAGCTGTCCTGGGGCAGACTGACAGAAATGCGGTTGCCAATTCGCACTTACAGCCTCTCCGACCACCACCACACAACATTCACAATCATACACCAGTGGAGGACACACACTGGGAGCAAGGCGGGTTAAGTGTCTTGCCCAAGGGCACAATGGACAGACTAGGGATAGGGCGGGGATTGAACCGCCAACCTTCCAGTTATTGGACGACTGCTCTACCTCCTGAGCTACTGCTGCCCTCTACAGTACATACATTCATTGAAAGATTCAGAGGATCTGGAGAAATCTCAGTACAAAAGGGACAAAGACCAAAACCAATACTGGATTGTGTGATCTTTAGGTCCTCGGGCAGCACTGCAGTCAAAACAGACTAGACTCTGTAGTGGAAATCACTGCATGGGCTCAAAATCATATATTTGTCAACACGAGAAGCTGGGTTGTTGGGATAGATCAATGAAAGATCATGATTTCATCAGAAAAACATCAAATTAAATTAAATTTTGACAAATTGAGAGGAGAGACTGATGTTCTTTATTTCAGACAAACTAACTTCAGTCATTTCAGTCAGAACAGGCTTTTTGGATTGTTAAATGCAGCTGCTACATTTCACTGATTGAAAGAAAGTTGGTCTGTTAACTTTTTCATCATCCCTGCAGTGAAAACAAGGGAAATTTCAACCCAATGAGACATTTTTTTGTTCGTCTTTGTCACACATAAGTGTAAATCTGATGTTTTAATATTTTTGGAACACTAGTAGTTACACAAAACATGGCATGAAACCAAAAAGCCTTTTTTGTCTATTATGTGATGCAGGCGATAAAAATATAATTCTAACAGTGTTTGGCTCCTTCACTCTGAGATGTTTTCATCTACAGACCAACAAAAAGAGGAGGGAGGAGACAGAGAAGAAACCATGCGCTGCAGAAGGTGCCTCCTCACCTGTGAAGGACAATGCTGCACCCCCCACACCTCCTCACATGCAGAGAGGACACAGGTGGGTTTCCTTATGAATGAGTTTGTGAATTCATGACATTTATGAAGTTGTCTGTCTGTCTGCCTGTCTGACAGAATCTTGACTTAGTCCATCTTTTATTCTCCGCTCTGCAGGATCTCAGAGGAAGGCGGAGCCTCGGATGGCGTCACCCCTCAGGTCAGAGTCTCTGCTTGTAAAATGTTCATCTTAACACCTTGATTAGTGCTCAGATTTATGAAGGTTCAATGCTTCACAAACCAAACTGCAAAGAAAATAACTCTTTGTGTACGTGTTGTATGCACACATTTAAATAAGCCATTATGCAGATGTGGAAAATAATATTCCCCTCATCTTCACAAATGAGCGTCATTGCAGCACCAGCACTTACAGCCACACATAATGAAACTGTTTCTGTCTGCTAAAAGCTGCTGATATTCACTCTTCAGCATTCATGAGCGTTATTATTCTCAAACTCTCAAAGTAATCAAAGTAATGATTCCACCTCTGACTGATTAGAAATAACATATCTGTTCAAGAAGTCTTTTCAGTTGCTTGTACATCCTTATTTTGGATGATACCAATTTTGATAACCTGGTGTTAAATTGTTTTGGACAGTCTGTGTCTCAATACCTGCACATAGAAGTCAATGCCGTTTCTCATGACGCAATGGCACAATGAACCAGTAAGGAATATTCCTGTCCATCCACCTCATCATGCAGGCTAAACGGAAACAATCTGATACTGTAAGGATCAGATATGCAGCAGAGTGTGGAGATACTTACAAGGGCCCCACCGATATGGGTTTTTGGGGCCGATTACCGATTTATCGGCCTATATTTATATTTTTATGTAGATATACTGTAGGTTACTGCTCTTCACGCCGACAGGAAGACCGACCGACTGATCAAACTCGGACCAGAAAAGCCCCCCCCCCCCCCCCCCCCCCCCCGTTGATCGGTGCCTCTGCAGCTTAACTCACGCTAATCATTTCCGGTCCGGTCTCATCTGGAGACATACAGCTGCCTCAGTAAGAGAGGTAGCTCGATCACGTAACGTGTACTGTTGTTTATTCTACCGTTACTGGCACGGCTAACAGTGTAGCAGCAGATGGCTAACTCTAACTTTAGCTTGCATATTACATGGTGCTTCACCGTTAACTTGGCATGACCGAGACCAGCACAGCGGGGAACACCAGGAAGTGGGTTGAACTGAAACTTGTTGACTTATTGTCTACTTCACGAAGTAGTTTATTTACCGTTGAGGCGGACCACTCTCCTCTGTGAGTCCCTGAGCTGCCTGCTTCAGATCCGTCACTCTGCTGTGCTGTGAGGTAGTTAGTGGATGAAGATTGTCATGAGGTCGTTGAGTCATCTACAGGATAAGTCGGAGAAACTTTTTCAAATGGCGGAACATTTTCGAAGTGAAACCGAATCTTATTCTCTGCATTTATTTCCGAAAATATCGGCGAAAATTGGCAAGTTTTGGCCGATTACCGGATAAGTCTCAAACGGGCTAAAATTGGCCGTAATACTCACAGCTCACTGTAGACACAGTAAAACATAAAATTGGAGCAAACTGCTCAGAGCTGTAAACTTTGTGTGTTTTTGCCCTAGAGTATCATTAGTGCAATGTACTTAGTCCAACTCTTGCAATTTCCGGCACTGCTAACAGCTGCGATCAATTCTTAGCTAATTACCTGCTGAGTTTTCAGAAGTTGTATCTTGTAGACAATAACAGTCCTGAACAACAGGTGAAAGTGTTCTCACATGAGTATTTAAGCAAAATGCAAAAGAATGAATGTATAATATGAACAAAATGTTTGTTCAAGCAAAACTATAAAGACACTGTACTTCCAGAAACTGTGGGATAAACAGCAATGACCATGTGTGGAGGACTGTCTCTCAACAATGCCTGACTTTGGTTTCTGCCACACAAGTTGAAGTTCCAAAACACCTCAGAGATAAACAGTATTTTTGAAAGAATCCGATCTTTTTGGAAACACTGCAAGGAACTCTCAGACAAAATGCAACCAAATTAGTGACAAATCCTTAAAAACTAAAATAAAAACCCAAAAACAAAGACATGTTGAAAATTACTTCTTTTTTAAGTGCCCTATGATTTCTCTCTGATATTTGTCTGAGCTCTTGATGTGTTGATATAAGCTTTTTACGAGACATCTGAAATGAACAGGTCACATCAAAGGGCTTTCTTCTCTCACTAACTCAGAGACACCCTTCCACAGATTCTCAAATTACACCCGAGCAACTCTACAGCCACCCACATTTTCTCAAGATCACTTTGCTCTTGATTATGTCATACAACATCTGATTTTATTTCAGTTTTTGTGGCGCATTATCTTCACCCAGTTCATCTACTCTCGATCTCTGTAACCTGATTTATTGGGTTAAAATATCGTAAAATTTTGCTATGTCCCTAAAGTTACATGTTGATTTTTGTCTAGCTAAGCTGTGTCTGTTTGTGCATGTTTGTTTTCGGTGTGTTTGCTGATGGAAAACTTGAGTACAGAAGGTTAGCAGTAAAAACCACAAAGCTTCATTTCAGGGAAACACCTCACTGTTAGTCAAACAGACACACACACATAAACTCACAGGTAGGTTCCCACCAGTCTCAAGGAAAGTGTTGCTGAGGAAGGGGGAATCTGCCGCTGCAAGATGAGTTGTTTTTAGACTACATTAAAAAATAAAGATTAAAGCTGAAAACACAAAGACTTTCAGATAAATAGAATCAAAAAATGCAGTTTCAAAGTTTTGTACCCTGCAGAAGATGTAAACAAGCTGACATAAAGTATTGCTTGTGAGATAATTTCATTATTAAAACAAAATAGAGTTTTTTACACTCCCTTGACCTTATGATCGCCTCTTCTTCCACTGGTACTGCACATATGTTGCTCTCGACAAAGACAGGAAAGAAGTGAGAAGATTCACTCACAAGTTAATTTCATGTACATTATGTGTTGGATTCAGGTATGCTGGTCGGTTTTGGGCCATTGAGACGCTGCTTGCAAGCCCAGGGTTTGGCTCCAGGGTTTCTAAATGAAAAGCCTGGTCACAAACTAAACTATGGTATTCTATCGTATCATATCAAAATGTAACATAATGTATCATATGCCATCTTATCATATTGTGTTGTATCATAGCATATCATATATTGTAACATATCTCATGACATATATAATATTGTGTTATATGAAATGAAAAATAGCATATCATGTTTCATCATACTGTAGTGTATTGTATCTTATGTCGTAGCATATCATATCATACTGTATCGTACTATGTCATATGCTATCATATCATTTCATACTGTTTCGTATCATGTCATGTTGTGACACACTGGACTACATAAAAGAAAGGATGTTAAAGTTGCTTCGTCTGGTCATATTTAAAATGTTGCTTATATTACTACAAAATTCCACTTGTTGCGTGCAGAAGAAACGTGCTGTCGTGAATTTTCAGTTGCCTTGCTCTGAAGTGGTTCCTGCTTGCTTTAATGAGAGTGGTTAAAACTGGAAAAACCCCACACCACCATGTGCAGATACCAGCTCATCAATTCTATCTCAGAGTGAAAATCAAATCACAAGAATGACAGCTGAACTACACTGAGCGTCAATCGGAGAAGAATGAATATTTAGAGCTGTTAAAATGTTCCTGTGAGAGTAAAAACAGCCTGAAGTCAGTCTTGTTGAAATTATGAACAAATTTGATTTCTGAGATTCTGAGCAAGATAGCATAAATAGCAAGAATATCAATAGTTGATATTTAAAACAGGTGCAGAAATAACACTAGCACCTGCAAAAGGTCCTCTCCCCTGTAGCTTTTCTGTCTGTGTTTTCCTCTAACTCAACCAGCTCTGTACTTCTGCCTCAGCCGATTTTGTCTTCTCGTCTGTATTTGCTTTATTCCTGTTTTCTTCAGTTTGGTTGATGCCTCCCTCACTCAACTTATTGAGTGTTATGACATCCCTCGCTAGTTTATGGGCTGTTTACCTCATGTTGCTGGTCAACTACCCTGATATTTGGTGGCATCCAAATAAGTTGGGAGAAATATTTAAAAAATGCTGTCAGCAATTTATGTGTTTTTGTTGCATGGTCAACAAGCAGATGTAAAATTTTCCACACTTAGTACAAACCTTTGTACAAACCTATAATACCCTATTGATACTCAAAAACATTCATTTTACATGTTTTATTCAGTAAATGTGTATATTTTTACTGTAAATTCCTGTATAGTTTCCTGACAGTATGAGTTCTGCTGTTTATTTTGGTCCCTATTTTATACTTAGTTTTATTTCTGCACCAAAAACACTAAGACAAATTTCATGCAAATATACATTTTCGTTGCAACAACCTGAATCTTATTCTGCAACAGCATGCAGACAGTGCAGAGACTTCCAGTGTATTCTTGTTCCTTCTGATTTTGTTTTCAGTTGTGCTTGAGTTCCTGCACATTGTCAGAGTTTACCTGTGGAGCTGCAGAGAAAAACTAACAGTTAAACTCATGATTCTTCAGCTTTTTTAACTGTTTTCTAAAACTGTGAAACAGAGATCAGAGAGTCTGTGGGCGATGTTGTGATGAGGGTCCAATTAACTTTCCATCTCTGCGGTGGGTCTTCAAAGTGTTTCAGTTTGTGTGTGTGTCGGGTGGAGGGAGCTGTGAGCTGACGTCAGAGGAAACAGCCTGAGCAGCACTATTAGAGCGTCATACTTACGGCTCGTCTCAGGGCTGAGGTTTACAGACGGGGCTGAGGTTAGCTCTGAATACAGGGCAGGGGGTTATCCAAGGCTTGGTCTGGGGTCAGGGGCGGGTTATTGCTGGGTTTACCAGAATTTACAGCAAAACATTTCAAAGCTGGGTCAATAAAATTATAATTTATTAATTTGTGCTGAAATTTGAAGCTCTTTTGACGCAGACTCGCAGACTTTTCTTCATCATAGTGTTTGCGTCTGACCTTTTCGGTAACTCAAAGGTAGTCCCTGTTCAGTGATGCACAACAGCAAACATGATTTTACATATCACAGTCCTTTTTTACTTTCTGACAGTCCTGGAACTGTTGTGTTTACTGATGTAGACAAACTGCAAACGTTAGAAATAAATGTAGCTGACTGGTTGACAGGAACCGTGAGACAAATGGTATTGTAAAAAAAAAAAAGAAACTCAGAGTAAAGTATGTTTTTCTTATCTCTTCATCATTTTGTCAGCAGAAAATCTGTTTATAAAGATGCAAGAAGCGGTGAGAGAGAAAGAATGAGAAAAAAAAAATGAAGTCATTTTGTTTAAAGCAGGAAAATGAATCAGAAAACACTCCACAGACAACTTCTGAGCCAAACTACCATCAGGAGACTCTACTTTAGCTCTCATTTCCTTTTTGATGCTCTATGTTACTCTGATCCCAGGGTACCTTTTGGTTTCTGTGACTGTTTGGTGTGAAATAACTTTGTGTTTTTCCATCCAGGTGACAGAGTTAAGGCAGAAAGCCTTATCGTACCGTCAGAGAGCCTGGGGAGCTAATTTCTCCAGAGATCACCTGAGCCAGCTGCTGTCTGAACACAACGCTCTGTGGGAGCCAACAGACACCACAACAGACTCAGCTGCTGGCCTGCCCAGCCCCCGGCCAACCACTGACCTCTGTCCTGAGCCAGATAGCCGCAGCGATTCTCATGTGGAGGCCCTGGACCTGCCCAGGTAAGACACATCAGGGTCAAAGACAAACAGTTGGAAGAAAACCATCTGAGCTGAGTCTGAGGGTCTGTTTTTGTTTTCCTGTCGCTTCAGTCTCTCCAGTAAAAGATCCTCTGTTTTGGGTTTGGAAGAAATACAAAATAACAACAAAAACCCAGAGTCAAAAGCTCAGTCACCCACAAGTCCTCCTCCTGAAAGATGTACAGCCTGGGCAGGAGAGGAGGAGGAAGAAAACACAGATGAGTAAGAGCTTCTCTGCACAGACATAACACTTTCTCTGAGCTCAAACGGCTGAATTTAAACAATGTAAACATTCCCACTGCCACACAGTCAACTTTAAATGGCAATCCTTTCCTGTACAGACAAAATCTCAATGATGTTATCTTAAATTCTAGCAATTTTTACATTAAACCGACAGCCTGTTGGGGATTTGAAACCACTGATGATAACTTCGATAAGAAGCTACTCAGGTGCTTTTGTGATGGGATTGTCCACCCAGGACGGCTTTGACTGCAGCTCGTTCTCCATTTTTGTGGAAAATTATCTCTAATTCAATGTTAGTTTACCGAGGTCAAGAGTTTCATTCAATGGTCAGGTTACGATGAGAGTGTTCTGTGCAAACTACTTCAGATGGCCTGATGTGCTGATAAACTGCATTTTGAATTTGATCGGCTCATTATAGTTCAGATATGACTCAAAGTTTGTCATTCTTTCAGGGTCAAAAGGAGTTCCCCAAGGGTCTGTGTTAGGACTACTACTTTTTAATCTTTACAAATATGATATAAATCAAAACGTGGCCACTGTGGTGTACTGCTACGTATCTACCTCAAAGTCATTTTTAAGCTGCAGCTTGCTTTCAACACTGTTTATCACCATTTTCATGATTCAAAGCTTATTTTAAATGCAGACAAAGCTGAAATCATGCTGTTTTCAAATGCAAAATCCAAATCGCCAGTCCTTCGATCTTTACTTCACAGGGCACATCAACTGAGTTTGTGGCTCAGTTCAGGTATCTTGGTATTTTACTTGATGAACTCTTTCTTCAAAGCCAAAGTGTCCCAGGATGAACCAAAACTTCTATTTTGGTGTAATATTTACTTTAAATGAATGCGCTGGTATCTGGGACAGACGCTGTTTCAGCATATCAAGAAGAAATGTCTTATAGCTGATACAACAGAATCACTGAAACGTTGTCATCCTGCACTCAGCTCATCTAAAACCACACAGCTTTCTCTGGAACTGTTGCAACGTGTTTGTTTGTTTGTGCGTGTGCGTGTGTGTGTCTGTGTCTGTCTAGGGAGGAAGGACGGTTGCCGACTCCAAAGCTGAAGCTTCTACCCGTGCAGAGAACTCACCATGACCTCACCACACCTGCCACGGGTACACAAACACACACTCGTACACATGTACTACTACTATTGTACAAAAATGACAATTCCACCTACAGTGTGCTGTTGTATTGCTATCATGCGGTCATTACTAAAGTTGGTATAACTAGAGAAGCAAGCAGTCGGAAACATTCATCTCTCGAGGGGGTGTCTAACTCGGTGTTACGGTGTGTTTGACCCTAAATTAATTTTACGCCAGAATATCCCTTTAATCCCTCTGCATAGCTGGGCAACCCTCATTGTTTACAAACAGGACAAAGACAGAAAAAGAAACAATTCAGTGTTTGACCTGACCTCTGTTTCTCCTCTAGGAGGTGCTATACTGGTGGGAAAGCTGACAGGCAGTGATAGATCTTCTCCCAGCAAACAACAGGTGAAATCATCCGCTACATTTCATATCATTTTATTATTTTGTTTTATTATTTTGTCAAATCATTCACATAATCAAGTATTTGATCAAACTTCTTCATGACACCAAAGTGTTTTTGTTTTCAGAGGTCAGTTTCGGCTGTTTCCATGGCAGCAGAGATGGAGACAGCTGGTGGCATGCCAGGCAAACCAAAGGAGGCATGGTCGGAGAATAACCCCTCACACCCGGCTTCTTTAGTCCCCTCCCCTCAGCAAAAAGCAGCCGCCAGCCCACCATCCAAACCAGTCAAGACAAAGCAAACACCTCCCTCCCCTGCAGCTCCGCCCCCTTTGATCCCACCTCCTCTGCATGGCATCCAGGGTACCATGAGACATCCGGACTTCCAGCATAATGGTGAGACCCGGTGTTTATTATCTGACACAGCAATAAAAAACAAAAAACAAAAAACCCCAGCTTGAACCCTTTTCGTTCTGACACCCCAAAATCTCAGATTGTACGATAATGGTAACCCTCTGTGAAAAATAAAGTGATTATTTAAATTTGGTATATTTCCTAAATTTATCAGGTTGTCTTGACAAAATAACCTGAAAAATGACAGTGAGTTGATTCAGGTTTTTAGATATGACGATGAGTGCGGAACAAAACAAAAACAGAAATTTATTTCTTCACTTTATCCATAAACAGTTGAAGTAATATCATAATAAAACTTTCTTCCTCATGATTTAATATTTGTGTTGTTAATTATTGATGGTCTTGTGATTCTTATCTGCATGTCCTCAGGTGAGCTCGGTCTGAGGTTCAGAGGGCTGCCGTGTTCAGGAGGCGGTTGTGGTTCAGATGAAGGTAAAAAATTTATTAATTTATTCACACAGAAAATCAAAACAATTCAGGGGAAAAAAAAAAAAAAACATCCTTCTGTCGCTTAGACGACCGTCTATCAGTGATGTCATGGCGCTCTGCAGCCTCCTGCTCCATGGTGTCTGCTGTGTTGGAGCGCGCTCAGAAGAGACGAGAGGACTTCTGGGGAAAGAAATGATCTCTGAGATCCAGACCAAGTGTCTGCTGGAACAATCATGTTGACCCATCACTGATGTAGATATATATATTAGCCAAAGTAATGTATTTTTACAGATTAATTTAAAGTACTTATTACTTGATTTTTAGAGCACTGTTTTATTATAGATATTTTTATAAGTGTTGTGATTATCTTTGTTTAGAAATTATGTTTTCTTACTATGTGACTCGCTGAAATCAGAGTAGTAAAAGTGAAAAAATCATTCATTCTGTCCTCATGTTTTCAGAAAGTGTCAAGAATCATTTCCCAAACACTTGTTGCTCCGGATATTTCTGACGTCACACACGGTGGTCACTTCCTCGCTCACAGATAAACAGATCACCTGGATACAGCTCACACTATGGGGACAGTGCAAACACTAAAGCACACAATAGGACACATGTCACAAAATATGGGACAGATCACATACAGCAAACAAAGGGAAAGTGGGTGTGGGTGTGGGCTTTCTCTCATTTTATCGTAATACTGAGCCAGAACATGCTGCTCTAAAGTTACACTAAAGTAAAAGTGACAACACTATAGCATCAAGACAACCTCAAACATTCCTCGCAGGACAGGTTTCTTATCTGGTCCCAGGGCACAGGATGATATTAATCTTTGCAGACTTGTTTGGACTTTCAGATGACACCATTTTGACTCTGGCTTTTCTCAATTGGTCAATTTGAAGAGCACAGACAGCGTTGTTTATCACAGTTCAAACTGACTCCATCTCTGACCAGCTAAGTAATCATTCATGTGTCAAACCAGGTCTACCATTTGACACTTAAGTGTGTGAACACATGGACTCCCAGGAGTGTCTGAGGAGCAGGACGCTGACCTCCAGACCTCAGACATAAACCCTGCTCAACCATATACTGCTAACAACTACATTCCTTTGGTAAAAGAAAACAAATGATCGATAATGAGGTCTGATGCATTCAGAAATGTACTAATCTGTCCTATCATGAAATTTGAGTTAGAATGAGATGTGTCCTCTGACAGAATAAATCCTTTATTCTTTTGTTTCTGAAAACTGATATTTAAAACATCTTGAGATTGTTTGTTAACGGGATTCTACATTTTCTGTATATGTGTTCAGTATCAAATCATTTTTTATAAACAAAGTATTCAGGACAATAAATCAAAGTGACTTTTAGATTTGACTCTTTTACCAGCCAAAAGTATAAATGGGATCAAACAATCATGGATCCAGAAGGTCTTCTTTAAAGAATCCTGTAACCCCTCCTCTTTCTCCTCACAGAGACACTTTGAGGGAAGGTGGGTCTTGTTCCCTTTTATTTTTCTGCTGAGTCTCTTAGTTTTTCTTCGGTCTTTTGTCTCAGTCGCATGTTTGTTCACATTCTTCGATTTTTCCTCAACATCGTCTTGGTTCAAGTATTGAAACTTCAACTATTTTCGTACACATAGCAATCAAGATTATGTCTGTAACTTATTTTTCTTTAATTTTGCAGTCATTTTTGAAAAAGCTTTGATTGGCCATTGACCTTGTTTTTCTTAGTTATCTGCATTATTTCAAAGTCGCCTCTCAATGCCACACAGCGGGCCCAAAGTCATCCTCTGAGCCAGGGTTTTGCTGTGAGACAGAAGGAGCCTCCGAAGAACCCTAAATGCGCTGGTTCTGCATTCAGGCCCGTGTGCTGTGACTCCTGGCCCATCTGTCGGCTGACATCAGTCCTCACCAGTAGCTTGGACCTTCTCAGAACTTGCTCCATCCTCTCCGAAGACCAACCCTTACTTACAGTAGGTATGCAAACCTCCAGAGTTTCACATCAGATTTCTCAGGATCATTTTTAAACTTTTCATGTTTGTTTTTAAAGCTGTCCATGGTCTTGCTTCAGTAGATCTGTCCAACTGCATAATGCTTAGATGTCACTGTAGAGCCCTCCAGTCCTCCGAATGACTTCTGTTGGAGGTTCCTTTTTCAAATTTTAAACAGTGGGGGGCTCGTGCCTTTTCAATAGCTGCCCCGAAATTATGGAACTCTCTACCCCCTGAATTACTTTTTATCAATGACCTGGCACTCTTTAAAACACATCTTAAAACTCACCTATTTAAACAGGCTTTTAATATTTAGTGACATTTGCTATTTTCTATTTGTTTGTTTCTGTGTTTTCTAACCTTTTATTGTGACATCCTGTGACATTTGTCACTTCTAATGTACTTTCTTCTCCTGTATTTGTGTATTTGACTGTGTGAAGCACTTTGTTCATCTTTTTGGATGTTGCAAGGTGCTATATAAATAAACATCATCATCATCATCATCATCATCATCATCATCATCATCATCATCATCCTCATCCTCATCCTCCTCCTCCTCCTCCTCCTCCTCCTCCTCCTCCTCCCCTGGCTATCTTTAAATGCGACAGTCAGAGCTTGACTCAGAATCTTTAATTCATCTATTATTTATTCCTATTATCTTAACACTCTTTATCACATTTATGTTGTAACATTATTTATCCTGGAACAAACAGACCATTTATTTTTCTAAAGTCTTATCTGTTAGTGTTCTTCCAGAAGTGGACTCCCTGAAATGACAATCCCAGTTTGAGATATGAGATTGATTTAAAATTGATTTAAGATTTATTTAATGTTTAATCTCTGAATTAAACTTTTAGTTTTTCCTCTACTGTCCCACGGTTAAATGTGGGGGGTGTCCCTATCAACGACTGCATAAATGTCATGTTATAAGATTATTATCAAATACTAATCTGAAGACGTTTGTTATGAAGTTATATCACTACAACACATGTGATAGCCACAGAATGAGAGTGTGAATTGTGGTTTAAGAATCATATTTCAAGTACAAGACTGTGAAACTACCAGATATTCCTGACTGCTTGACAGTCACACGATGTCTCTGCTGCACTGTTAATCACTACGTTGAAACCAGCACCAAAGTACCAACTCGGTTATTTTAGATCTTGGTCTACTTTTGAGTCACTTTCTTCTTGATTATAGTGGTGTCGCCATCTTTTGTTGTTCTTGTGCTGAGCGCAAGAGTTTCTCATTTTCATTTCATTCGTGGGCGGTAGTAGTACAGGGGGGAGAGCGGTCATCCAATAACTGGAAGGTTGGTGGTTCGATTCCCCCCTATCCCAATCTGTAAATTGTGTACTTGGGCAAGACACGTAACCCACCTTGCTCCCAGTGTGTGTCCTCCACTGGTGTATGATTGTGAGTGTTGTGTGGTCGTGGTCAGAGAGGCCGTAGGCGCAAACTGGCAGTCACGTTTCCGTCAGTCTGTCCCAGGGCAGCTGTGACTACTAAGGTAGTTTCCCACCTCCAGGGTGTGACTGTGTGAATGAATGAATGATGTATCTAATGTAAAGCGCTTTGGGGGTCTCTGATAAAGTGCTATATGAAATTTGACGCATTAATTAATCTTAAATTTGCTACCAACAACGTGTCTGGAGAAAATTGGTACAGGTGGTTCAGGGACCCGTTCCTGGAGTTTGGAGAGATCTGTCTGCTCGTCTGTCCGAATTACAACAAAGAATGACAGTAATAAAGACAAGATGAAATAAAGGCATGTACAATCATATCAAGCTCATTTCTGGACACGATGGGTCTGAGCTTAGATATATGTCTCAAATGATAAAAAGATGAGCGAACCAGTCCATATACATGCTGCTCCAGACTTTGGGCCTGACCCATTTGGGCACCCGGGTTTCATAGGGAGGGTTTAACAGCAGAAATCAAAACTCACATTTAGCACAACATGCTCAGGTGCTGAGATGAAAGCATCGATGTGACATTCAACGATACTGTCCATGGTAATCACACCGAAACTTAAACAAATCTGAACTTCCTTTTGAATTCTGGCAAAACTTCTAGCAGCATAGCTGGTTTCTCTGTTCCGGCTATTATTTCCCCCCCATTGTTCCACTTCAGGTTTACCTCTTCCTCACTGTGTGATGCAGCGTGTCATGACTCATGTTTTCACGCTCTTTTGATGTGGTGATGATGTAAACTGTAATTTGATGAGTTTATGGAACCGATAAAGAAATTAGTGCACAACAAGCATCTTCGATTAGAAAATGCTGACGCAGGTAAAGAACAGGGGGCTATTCACGATTCGATGGAATTAATGAGTTTATTCTGACATACTTTTTTTTTCTTTCGCTGAAACGAGTTGTAATGTCAGCTGTATGAATATCTGCACCTCTGTTTTCACTGTAGGGCTTTTAATCTCAGTCTCGGAGGGATAAACACACCCAAACCATTCACAATAAAAGAAACATTAAAGAGTGAAAGGACCCGGGCTACTTGATCCTTGGCATCACACTGAAAAAGAAGCCAGGAAAATCCTAATAGGAAGAACCATGACTGGGAAACACTTCTTTGACTTGAATAAACAGGGAAAACTGGCCTTAATTATGTTTATCAGTCAAGAACATAATGGGTGTTTTATGTCCTCACAGAGGCAGATATTATTACAATATCACAGCTTTGACTAATGTTATTAACACCTGTTGATAAGATCAGTTGTCACTTAATAGTGGAGAGCTGTGGAGTTCCCCAGGGATCAAATCTGGGTCCCTTTTTATTCTGTATCACAAGGAAGTTATGATCCTAAGACACTGACCTGAAAACCTGTTATAAAGCAACCAAATCGATATCTTTATACAACAAATGAAACTCTGTTCCTCTATATGGAGCATTATATAGGGTTTGAAGTTAACTAAAACTAAAACCAGCAGGAAGCTACCTGCCAAACAGTTAATACAAGAAATATGAAGCTAAAGCGTAACTGGTAAACACAGCAGACTGTTGGACCAGCTGAAGGACCATATTTCACTCAGAAGGTGGTGGAGAGCCAAAAAAACAGTCAATATACTCAACTTTATTTATACTTTATTATTTATTTATTTAACTTTATTTATACTTTTTTTATTTTATAGAGCACTTTAAATACAAACAAAGCTGACACAAAGTGCTGTACATAACATAAAAACATAAAACAACAATAAAAAGTTGTCTTAAAATATAATAAAAAGCCTTAAAAATGCAATACAACAATAAGTCAAATGTTGTCTCACGCTGGGTCAAAAGCCAAGGAATAAAAGTGGGCTTTTTAGACGGGTTTTAAAAATGGACAGTGAGGGAGCTTGTCTAATGTGGAGAGGTAGGTCACTCCACAATGTAGGAGCAGCAACAGAAAAAGCTCTGTCTCCTCTGAGCCTCTGCTTACACCTTGGTACCTGCAGGAGTAGCTGGTCAGCTGACCGGAGGCACCGGGCAGGAGCGTAGGGGAGAAGCAGCTCAAAGAGGTAGGATTGGGCCAGACCATTTAAAGTTTTAAAAACAAGTAAAAGAATCTTAAAATGAAATTTAAATGCATGGGGCAGCCAGTGGAGGGAGGCCAGGATGGGAGTGATGTGCTCCCTCTTACGCATTCCAGTTAAAAGACGAGCGGCTGCATTCTGGACCAATATAGACCTTGATTTAATCACAAGAACACAAACTTGACCTCAGACACGAGCAGCAATCCTTGGTACCAAAAAGATGGAGCAATTGTGGCGTGCAGAAGCTGTAGTTCCTTGAGTGTCCACTCGAGGTTAGCTCCAAAAGCCAAGGAATCCCATTGGAATCCATTTAAAAATGCTAAATGTTGAGCAAAGTTCAACGTGTTTACAGTCTGGTACAAGGAGCAGTTTTGATCTTTGTATCCGGTTTATTTGCACACACCCTAACAGAAGTTTATTTATTTTTGTCTTTTCAAATGTGGACTAAGTTGAGTCTAATTTTAATCTAATTTAATTTCCTCAAGAGAACCATCCCAAAAGGATGAATAAACTTGTATCTAATCTAATCTAATGTAATCTAATCTAATCTAATCATAGTCTAAGTCTAAATGTGGACTTCCACTTTGTGGTTTAACAGAGAATAAAGACACACACACACACACAATGAAAAAAAAGAGGAAATGACTTCACTGGCAAAGTAAATTTAAATATGCTTTTAGTGCAAATATTAGACCTCTTTGTGTGAATGACAGTAAACAGAATGCACAAATTTGTCTGTGACCTGTATTTGTGTGAGTTTCTGTGTGTGTGTGTGCGTGTGAGTGTGTGTCTATTTGGGACTTTCTGGATGGTTACCTGTCCTACATAGTGTCAGTAGAGGGGGCGGAGGATCGACCTGTATAAAAAGACAAGGCACAGAGAGGTCTTTACAGCAACATCCTCTGATAGGTGAGGACAAACAAACAGATGCATTAGATACAACATGTAAATGTTTTATCACAGCTGCGTTTGTCTTGAACTATTTTTTATTTTAATTTGTATCCTGTTGTCTTTCTTGCAGGTGAAATCACTGTGACTCCCTCCCCACTCTGAAAGGATTAGCATCTCTTATCCAACAACAACCATGAAGACTGTTGACGCTCTCGCCTCCTTTCTCCGTCCAGCTGCCACTGCCGCCATGCTGGTTCTCCTGCCGCTGCTTCTGATTGGCTGGGCCGAAGAGGCTGTTGCACACCCAATCAGCAAAGCTCTTAGCCCACCACTACACAGCGAGGAGACGTATCAAATTGTTGGCGACGTGGCACAACACGTAAGTCATTTCTAATAAACAAATATTGACATTAATGATTGAATTTTGAGTTTTTATCCAGGATTTCAAAATGATAATCACAATCACATTTTAAGTGTTTTTAATGTAGCTAAAAAAAGTAGTGAAAAAATCTGGTAGCTTCTCAAATAATGCTTCAAATCTCATAAACTTGCAGTATTTTAGTATTGCAGTACCTATTAAATGGATGTACTGCTGTCAAAAGGATGATATTTCTCTCCTGACTGAAGTTTATTTAAGATTTGTAAAACTGGCATTTGACAGGCATTATTAACGTATATAGAACAAATATTCTTGGCTCTCTTTACTTCTAAGATTCAAAGATTAATACCAAAAAGCTGGCCTAAAATCCAAAAATACTGCTATAAAATTTCTGGAAAAATTAAGATTTATAGTTGTGATATTTCAGCACTTATGGCTTTCTGTAGCTTTTTAAAGCAATAATATATCACAGGTTTTCCATTGCGATAGAAATCTGGCATTACTTCTCCCATTATCAGATCATATAAAGTTTTGTTATTGAAACTAAACAAAAACTGAGATTGAATATCACTAATTGGCCCTTTTGGTAGACCAGAGTCAATTCTCTCAACAGTTTTCCTTTACTGCCTTTAATTTTAAAATTTTCAATTTAACGTTCAAAGTTTTTTGTATCAATTTTGATATTTTGGCCAAACTTGGATGAAAAGCTTGACTTAATTTCTAATTCTGTAGTTTTGGCACTAATGGCACTCCATAAACTTTCATGGCAGGAATTTTAAAGGTGTTGATTTTCGGTGAAAGTTTGAAGTCAGTTCTGAAATGTTTAGTTCAGAGTTTTTGAGTACTTCAACTTTGGCAATGATTTTGGTATATTTGCTTACCCTAAACTGAAAATTTCAGATTTGTAATAGTTTAATTTTGTAACTTTGTGTTCCCCCAAATTTGAATAACAGCCCTCTTTTACAGCAGAAATCCACATCGATTTAGCTACAACCTTAAATAGAAAATCTAACATTTATAAAGGTGTTTCGTTTTGACGCAAACAGCACTCCATCTGTTTTTGTTTTTTTTCATACATTTTCATCTCTTTCATCAAATTTATTCAATTTCAGCTTTACATTATGTCATATATTCATCTTGGGGGGGTGCAATTTTAATACCATGATCATAGTGAATCAGATTTCAGCAAATTTCACGGTACAGAGAGAGGTATAAACACATTGAAGTTGCCTTAAACATACCTAAGAACTGATTTTTTTTAAAATTTTAACCACAGATAAGATTTTTTAATAACCGTTTTGAGAAATTAGAGGAATTCAAATGGCTGCAGATGTTTTCTTTTGGTGTCAAGCTATTTTCAAGGTGCAAAAAATCTGATTTTCAAAGCAAATTTGTTTTTCTCTATTTCTTAGGCTCAGGGTTTGCAGACTGAAGACGACACCAGCGTCAGGCTGATTCCCAGAGTCATCCCCAACCAGGTGAGAAACAATACCAACAGCTTTTTATGTTACCAAAAACTAAATAAAAATCCCAATTGGGACATTTAGATGATCTTATCTTGACCGTTGACCTCTCCCACTCCTCCAGGACCACCTGAAAATCTGCTGCCTCCATGCTAACATCCTTGACTTCTACCTGAACAATATCCTGCGTCACCATGAAAACGCACATCCCCACATGAATCGTCTGGAGACTGACCTGACCCGAGTCAGCGAGGACCTGCAGAACCATGGCTGTGTGAGTATCAGGAGAGATAAAATGTTGAAGATTAGACAGGAAGCTCTCCAGAAAGACTAAAACCACAGCATCCAAATTACAAATTTTAGGTTTTCAGTGCAACATTATCCTGAACAAGAGACTTTAGCCCAGTTTTAAACTTCAACTCATGCCATATTGAATGTTGTGTTCAAGCTTTCTTTTATTTTGTCCTCCATTCCTGAGACAGTAAGATACTCAATCAGACAAACTGTACTGTGTGTTTTATGTGGTTGGGATGTGGTTGATCTCAAAATCGATAAAACGAACACAAGCGTCAGAGATAGCACTGATAAGAGATGCTAACCTACATTGCCTGTCTGTTTCTGCAGAATGTGACTCATTATCGTGACCACCATAATGCTGTGGAGTTCACCAAGAAGCTGAAGAAGGTGAGAGTTCAGGTCTTAGTTCGTACAATGCTAACACTTTGGGTTTTTGTCTGAGTGTTTGCGCCGTCGCTAACGTGTCTCTGTTTGTTCCAGATGGAGGGTGGGCAAGGAATTGTCAAAGCCATGGGAGAGATCAACATCCTGTTCACCTACCTGCAGGACTACTGCGTCGAGCCCAAAAATACTACCACTGCCTAAAAAAAAAACGCCTCGACAACAACCGCCTGCTTTTTTATCTCTTATTTATCAGCCTTTAAAACAACAACTATTATACATTTATTTATTGTTTTATTTAATCTGAGACAGCTATATTTGTGTTGACCCACATATTGCTGTTATTGAGCTATTTATTGATTTGAATGTTGTGGATGACAAAAACACGAGTTGCCATATTTTATTGGAGAAGACTGAGAAAGCAGTCTCCTGCGTTTTATTGACACCTGATTGAATCAAAACAGCTTGGACTCCAGGGTGGATCTACTTGACTTTACTCTCATAAGGTCAGACAGTCTAAAGCAAGTGGCAGGAAAAAAGTAGGAGGTCTGGCTTTATTTGTTAACCAAAGATGGTGTAACTCTTCACACATAACTGTCAAGGAGAGGATGTGTTATCTAGATATTTAGCTGTTAGTAGTTACTCTTCGGCCATATTATGTTCCGTACATACACCCCACCCAAGGCAACTACTTGTTTTCAAGTTGGACTCACTGGAGGATGTGGTGGAGAGATGCACACTGAGGAAGGCCATTCTAAAAAACATGGATCATCCACTTCATAACACCTCCACAGTGGTGGACAGCTCTTCTCTTCTCTGCAGGACAGAGAGATTCAGAAGATCTTTTGTACCAACAGCCATCAGGCTTTTTAAGTCTTCTATAAGTAGTAGATTAGATGAGATTCTAGACAAATGATTTTTTCCTTTGGGGATCAAAAAAGTGCTTGTATTGTATGACGGATTATGATGAAGGAATTGACAGTATTACAGTGTTGAATGTCATTAAAAATGAAATAAATTCTTCTTCAAATATAGACATAAGCTCTTGACTCTGCTTTTTTTTCCAATGCAGAACTTTTTTTTTTAAATCTCCCATCATTAAAATTGAGTAAAAGTAAAAAGAAAATCTGATGTTAGAGATAATGTATATGTCCAAACAAAACCATTTGCAACAATGACGGATATATATCTTTAATTTTATTCATACAAGTAATGATGACAAAGTAAATACACATCTGCACCTGTTGACTGGTTTGGTGTAGTCCTCCAAAACAGAAAAGAAAATGTACAAACAATAGCCTACCACTGTTCTAGACCTGTAAAAGTTTAAACAAATATTTACATAGAAATGAACAAATCTGAACATGCCCATATTAAAACTACTTACGTGAATAAAACAGGGCTTTCTGTGATTTTCTAGGGAGGGTAAATGTTAGGCAGTTCTCTCTAGAGTTACCTCCCCGTGAAGAAAATTTTTGCAGGCATCTTTCATTAAAACCAACAAACAATATATGCATGAGAAAAGCAATTCCCTATCCCTTTAGCGGAGAAAGCTAGATTCAGCTCCCTCAAGGATATCCTCAAAGTTGAAGTATAATGAGATGCACTTTCAGTTGACCTTCAGTAAATCAAACGAAAGCAAACAAATATTTCTGTAATGCAAAGAGTTTTTTTGTTTTAGTGAAGAACAAATGGGAAGAGACACTTGAGGTCACTTGTGGAGTTTTATTGGAGAAAATATGGCAAGAGGTCCTTTTGATGAGGGGCCTTTGGCTTGAAAATGAGATCCAATTTGCTCTTTGGTCATTTTCTAATACAGAAAAGTTGCCCTAGGCCCTGCAAAGGACCTTGCCAGAGAAAGGTCCCGATAGTGGAGAAAACAAACAGGAAGAAAACATGAAATCATCCTCAAAGTTTCCTTCAGTGAGGAAAACTTGCTGCTTTTTCTGACATAAAAAAGTAGTGCAATAGGGGGGCCAAAAAATTAATCGTAATGGAGAAAGCATCAGTCAGCGAAAAGAAAGGGTTAAGGTTAAGAGTCTTTCGAGGAGAAAACCTTTTTCACTACCTCTTGGTGCTGGAGAAAACAGTGCAGTGACTCCAAGGATACTTTGCCTGTGGAGAAAACATGATGTATTTTCTTCTTGGATGCACTCACAATGGAAAAAACAGTCAACCTTCCCCATAAAAGGTCTTACCAGTGGAGAAAACTTTTCTTGTAGGTGGGCTATGTTGACACTTTATACTGTTACCAAAGATGCCCCTCATATATAAAACCATGACACTGGGTACTCTCGGTTAGCCTAGTAGAGAAAACTCCATAGATTCCTTATTTTGTGCTCTCAAAATAGAGAAAACATGTCACAGTACCCTCTTTAGAGCCCAGTATGCTTCCTTTTACATGTTAAATAATGGGCTGGCGTCTTATTGCATCTCAATGGATTACTGGCATTGTTTTATGAAAGAGCAACAGTAACTACACTTAAAATCTACATGATGTAAAACCACACTTTTTAGCTGACCATTTCTCTCAACATTAATGCAACTCAAGCCATGATGCAGGTAAAAACTCAGCTGTTGACTTTTATTTCAGTTTTCTTCAATCCACAATTTACACAGTTCAAATCCTGCAGAGGAACGAAGCCAACACACTGATAATGACTTTAAGGTTTATAACAGACCTGCAAACCCTACCCATCCCACCCACCCACCCCCAGAGACAGATAAAGAATTCTGATTCATACCAGGAGTTAACTTTGCTGAAGTGTTGGCGATAAAAAATAGGACAGTGGTGAATCGAGACTCTGCCAGTATGCAATCAAAGAGAACACAATGCAAGTACGTGGGTGTGTTGAGTCATTTGCCGTCGCGTTGCCCCAAAGGACCGTTCTAGTGGTTTTCTTGGGGCGCTCTGAAAATGTTAACCCACTTCTATCATCTATGTAATACAAGATGAGGGTTTGAAAAGTCCAGCACCACAGAAGACAACAAATGCCACGTTCCACTCTATTACCTAACTTAGCAAATTTAGCAAGCAGCCATCTCCATCTACCCATAAATTTTCCTTCACTTTGATATGTGTAAGGCTGGTTGTTTTTGCAATGATTGCAGACACAACACACAGATGTGCTCTTTCGCGTACATCGCAATCAGCCAGTTGAGTCTATGTATAAGTCCCTGACATAATGTGAATTTATGCTTCTGGATCTCAGTTTTGCGTAATTTGAAATGTGCTTTTCGTAGACTTTGCAGGTCGACTCAGTGATGTAAGTAGAGCATGTTAAATCGGCTCAGTTTTCCCTTCTACTCTTGAATTCACCTCATGTCATTCTGGGTTTTGTTATGTTAAATATACAACAAATAGGCCGATCAGAATTTTCTTAAATGGCAGCGTTACTTATCGAGGAAACAAAGGAAGTTTTTATACGTACAAAATAAATCAATCATCATTTTAAATCAACAAAAAACACCTTTAAAGCAAAACTTTATGCCGCCTTGTTTATGTTTTTAGTCAGCAGCCAGGTTGTCAAAGCGATACTATTTAGAAAGCTAGAGTTAAGCGCACTTATGTGGGTGATCGATCACCATCTACAGAGAGATGTGTCTGTTTATAAGCCATAAAAACTATCTGGTAATAATAAAACAGACACACACACACGCATCACACGTGTCCCTCTACGTACACGTGAAACTGGTGCAGAAATCTGCAGAAGCCACAAGGAGACAAGACCTACTTTCAGTTGTGTAGGATGCCTCCAGTGTGTGTGTGTGTGTGTGTGTCTGTGTGTGTGTGTGTGTGTCTGTGTGTGTGAGTGCATCAGACATCAAGGTTCACCATGTACCATCTGCTTGTGTTTGCATTCATTAATAAGTAATCGGTAATCAGTAATCATAAATAGTTGTGGTTTAGTTTGATAATAAAATAAAAACTTTAAAATGACAAAAACATGAACATTTCAACTAAAATAGTGTTAGAAAAATTCTTGTTATGTGACATTAATTTTTTCCTTAGTTTAAAATTTAAACCAGCTTATTAACAGATCTTAAAAACATTGTATTTTTGTTTATTTTCGGTTTAATTTCTCTTAATTTTCCTTTTTTTCCCTCTGGCTTATTATTAATCTACAGTAAAAGCAGCCGTGTTCTGGACTCTACCTGCAGCAGGCCATCATTGGGGATTTCCTGCACAGGTGACACCAGGAAGCTTAGAAACAACAGAAAAACTCTCCGCTCTACCTCTATTGTTTGTTTATGTGTGTGAACGATGAGGAACTATATTTAGCCCTGGTGTGGTCTTTGTGTTGGGTAGAAAGCTAAACAGAAGCTGACACAGATCTGTTCACATGACGCCCTCACACTCAGGGGAGCACACACCTGAGGGAGTTACCTGGGGATATTTATAGAAGCAACAAAGGTCTGAAAATAGAGATTAAAGCTAGCAGAGAAACCTGTCATTTTCCATTCAAATCCTGGAATCTCCGCACTGCTCTGCCGTTTCATTATTGCCTAAAAGTATTACATCATTATGGTCTACCTGCACGCCAACCATGCAAAATAATAACATGAGTAAATAAGGTAAAAAGGAATAACATAATGTGGTGAATTTATTTGACCCTTGTTGGGTGCCAAGATTTGTAGTACCTTGGAGTGAATCTAGGATAAGTCTTCAATGCAGGTTCTTTTACTGACAACTGTTGACATCGACAGACCTGAGCTTTTGTCATCTGCAAGAAAGAAGAAAAGCAATGCCAACACCCAAAAGATCACCTTGTTAATGCTTTTAGGATCCCAGTCTGATAGAGGGTTAGTCAAGTTCTTCAAGTGATGACAGAGAAATATATAAGTCAAGGTGCAACTTGAGCAAATCAGTAAGGGATATTCCGGCGTAACATTAATTTAGGGTCAATCATACTGTAACACCGAGTTAGACACCCCGTAGAGAGACCGCTGACCGCTTGCTTCTCTAGTTATACCAACTTTAGTAACGACCGCACGATATACACAGCGGCCTGAGGAGCCATAAACAAACCTCGACCAAAACGCCACTTTATAGCCACAAATAATGCTCAGAACAGCACCTAACTTCATCAACACAGCACTAGCCACCAAACATCTTTTTAACTTTGCCTAATTTCTTTATCAAAGAGACCACACACAACTCATCTACTCTCTTCCAGCAGCCGCTTGTTTGTACAGAGACCTTGGACGGTCCATCACGGACTACAGCGGGGTTACGCAGCTCAAGGAAGAACATTTATGATCATTACTTTATCATTTCCTTGAAGTAATAATCACCATTTTAATCATTTTTCACTGCAGACACGGTAGTTCTTCTGCCTTAGTGTCTCAGTCTGATTGCATTTCCATTAATTTTACACCGGAATATCCCTTTAATCTGATAGTCATGAGCGCCTTACAATGTGCAGCCAGGTGGATGTTTTTGCAGACTTGGCAGGTATCCAGATGATCATATCAGTGAATGAAGGACCTGGAAATGTTCCAGTTTTTACTTTGTTGTCTTCAGCTCTTGTTCAGTGACTTTTTTCATCTTTACTTCCTCCTCATGACTGATTAACCTGCACGATTCTGAGTCTATTAGGAGGAAACCAGAAAATCCAAAATGGCTCTGGATCTTCCTGATGTAAGGTGTAAAACTTGAGGTGTTTTTTTTTTTTTTCTTAATGTGGATAAGAGGTGTTTGGCTGCAGTCTGCAAAACATACATTAGACCAGGGGAACAAACCGCTCTGTTTTATGGGTCGAACAGTAATTCCTCACCCTCTGAAATCTGCTGCATCTAAAAAAAAAAAAAAAAAAACTGCACAGTCACAGTTTACTGATGAGTTCAAAAAGAGCCGCAACCTACTTTATCTGACCACATAGTGACATAAAACCTGAATCTAAATTAACCAATTTGTTCTGCAGGCGACAGATCCAGCACCTGTCATCCCTATAGAGTCATTACAGCTTCAAGGGGAAAACTTTATGTAGACGTGTCAATCACTTCTCTATATAATGACACAAAACATTTTAAAATGCAATCTCGGACGTGTTTTTGCCTGATCGGATATTTTCAGACATTTTTATTTGTCTGGCAGATGTCCAAAACTGAAAAATGTTCATTCTTAAAATCACATAAAACAGAAAAAAGCAGCAAATCTGAACATCAGAGAGGCTGAAATCAGAACGTATTCAGAGATGAAAAGATTTTGTCGGCCTCAGGATAAAGAAATACTCAGAATTTTCTTTCCATATGTCTGCAAAATAAGTAACCCTTTTTGGAAACTATTATTTCTCCAGAGAAGCACCTGTTCATCTGTTTCTGGTGAGTCTCAGTTTCACTGTAAATAATAAGTCACACAGAGGCTTTACTCTGGCTTATGTCGACGGTATGTACCTAAATGAGAAACTGATTTCTTGTGATTTATGGGTCTTCATTTTGAAGCTGAAATAACAACATCGTGATGCAGATCAATGAAATGTAAAAAAGGCGAAACTTGTCAGGTCTGTCCTCAAGAAAAGAACACTGCAAAAACTACAACTAACTACTTCATTTTTCTATTGAAATCAGCCTTTTCCAAGTGCTGCAGGTAGTTCGTTTCTTGGATTGGGGTGAAAGCTTTGATGGTTATACTTTGGTGGGATAGTGGGATGGAGGATAGTGAATAGAGCAAGAAGTTACATGCAAGACAGGAGTGACAGGTTAGAATCGAACCCAGGTTTTGGGGGGGCCCATAATTGCATACAAAAATGACTCTGGAGAAGACTGTAGTCAGATTACGGCATTATGGGATGTAGCACATAGCAACAGAAATGCAAACAGACGGGGTCATGCAGAGGAAAGAACCGCACCCCTCTCACCAATGAACACTGTATAGCTGTTTGGTCTTTGTATTGGTGAAAACACATCCTTTAATTGGTTTAACATGGCCACCGTAGCTGATTCAATGGACCGTCTTCTGGTGGAAGCAGCCATCTTGGTTGTTAATAAAAAAGTTGTTGACAACCAAAGAGGTCAAAGGCCATGCAATGATACAAAACCAGCTGGAGGAGCATCTCCCAACAGGTTAGAAACATGACTGGGTATCAGTGGTGGACTGGACCATCTGGATCACCGGGACGATTCCTGGTGGCCTGGTGTTGCCTGGTCCCAGTCCGCCCCTGTTGGGTATAAAAGGACATTCAGAGAGAAAGTAAAGATGGGAAGAAGTTCACCACTCTGTGAGAGACTGCATGGGCAAACAGTTCAGTCATTTCAGAATAAAGTTCGCGAGTGTCAAATATCAAGATTTAGTCGATTTAATCCTCTACAGTACATAAAAACAATCTGACAAGGCCAAAAATAATGTCGGATAGCCGTGATTTTTGAGCCCTCAGGAGGTACTGCATTAAAAACAGACACGACTACAATATGGGAGTCACTGCATTGCCTCAAAGTCTGTAAAAGTTGCAGTTATATTGCCTGTAAAAGTTGTCTCAAGTTCAACCAAAGTTAATTTTTGATGAGTTTCCTGAGTTTCCTGATCAAACTGATAAAGTTCGTTGGAGATAGTGGCACCTTTTTTCCTTGGATGACCTCTCTGTGAGGCGTTGTAGTGTCTCAGCTTTGTGTTCTTAATGGATTAACTGTATCTGTCCCAGAGAAAGCAGCAGGTGCAGGTGTGCTTCCCTCTCAGGGTGTCTCAGATCTCACCTAAAGAAGTCAGGTATGAGATGTCCATGGTCCCTGGTTTCTGATGTACACGTCAACAGAAAGAGGACAACATAGAGGTTAGATTTTCTCCAGAACGCAAAATGTGTGTGACGCAGATCAGGAGGAACTACCCTCGTGGGAGACACTTTGTTGTCAGGGTTGGTTTAAGGGGTCCTATACCCATCGTGTATTGCAGTAACCTCTCACCTGACATTAACTACATATTCATACCCTGAAAGCATGCCCGTTGTAAAATGTTCCACAGTCGGTGGTTATATTTACCGAACTGTGCTGCGGCTCTCTGACCTGGTTAAACTTCTGTCTTCCAGGAACTTCTGCTCAGCATTCACCTGCTCGTTCTCCTTCTTCTTCTACGGCGCCGTCGTATGCTGACTCTGCATCCAATCTGGGTTAGTGAGGACAACACAAGGCTTTGTGAAAGCTGCTGAGGTGGAAAACCATAAAACCACAACCTAGTTTTATCAAACTGCAGATCAAATACACCAAAAACCAGGTTTTACCCAGACCGACCGACACAGGAAGTGACATCAGAGTGACGACTCAGCGAAAAACTGGAAGAGACAGAAGAGGATGGAGAGGAGAGAAGAAGAAAGAGGATGACGAGGGAAGCGTGAAAAGGATAGAAAAGAGGAGAAAAAGAGAAAATGAGAAAGAAAAAATGGGATTAAAGAGAGAGGAAGGAAGCAGGGATAAAGGAGGTGAGGATGAAATGAAACTAGAAAAAGAAACAAATGGAAAAGAAAGGGGGGAAAGAAGGAGAAAAAGAAGGAAAAAGAAAGGATCGTCCCAAGATAAAGGAGAGGAAAATGATAAGAGACATATCAAAGTAGGGGAGGAGGTTAAGGAAAGGAATGACAAAGAAACAAGGAAAGGAAATAAGGAGGAGGAAAACCAACAATTAAGGGATTGGTGACATAAAAAAGGAGGAAAGAGACGTTACATGCAAAGAAAGAGAAGAGGGGGAAGAATAGGAGGACATATTAGGCAAGGAAAGAGGGAACAAAGGAGGAGAGATAGACTAAGGAGGGAAAGAGAGGATGAATAAAAGTGTGGAAGTATGAAGAGAAGAAAGGAGAAGTGAAAAGGGGAAGAGAAAGAAGGAGAGGTGAGAAGAGGAGAGAGAAGAAAGAGAGGAAACAAAGAAGGATGAAAGGGAAAGGAAGGAGGATAGGAGGAGAAGGAATAAAGCATAGAGGGAAAAAAGGAGAGGAAAGATGAGGCAGAGGAGAGAAGGAAGAGAGAAAAATTATGAATTAAAAAAAGGAGGGAAAGGAAACAGAAAGAGAGAGGACAAGGGAAGAAACAAGGAAGAATGATGGGAAAGGAAGCAAAGTTAATGAAGGAGAAAGGGTAAAGTAAAAAGTGAAAGAAAAAAACAAAACGGGTGAATGAGAGAGAAAACTTTCTTCAAATGAGGAGAGAAAACTGGAGATGGAAGCTCCAACGAAAGAGAAAAGAGGAAGAAAGGGAGTGAGAGAAAGCTCCAGGAAAAGGACGGGAATAAAAGAAACAGAAGGGGAGAAGAAATGAGGAGGAAAGAAGAAGATTAAGGAGGCGAGGGAGAAAAGAAAGAAATAACTTCAAACTGAGAGAGAGAAAGGTGGGAGAAAAAGAGGAGGTGACATCATCCTGGAGACTCTTTGGAAACTCACAGGTGTGACTCAGTGATGTTAGGAAATTCATGAAACAGGAGAGGAGGAGAAACGGAGAGTAAGAGGGGAGGAGGAGAGGAGGAGAGATAAGAAGAAGCAAAGGAGGAGGAGGTATAAAACAAGCTAAGAGGAGTGAACCTGCTGCAGTCAAAGATGTTTCCCCTCATCAGGACGTCCGTTCTCCTCATCGTCAGCCTCCTCCTCGCTGGAGAAGCTGTTACCATGGCAACACCAGAGCGGAGCATCACCTGCCGGCAGGAGATTCCCTCTCAGCTGATCCGGGAGCTGTGGACCAGGACCAATCAGCTGATCGATTCACTGCCGGTAAAATCAATAACTCTGATTCTATAAGTGATAACCTCATGATGTAAAGAAGGAAATCAATTAACACTCCTGATAAATAATATATATAATCAATACTTAATAAAGACAGATGATTGATGAGTTTCTCCATCAGTTTCTAAATTAAAGATTAAGGGAAATAATGAAAAAAAATGTGTTAAAAGTAAAACTCATTGAATCATCAATACATCTGATAACTTAAAGAAAAAACAGCTAAAAGTCAACTAAAGATCAATAATCACTCCTGTCAATCAAAATCAAATTATATAATAAGTTTAATTTGCATTAAGTCAGTTTGTCACCCTGCTGTAAATTCAGTACTTGATTGTGATTGGTCAAAATTTCTTATCAATGTCGGCAATCTGATCACAAATCAGATCAATCTGTTGAAAGGAGTTCTGGCTCATTTCACCTCTGCCTGTTAACACTGTGGTACAAACGTCAGTGTGAGAAAGAAGTTGCTCCAACAATGCATCAAATATTTCACGCAAAAACATTTGAACGAACATCAAAATATTTTACATGATGAAAAAATGTTACGATTATGAAATGTTTGAAATATTTCGGCATGTTGTGGAACCCTCTTCCGTTTGAACAAAATTACAATTATTAAATGATTACAATTAAAATTACATTTATTTTACTGATTATTTTATTTATTGTGTTCACACTAAACACACAAAAAATATTAACTCACTTAATTTGTAAAGTGTAAAGTATTCGAATACCTGTGTGTTGTCTTTTTACTTGCTTAGACTTGAGCCATTCCCAAGGCTATCCCCATATTTCATGACACATTTCTAAAAGTAAGATGTTTTTGACTTTCTGAAATATTTCTGCGAACTTTTTTTTATTTTGAAAAATGTTTTTGTGTTTCATTAAATATAAAACTTTTTCAGCATGCTTATTCATGCAGTCAAATGTTTTTAATGGTGTTCAGTTAAACTCTTTTTCCGTTTATAAAATGTCAGCGCAGCGGACCTTCAGGGCCACCTAACGATGAGCTATCAGCGAAGAAACGAAGAAGAGGGAAGAGAAAACAGCATAGAAACTAGTGAGGGATTCATCAAAGTGAAGAAAACAGACATAACAACCACACCAGAATTTTATCAGGTCTTTTTATCAATACATTTTCAAGCAAGTGGGCCGATGACAACAAGCCATTCCTTTGAAAACATGACCAACCCTACAATCTGAGGGCTGATTTAACCTTTTTGGTTGCCTAAATGGATCATTTACAAGCCCAAAATAGGAAACAAATGGTATAATTTGGTGAGCAGGTGGTTAATGCAGATGATAATGGTGACAGGGTGAACAGGACTCTGATCCAAAGTGGAGGGTTTTTGCTCACCCTGACATAAGACACTTTTATTTTAAGCTTTGTCCTGATATGTTTATACTTAAGTTATGTTCAATTCTTATTCATGTATTTATAAATCAATATATAAATGTATTAATTTAAAATTTTAAAAAATTGCATATGGGGTTCTCCAAGGCTCAATCCTGCGGCATCTTCTGTTTAACATATACGCTCCCACTGGCTCATATGATAGAAAACAACAAAGTTATGGTAACTAGGTAGACGACACAGAATTATACATAACCAGGTGATCATGGATCCATACTGAGGAATTGTCTTGAACAAATCAACCAACCGAGCCGTAAACCTGGGTGTAGAAATGGACTCAGACCTGAATTTTAAAAACCACATGAAGGCGATTACTTAGTCACCCTACTGTTACCTGAAGCTTATCTGGAATTAAAGAACTTGTGTTTCAGCAGGAACTGGAAAAACCTGCCTTGCCTTGCAGATATTGTTATTAAGATGTAAAATTTTCATGCTAAGCGACTCGTTGACTTTTCATACTCCTCTGATACACTATCTTGTTTTTATCTGCAGAAAGAAGAACACTTTTCCAGACGACTGCTTCCAAGGTTCTGCACGAAATGTCCTGAGGTGAGTCAACCTTCATATGAACCACCAGTAAAAAGCGTGTTCTAACTTTAGTTAAAATCATTCATTTTTAAATGGGATTTGGTGCTTGAGAGCAGAAGTGAGAGTTAATCTTTCACTGCGGTGTTTCGCTTCAAGCCATACCTGTGCCCGCTTGGTTTACCTCAACCACAACCACATGGTTCACTTCACCAACTCCAGACCAAAGCTGTGAATATAAACAACCAGAATTACCCAAATATGAAAAAACACACAAGGGCATTTTCACACCATTTTATCTGGGCTTATTTTCAGTATTTTTTTAACAGCGATCCTCAGTTAACAAACACATCAGAGATGACACACCTGTCCAGTGAAGTGTTTAATGTGGATTTCACAGAGGAAGTATTTTACCTTTGAACTTCCTCAACAGGATTTCTTGCGAATTATTTTTACCCCACAGAGTGTATGATTAATGCAGGAAAAACAGACAAAAAAAAGATGATGCAAACTGAGAAAGCCCTCGTTCAAGAGAAAGACCAAACTGCTGTTATCATCAGCTCATGCAGTTATTTCCACTTGTTTTGATGTTAAAAACCCACAAATGTTAAATATTTTTATGTTTAGTCCTTTCTAAATTTATACAACTCTAAAAAGGATAGGAATGGATGAGTGTTTCGCTTTATTTTATATAGATGTTGGTTACAACTGAGGCGAAACCAAAAGTATGCTGTCATGTTTAAAAAGTAATGTAAAGTTTTAAGACTTTTGTTTGTGATTGTTGAAAATATGCTTTATTTCAACATTTAAAAATGGATAAGGAAAAAGTGTTGACTCATTGAGTTTTGATACTGTTTTATCTGATTGATTCACACAAATGTAAGTTTTTTTTAGTACCTTAATAATTTCCTATTTCCACTGGGAAAAGTCCTGAAACTGTACCTCTGTTGCTTGACTCGAACTCAGCTGGCCAGAATCGCTCTATTTCACATGGGTTACTGATACATTGGATTAGGGGGCCATAACAAGCCCCTAAATATGCATAGATGTGCTCTTGAATATTAAATAAAAAAGTCATTTGTTGTACAGCTGTTAAAAAAAAAAACAAGATCTAAACATTAAAGTAATTATGAATTACTGTAGGTTTTTCTCTGGGCTGTAAACATTATTATTCTGTGATAAATCTGGGCCTTTTTATCTTGGACCTAATAGTTACTGACTCACCCTTGGGGCCAGCCTCAAGAGGGTACTCTCGGAACCGCATTCAGCTCAATTTTTCAGCCTGTTTTATGATAAATATGGAGAAGCCTGCTTTAGTCTACCAAGCATTTCAAACGACAGAGAACACTCATGATACAGATGTTGTGATTGTCGTTGTCTCTGGCATATATTAACTCCCTGTGCAATCATGTACTGAGAAATGAGCTGTAGAAATACCAGGTGTACAACCAGCTTAATCCTGCTGTAAAGTTTGGCATTTTAATATGGTGTCAAATGATGGCTGACTCTCTTTGGAACCAGCCTCTAGTGGACATTTGAGGAATTACAGTTAGCTTTACCTTTCAACCCCAAAAACTGCTGTTCGTAACCATGCTTTCTCCTCTTTTAGCGTGCAATTGGCTGGCTGGAGATGCGAGAGTTGATTGACGTCTATCAGAGGAGTGTGTTCAGCAGAAAGGTTGTTCAGAGGCTCCTCCCCTTCCACTATAACGAGCTCCTGCACCGCCTGCAGTACACACTCAAGTACTGTGTAAGTACTCAGGGATAAGCTTAATTATACTAATGCAACCAACCTCACTAATGATATATTGAAGGTGTTGTTATCATGCCTGATCTTTTTTTTTCTGTGATCTGTGTTCAGGTTTCGTCCTCAGAACCTTCAAAATGGTTCGGAAAAATCAAGAAACTGGAGAGAAAAATTAAAAAGGTAAAAACTTACAGGTTATACAAATGCTGTTGTTGAAACATTACTCACTTTTATCATGAATATTGATCATATACATACAGTGACCATGTTCCTTTTAAATTATGATAATAATAATTACAACTTTTTTTATATAGTACCTTCAAACACAGATGTTTTCAAAGTGCTTCAAGGTGGGAAGCGTAAATCGCTGAATAACCTTAAAAAACTGATTTTTTTTTTTAAGTTCTATACATTTTTTATTTTTTGTAAAGGCAAGTCAGGCCAAATTTTCAAAGAGACATGTTTTATAAGCTGCTGAAAGGCGACGGTAAAGTTAATATTAGCAATTTATAGCAATATGAGCTATTGTAAACAGTTAGTATGAGAGGGGTCATCAGGAAAAAGCTAATACTAGCTTAACCCCTTGCCTGCTGATGTTACTTTAACTTGAGAAAATCATACCTTAATTATACCTTAAATGTATGTCATGGAGCATATCTAAGCTAATCACTTTAACTTCCTCCAAACTAATGGTAACATTAGCTTTTAAGCAGCAGAATGCTAATATTAGCTGTTGCCTAATAGTTGCCCCTAGCACAGCTAAAACCACAACTTGAACCAGGAGTTACTAAAAGTACCATTACTACTACTTCCAGTGCTTGCAATGAAGGCCCAGTATAATGTTATTTTAACTGTTAACATGTCCTACTTGTCAGATCTGAAACGTAGCGTCAGTGGGGGATCTGCAGCCTCTCAGTTTCTAGATACGTAATCCATGCAGTGATTTGAGTGGGTCATGATTTAGTGTTAATGAGGTGCTACACTGATTGGCTTCTTGACTGACAGATGCAGAGGTGGAAAAACACCCAAACAAACTTGGCGAGTGCTCCAAGAGAGCCTAGGTCAGTTCAAGGGTAAACCATAAATATTACCACAACTTGGTGATACATCCTGATGGCATGTGTGTTGTTGCTGGGTCAAGAGGTGAAAGTAAAAAGACAAATTTTTAAGGCAGTCACAGAAAAATCCAACTTTGTGCTGACCCTTGTTGTTGAAGCACTCTGAGGTAAAAAGGTTGATGCAGGAAGACAAATCTACACTAAAGCGCCCGTTCATAAAAGAAAAAAGCGACCACTGTTTTCTTTGGTTCTTTGGTGCTGGGACAGACCATGGACATTTAAAGTGGTTTTGGTAGCAGAACAGTCTGTTGGCATATCTGGCCCTACTCTTAAAAATCTTGACCCTGCAACACTGAAGCATTTTTTAATTTAAGAAGACTTCCGTACAACTACATTACTACCATAACTTCTACTTATACTTCTGAGATGCAATTAAAAGAGCTAGTTCTATTATTCTTATAGATAATTGACATGTATTACAAGTGTTACTGCCTCTGGAACAACTAGTACAACTTTTTCAATAACCAACACTTTACTGACTTATTGAAATAATATTACCATTCTCTCTGCAGCTAGTTTGTGTATTCAGTTATTATTATTGCCCGCGAATTCAATTGTAATGGTAAAACTTGTGTGTCTGCAGAGGAGGAGAGACAACGGAGCGCTGAAGGCCGTCAGTGAGTTCACCTACGTCCTCAGGTGGATCGATGAGCTGGCGCACCACCACATCTATAGATCATTTAAATCAGTGAATCAGTGATCATTTAAATCAACCCAAAAGTGGGATGCAGACGTGTTTTCAGTGGGCTGTAGGCAAAAAAAGGAAAGAAGATAAATCATGTGCTTTTATTTTGAAGGGCACTGTTCAGGCACCGGACCGTCTATTCTTTCTCCATCACAGCAGGTGGCGATGATACCAAGTAATGCTGATTTACACTCGCAATTTCACGTCATAGAAGAAGTTTGTTTTCATAAAATAATCGAGCATGGCGAAACACAAATACCATGGTGACGACATGAGATATAGGAGCACAAAAACCTACTTATTGAATATTAGTAAAAAAAGGGCTGTTCAGTGTTGCTATGTTCTTGAAACATGGTGTCTTTAAGATGACACCATGATTTTACTTCAAATGCAGCCAATTAAGTGTAAAAGGAAATATTTCCCTCTTTATTGTCGCCATCTGCTGGTCAATGATTAAATTTTTTGTTTTAGTATGATGTGACAGTCATCACATTTTTTCTTCAGTTTGGATCGCAGCTTGTCGTTAAGGACAATTTTTGCTTGAAAATGTTGCTTTTATTTGACCCATAATAATATAAAATTGGATCTTTTACATTTTTCAGTAATGTGTTTCTTTTTGGTATTTTTTAAAGAAGTCTCTGCAGTACAATTTAATTTCCACACATTTAAGGACCAAAAATCACTTGAAACTGAGCAGAAAACAACTGAGAACTGTAAAATATAAATCAACATCATTCTCAGATGTTTGCCTTGGTACTTAAAAGCCTTGACTTTTTTTGAATGCATTGTTCAGTATTATGAATGTTGCTTTATTTACAAAATAAGTTATTTGTCAGAAAATATTTATTGTACTTGAGTATTATCTGATGATTCCAGAGTGTCAAAGTATTTAATATATTCATTTTTCAACATGTTAAAACATATTTTTGCATGTAGCATAAAACTTTTATTTATGTGAAGTTTTTCTGTTTTATATTCAATAAAAATAAACAGTTTTTTATCCACTTGTGGCCATTATTGGTTTCAGTCAGAAGAAACTTCAACTTTAAAGCTTTAACTCTCTCTGCTGGACAAATACTGGTACTGCAGCACAGGTACACATATTCGAGAGGATGTTTTTAGGTTTTATTTAAAAAAGTACAAATGTTAAAGTAGTGTTAAAGTAGTAGGAGAGGGGACAAACAAAAATAAAATAAATAGAAAGAAGAAAATAAAAGAATAGGGGAGGAAAGGTAGGAAAGTATCAGAAAAATGAGCAGAAAGCATAATAAGATTGGACATGAGAAAGAGAAAACAGAACAGAAATGACCTTGATTTAGAAGATATTCTAAAAAGACATGGATGGATGAAACAAATATCTAAATTAAGAAAAAAGAAAAGATAAGGACAAAAAAAGGATCTCAATTATAGGATATTCAAAGGGTCGGAGAGTTGAAAAGGAAGGAAAAATACATGTTGAAATTTCCAGCACTGAAAATTACAGGTAATGTCAACGCAAGGAAAGGAAGAAAGCGGGGATGGTTGAGCAAAGGAAACAAGGAGAAAAGGAAACACTTTGTCATCTTAAGTTTAGCAGCTGGACCACGCAGTGGAAGGATTTAAGGAGCACCTTACCCAAAACCGCAACTGAGTCATTATCCGCTGACTTACCTGTATGTGGAAACTCCCGCCAAATACTTAACGCCAACCGCTGAAACTGACTCCGAGATTGCCGCCTACATGGCTCCGCCTCCACGTGATGACACAACACTAAAGAAAGTGCATCATCATCAACATCTTCAATATGGCAGACATATATTACTACAATCCTCTGTTAAAACATCGCCCCCAAATGGGACGAAGGTTTTCACTAGGGCCCGACCGATATGGATTTTTTTTGGGGAAAAAAATCTGATTACCGATTCATTAGCCGATTTTAATTTTTTTTTTTATGAAGGTATAAAAAATGTATATATACAGTTTATCTACAGTATACTATAAACTGTAGATATACTGAAAACTACTGCTCTTCATGCCGACAGGAAGACCGACTGATCAAACTTGGACCAGAAAAGCGTTTTCAACTACCCAGAATTTGACTTTGGGGGTGGTAGAGACCAAAGACAGAGCTTAAAAAGAAAGACATAATATCACCTCAGGTAATTAGAAATGATAAAAGTATATGATACATAGTAAACCAAACAAAAAACATAATCCAAGAAGCAAAATCATCCATTATATAACATATTTTTTTCAATCTTTATGCAAATGCAAATTGATTTTAAAAGAACTTATTGACCCGTGCTGCTAGAGCTTCTCCATGTTTGGTTTTCCTGACTTGATTGAATTCAGAAATGTTGAATTTGACCTCCATCCAACAATTAACCCCCAAAATACTTCTGTCTTCTCATTTTGGGGACAAACTGAAAAAGTATTTAATCTTTTAAGTAAAACAAAAATCTTTTATTAGGCTTAAATTCAGCAACACTCACCTGACAAATGGAGAAAAAATAATTATAAGGTAAAACACACCAAGAAATAAGATCTGAATCGTTTTTTATGAGGGAAAAAATCCACCATTTAAATTAAAAAAATACTGTTTATTCTTGCAATAAGAGTCAATTTTCCTTAAATAAAAACTACATATTTCAAGATGTTGACATGAAATCTTTTCCCTTGCACACTGGAAAACTTCTCACACATTCCAAGGAATTGGGTTCTTGCTTTTAATATTTAATTTCTTAAATAAAGACTTTTTTCTCAGTAACTTTTTGTTACTAGAAATAAGACAAAAACACTTGCTGAAACTTGAGATTTTGCAGTGCCTTCCCCTCAAGGACTGACCTGACAAAACTTGACTTTTTCCCTTTCACCAATCTGCATTGTGATGTTTTTTTCTGCAAGCTAAACCCAATTACAATATTTCCCGCTGGATAAAAAAAGGATTCTGATGATTCTGATTCTGGTAAAGGCCTGTTTATCACAAGAAAATCTGAAGAAAATAAGTTGCAGGTTTTATTTCCAGGGTCTAACTTCTTGCTGTAATGAGGCCTTTTAAGCAATGCAGGTCTTCTTTTGGTGTTTAGTATCTTGGATAACAACATTTTTTTTCCTGACTTGTCAGATGAATGTAGATGAAATGAAACCCAGTACTGTTTTTGTAACTGAAAATAAGGTAAACACACTTAATATCTTTAGGCAGTGCAGACCTGACAAAGCTTCACTTTTTTCTTCTTATTAATCTGCTTCATGATGTTTTTCTCCTCAAACTTAAACCTATTAATAACATGAACATTTAAAGACTATTAGTTTGTTATCCAGGTTCATACCACTGCATAAACTCATGTGAAGCCTCTTTGTAACTAACATTTTACAGTGAAACTGAGTCTCATCATAAAAAGATGAAAGACTGCTCTTGTAGGGATGTATTGAACCCACAACAGTGTTTTAATCAACTCAATTATATCTTGATCAGTCAGAGGGTTTGTGGGAAATCGATGTCATCTTGTCACCACACAGGATGATATGTGGTAGCTGAATTCAGCAGTTTGCCCACAGGAAATAAAACGATGAAGACGTCTAGGAAATACACAGACTGTGTCTGTTTTAATGTGGGAGGTGACCACTTAATTCCACTTAATTAACATTTTCCTAGAAAGCCAACAACCAGTGGTAAAAAAACTCACTATTTGTCATGCACTCGCATCTGCTCGAACCATCATTTCAGCATTTTTTGGCTCCTGTCTGAATTGGTTCATTTTGGCTGCTTTTTTACTGATATAAAGTCACAGCTTGTAGGGTGTTGCTTTTTTCACAGCTTTGTAAGCATGAAACAATCCTAAAGTTTTGCCTTCATAAAAAACATCTGGGGATAGCTGTTTGCACCCAGTCAGCCATGTTAGCATACTGTCATAGTAGGTTCTCAGTCATCTGCCATGATTATCCTGGGCTTCTTCAGATAAGAACTTTTAACAAGTCCAGTTGCCGCTTTGGATCAAGCCCCAAACATAAACACACTGTTTCCTGGCGTCTTCGTCTTTGAGGAGAGAAAATAGCCAAGACTTTCCTTCTCGACCAAATCACACTTATGAGCAACTTCCTGAGACATACTAACTTAACAAAGTGCAGAATAGGGGGAAATGAACTTATCAGCTTCTGTGCCTCTGAAAAAGTGATTGGGTGTGCCCGTCCTTAAGCATTGTTCTGAAAAGACAGAAAAGAGGACAGAGCTGTTTAGAAAACTGGAAAATTTCTCTGAGAATTATGTTGCCATCCCTATCTATCTATCTATCTATCTATCTATCTATCTATCTATCTATCTATCTATCTATCTATATCTATATCTATCTATCTATCTATCTATCTATCTATCTATCTATCTATCTATCTATCTATCTTTATTTCTATATATATATATCTATATCTATATCTTTATCTATCTATCTATCTATTTATCTATATCTATATAGATATCTATCTATATATGTATATATATATATATATATATATATATATATATATATACATATAAATATATATAAAGATGTACAGAGAAAAATTGAATCAAAGTTTGGTAAAAAATACAAATAATCCACTTTCCCCTTTAGCCTAGTATAGATATTGACAATCTAGTGTAGTCTGGGTAAGCAGAATTGTGTATCGTCTGCAAAAAGTTGATTATTTGGAGATAAGAAAATATTGAATTGTGTTTGAATTATTAATCTTTTTAATAGATAGTGTAATATTAAGATTCTAATTGCAAATTACTGGACCCCACTTCCTCCTGCATACTTTATGTTTGCCCTGACAATTCAAAGCAAGTATTGCAAGTTGGTCAATATCTGAATCATTAACCCCCTACTGGAGGGTTTGTGAGTAAAAGGCAAGTTCCTGAAGGTATGAGGCCTCTAAATCCTCTTCTGAAACATCAGAAATCAGTGAATGGAGTTTAAATACGACGGCTAACATCTTTCGTTTTGTTAAAGTTTTATCATCTTGATTGGTATAGGAGAATGATTTTTCGACTCTTAGTTATCGCGTCTCTACCTGTCAGTGATGAGTCAGGTTTCATGGTAAGCTTTGTGGTGATGTTTCCAGCAGCAGTGACGATCAGGTTTGGGTCTTCTTCCTGCCATGATGATATGTACTTTCAGCAGTCAAACTTTTGCCACCTGTGCTCACAGTTTCACAAAAGTTGGAGCATTTCTACCCGCAATGATGAATGCATTTCTTCCAGCGGCTGTGATGATTCTACCTGCACCTTTTCTACACAAAACAGCCAACAGTATAAGGAAAAAGCAATAAAACACCAATATACAGTATGTCATGTTGACACTTTGTGCAGCTTTTGCAGTCTTCAGTCTTTTATAAGACTTAGTCGACATTTGAGTGTGACTGCATCGATTTCAGTGGCAGAACATCAGAGCTCAGTCCAATGCCTCATTTTCCAGACATAGATTCAGTAAAACTTGGACATGCACCTTCCATTTCTTCTCTTTTTCTTTAATAATTACAGTTTGTTTAACTGCTGCACAACATTTATCAACTTCAATATAATAAACTTGGATTAAGACTCCAGAAGCAAATAGAGCACAGAATTCACCACCCAGTGTTTTTGCAGAGTATTGCAGAGTGACATGGACACTTCAGTGCATAAATGTTCATAATGGTAAAAACAACTACTGCTTGATGAGGGCCTTGAGTCAATGCAGAAGTGTGAAGCAGGCTTTGGTCTAAATACAATAAAAATGACTGAGTTATACCTTGTTTTAAATGATTGTTTTCCATAATCCAAGGCCATATTTTTTAAACAAGTTGATTTTGCAGTAAAAAATGGATTTTACCATGGGCTTAAATGAGGACCCTCAGCTTTTTGTGAAAGCATCAAGTGGACACTGGGGGGACTGCACTTTTTTTTCATTTTGGCATCGGCAGATCTGCCAACACCCCAGATTTGGGCGAAGGTCTCCCTCATTTTAATCCATTCCCTACTGTTCTACAGAATTGTAATTTTTCTTGATTTCACGTTGGTCCTCAACCTCTATGTGGGAAATGTCATAAGCCCTGGTAACCTCACCAGGCAGCCATGGGCGTGTGCTTTTCACTCTAACTGGTGTATGAATACGACACGCTTCTCTGCAGCAGCTCGCCAAAATGAAAACAAACCATCACGTATTTGTCACATGTCCTGTGAAACGCCAGTGTGAGGGTGTGTCGTGTTTTTGTGCTCTGTATGTAAATGTACTGATTGATGCAGACTTGTGCTCGAGAGAGCTGTTTGCAGTGTGAAATACAGGAGTACTGTAGGTATTTCTGTGAAATTCTGCAGGTTTTCCCAGAAATTGAGGGTGCTCTGTGAAAATTGCAAAGTGGGGAGTGCCTTCAGTTGACAAATCTCTCAAAGCAACATGCAGCGGTGTGATTTCTCTTTCCCCCTCAGTAGTTCTGTCAGATTTGATTCAGTTCTCTGCACTCTATGTTGCACAATAATATGAGCCCTGTATGAAGACATTGTCCATGGGACCCTGCCTTCATTTACAGTCAGCATGAGGGCCCTATATATACTCATTATCTTACCCCCCCAAACATGATGCTCCTGAATTCATCTGTAAAGAGGCAAACTGCAGTAACACTTCCATCCATGACCACTGAGACTGATGACGTCAGATAAACTGAAAACCAACTCAAACCACCTAAGATTAAAAACGGCTCATTAAAAACTACAAATATGTCCGACTGACAGGCTGAATAGTATTTAGTATAACTGAGAGGAGGTGATGCTCAGAGGGGGTTTTCTCTTGACAGTTTTGGGGGTCTACAGACCGTCAGACTGAGAGTAACAGCAGTGACTTTGACCTATTTACACCTTCCTCTGAGTTGTGACGCAGTTTAGTTTATATTAGGTGGCAGAACATGTTTTCTTTCCAACCGTGGGGTAAGGTGACTTAGATTTACAATTAAACATGAATTTAAAAGAAAAGTTGATGGACTACGGAAAATGAGCTTCATCTGGACTAGCTTTGACATTAAAACTGTGCACGTACATTAATGCATGGGTGATTGCAGGTGATTATAAATTTCTTCAAAGTGGTAGCCATGAATCCAGTTGGAGTGGATGCACATAAATTGAGAATAAATGCTCATTCATAATGAATCAATGGTTGAAAGTTGTTGGGTGCAAGCAGCTAATCCAAACTGCACAAGGTGGGGTATATCCCGGACTCGTCACCAGTGTATAACAGGACTTTTACAGCCATGCGGGCACACTCTTATGCTTTCAGCCAGTTTAGAGTCACCATTTAAATTAGCAGATTTTTCTTTGGATTGTAGGAAAAAGGCACCCATGCATATATGAAGAAAACACATGCAGACTTTGCATAGAAAGTTTCCACCATGCAGTTTATGACCCCTTAATCCTGGTTTTAAACCCTTCAATAATCCAGTTTTGGTGACCTCAGACCAGGATGAGAGAGAGAAAATCTTTATACGACCTTTTGTTTTGGCCAATATCAGAGGGGATCTGAGGACTGAGGTCTGCTGGACTGGAGGTTACAGCCAGCCACAGATTTAGATCATTTCATTTATTTTCTAATTCATGCTCTAACCAGGAAAGCTGGATTGAGATAGCAAATTTCTTTTGCCTTGGCCAAGATTAGCAGCAGCAGCATTTTAACAAGGAAACAGAAACACAAAACGCATCAATATTTCCTGACAAATTTTTGCTTGAAAGTTGTCAGTCAAAGAATCTTTAGCCTGATGCATCGTCCTCCATCACCTTAAATTTACTTTAAAAAACATTCAGGGCTCTATTTTCGTGCCTTGCCGGCGGAATGGCGTAGGCACGGCGTAAGTCAGGTCTGCCGCGCTGACAAGGCGTGCCCAAGCACATTTTGGTATATTGGTGAGCAGCGCAGCCCTGTATAAGTATCCCCTCTCCCTAACTTAGCTCCTCCCAGCGGCGTAAGTCGTAGAGAGGGCGTGGAGTGGATTTAACACAGCGGAGATCTGTTTTCGCCAATCAGAGCAGCTCCTCTCCTCACCTTTAAATCCGCCACCGGCGAGGCGTATTACAATTTTCGCGAAGTAGCCAAAGAGATCAAGAGATGGCTGAAGACAGCAGAAGGCAGCCCCTCAACAAGTGTCGCTGTAAGCGCTGCAGAGGGAGTCGTGCACACTGTCTCCTATAAGCACAGATGGATTTGGTGTGTGTAATGTTGGACCCACTGGTAAGACAAACATCCTTTTCCACAAATAAAGACACTCACATAAAGTTGCATATATTTAAACCTGCCTGTGAGGCATCGGTGATGTATGTGCACTATGCTGCCGGTCTACCAAAATACCACTAGACCAGGTGCGCTCCACCTGCGCCGAAAGCTTGAATTGGTGAGCTCTCAGCGGGTCTGCCACCCTCCGCCACACTGCCAGCGGGCACGAAAATAGAGCCCTCAGAGTCCAGTTCCTTTAGGCCCAATCCCCAGCAAGAGATTCCAATCTGGAGGAGCAGCTTGGGTTGTACTTACTTATAGGGTGGTCTAATTTTCCTTGAGGGTGCCAACACTTCTTGAGGTTTGATGGCAAATGTCAGTTTGATACTCCAGTAACTAAATCCCAGATTGGGCTAATTTCTATCAGGGATCTTCTTTCAGAGGGAGAAACTGACCTGAATTGATCCTCCTGTAATTAAACACAAAGACAGTTCTTGATCTCTGATTGACGTAAAAAATCGCCTGTAAAGAAGGATATGCCAGTGATTTAGCCTACATATAGACAATGCAGGTTGGCCAACTTAAGACTTTGGATTTGTAATGAGCCCTAAAGCTTCATGGTGAAAAACAGTTCCCAGATAGTGAAGGGTTTGAGGTGATGCATGCATAAACAAAAAATCTCTGTTTTATAGTCAACTGGGCACAAAAGTAGCAGCAACAAGTATTTTCTGTGCGGCAAAAGAAAAACATGACTTGTTTCTGCTGTTTGTTGAACTCAAAGACAGAAATTCATCTATTAGGAAATCCTTTGTATTAACAAGAAGGTAGAGACTCAACCACATCCCCCTGAGTATCAGATAGTGGGTTTAGCAGCTTTGTCTTTGAGTGTGCAAACATCCGCAGTTTTGTTTTCTCTGGATTCTCGATTGATTTCAACTCATAAACAGACCCACAAGCATCTTGCAAGTTATTCAGATTCTGATAATGCATTGAAGTAGAGCGGTAAATGACAGCATCATCTGCAAATAATCGTAAACTTGCATTAAGAACATTCTGACCAATACTGTTGATATAGAATGTAGATAACAGTGGACCCGAGAAGGAGCCCTGAGGCACACCAGTAATGAAATTTAGAGGAGAGTACTCCAGCCCGAAAACACTTTGAAAGATGGGAGTTAATTTAGTGAGACCCTATGAATAAAGAAAATGCTCTTTCCTTCTGTTACGTAAAGATGACAAACTGACTTTCCTCGTAAGAGTCAAAGTGACGTGTGTGAAACCAAGACCAGAGATAAATGGCGGTGCTTCAGGACACAAAGTCCAACATCTCTGGCGTGCATGATAAGAGTATCACGTCATCATTTATAGAAATGATTATTTTTTCCAAAAAGGTGTGACTTCAAAGCTGACTGTTGTGCAAAACGGGGAACTTCTACTACTACTAATAATAGATTCTGACACGGGGGAGCTTAAAATAGACTTTTTGGCAGCAGCCTGTGATGTTCAATATGTCGCTAAGTATTCAAATTAATAACCAATGAACGATATGACTTTTTAGTTATTTTACAACCATCAAACCACAGTTCCAGAGTGTGCTTACAGTTGCATGCATATAAAAGCTTGCATACAGTCTGCACACACACACACACACACACACACACACAAAGTAGCATAGTTGCATAAAGCTTAAATGAGGTTTTGTGCACTCTTTGAACCCCACACGCGCGCAAGCATTGATGACTTTACTGGCACTGGTTAACCTTAGATCAGCTTGGGTTGCACCACTCTGCACACTCAGGATTCCACGTAAATTTCAATGAACTGGTCGTACTCCAATTAAACCACTCTGACCAGGGAGTCTCCTCTCTGTGCATGTGTAGGTGTTGATGAATGGACTTGAATGGAAACCTGACCAGGGAGTCTCCTCTGTGTGCATCTTTAGCATCAGCAGAGAGACTTTTAGAGGAAAACTTGTGCTGTTTCTAGTGCTGCTGAAAGCCCACAGACCACAGGTACACAACCACACATAGACAAAGACACATAATGAGACAGACAAGGGATGCAGAGAGCTGTATATATAGGCCCACAGGTCAGGAGAGAGCATCAGTGATAAGATCATCACACTCTTAGCTACTTCAGTCTTGCTCTGAGGACGATCTTCTAACGCCGGAGTCTGTCATCGCCTGCACTAAAGTGGTTCAGCATGTCTTCAAGCTGTGGTTTTGTGTGTCTTCTGGTCTTGCTGGGATTTGTGGCGGCATTTGGTAGAACCATCCCCTCAAGCATTGACGGCCTGAAACAAGCCCATGAGTTCCTCGCAAATGAGCTGGTGAGTTTAATGGTCGTATCCCTTCGGATACGAGTTTTGATCCTTAATGTTTTTTCCTTCAGTTACACTTAACGTTGTTTTTTTGTGATTTATATCCACAACACTTGTTATTTATTTGTACTTTTAATTCTTAAATCTATTTCAACGGATTCATGCTCAGATTAAGGTGTTTAAAAGTGTTGTTTACACTATGCAGGGAGGCCTCTGTGACCTACAAAAGCTAGTTTCACTCTGGATTAAAATCACAGAATCCTCTGCAGTGATACATGCTTTCACTTTCATTCATTTCTTTTTGATAACAAAAGACATCTTACGATTGTCCCTTCTAATGATTTGATATCACTCCAAAACAAACCCAAGCGATTGAATGTGGTGATTGAGCATTATGATGCATGCAAAAAGGATTTCTAGATATATAAACTGAAACTATTCAGTCTGCTTGTGGTTTGATTGGGACAGTTGTCATGTTTATATATATTTTTAAAGATGCCAAAATTATTTTGTGACCTTACGATTGGGAAAACCCAGTTTAGTGTTAACTTTTTTGGACCCGGTCAATATATATAGAAAAAAGTAGTAGAAAATGGGGTATAAATGTTGTATTATGTTAGCCTGAGGCAGAATGAGTGATGTTTCCAACAGTACTTATAAAATGTGTGTCATTTTAATATATTATGTCCTATGTATAAATTGATCAGGTCAATCCAAGGCTGCCATAAAAATAAATACTAAGAGAAAACCACCTTAATATCCTCAAACATTTTAAAAAATTGAAAACCTAATCAGAAAAAAACATGTCAAATAAGTACACATCTAAGTCTGAAGATATGTAACAATGTCCTAACCAACTTTACCTTTAGTTGGTTAGCATATACTACAACAGCACTTTAGTAATTAGTGTTTAAGATTAACGGATGTGTTTTTGGTTGTTTGTTTCAGAAACTAAAGAATGGGGAGATAGCTGGCCATCCTCTTTTCAATTCTGTCATCAACAGCATCAACATCTCCTGCCAGGTAAGCAAACCACTTCACATCAACAGTGTGACAATTTTTACAATCATTTAACTAAAATTAACGCTTTCACTTTAAAAAAAAATAATTTCTGGTGGTATTAGTATGGCGTAGTATTTGTTTGTAATTAACTTTTGTGTACTGTATGGTTTTAATGTAAAAAAAAAAAACGACTGGATTCACAAAACAGAGAAAAAAGAGAATTTTAAATTAACCTGAGAACTATGAATCAATGTTAAATGAAGTTAAGGGACAAGAGGACCCAGTAATGAGCCTTGAGGTACTCCGCACCAATAGTCAGAGTTTGATCAAAAATTGACAGAAGAAGAGTCTTCAGTCAAAGTCATTTGTACATTAGGGTTAGATTTTAGTGACAACATTATGGCGATACTGATTAAATTTGTAGACCTCTATAAAAGTTTAAGTGAAGTAACTCCTCATTCTTTTAATGAAATTTAAGACCGTAATGCCTCTTTCTGTAGAATTTGGAAAAGTAAGTACCAGCATGAGACAAAATTTTATCTGTTCTCTAATATATTACAATTTACACATATGTGTAACTTATCCAAATGTAATATCAACAACAGTGTAAGTTAGTTTGATAGCATTTCATTCTGTTCAAGAAATATTGTCATGTTAGCCAACAATGACTGCGTTTGGTTGGATATAAAATTTATCAGAGGGCGCACCTAAACCTACTTGAAGTTGTGCCAACTGGACAATTTCTGTTGTCAAAGTGTCTGATAAATAGAACTGGGTGTTTGTTTTCATTATTGTACTTTAAACCCCACTGCGCCCTTATTCATACTGACTCCAGGTTATCCCCTCCTCTTCTCCACAGAGAAAAGACGAAATCCAGCTCATGAACGTCACTCTGGACATCTACCTGCAGATCTTCTCCAGCATTTTGGACCACAGCGACAACTCTGAGTCCCCAACCCTGCTGGATAGTGTGCCGAACCAGTCTCAGGTGGAACGGAGCCTGAAGATGCTCAAGCGGGAGATGGAGGTGATGAAGAGACACCTGAACCATCTGAGTCAGATGAACCGCAACAGAGAGGATGTGCTCCACGAGCTGCGCAGAATTAAGGTACAGGACGCACGTTTATTTCAGCCTGAATGGAAAATAAAAGCTCAAACATGGGGGGGGGGGGGGGGGGGGAGTTGTGTCCTGGTGCCACAAGCCCATCCCTAAACTCAGAGCTATGAAAATCAGCACAAACCTTTGACATTATGTGAGTTACACTTGTGTGTAAATTTAGACCTGTAGGCCAACCTTTTGATAGATGTAGATTTTTACTTTTTTCATGGTCACTCTTATCCAGTTATCATTATTCAAACCCTCTTTTTAAAGCATGTTAAATACGTATTTAGATTAAAGAAATGCGGTTGATGAACTTTTGACTTCTAAGGGCATGTCGGTTTTATTTCAGCCATTTTTTTCTGAAGAAATGAAAGCTGCCACACACTTGGTTTCTTTTGAGTGGGAGGAGAGATCGTTTCATTAGGCTTTCGAACAGATATGAAACTTGTGAACTGATACTTTATATTCAAAATGTGGTTGGTTAAATATCTCCTAACTTTATTCTTAAGACTTTCATAAATCATGGGGTTTAACAGCTGTAAAAAAGCTACAATTACTCCAATAGATGCTTCTATTAGCAAAGACTAAAATAGCTGCACTGTGATGTTTCAGGCAAATGCACAAAAAAGTGATATTTTTGTCACAGACAGGTCCAGATTGTTATTCAGAGTATAATGTGCTTTACCGAACAAAAACAACTGTAGCATCATCTTTTGCAGTTCCATTAGATTAAAATGACATAAACAGACATTTTAACCTGCAGTATATGAGAGTTGCTCGTCTACTTCTGCCTTGAAACGTAAATTTGACTCAATTTTAAAATTCCAAATACTCTCTGGAGCCCATCTTTAAGGCTGCAAACAGGCTGTGGGCTATTGGTAGAAAGCTTTATCTCTTATATTATTTTGTATGTATGTAGAAAATATGAGTCACTAATTTTTTTTTCTGTCTTCAGGTGGACAAACCTGTGGAGCAGAAAAAGGCTCTGGCTCAGTTCATGGAAATCTACGCAGCAGCCTCTATGATTGGCCAACGATGTGGCCCCGCCCACGCCTCCTCTGCCAAATAAGCAAAGATTGAGATAATCATTCACCCTTTACATTGTCTTTTGTTTTTTATGAAACTAGGTTAAGTTATGTTAGGTCTACACAACACATCAGTCCAACTTTTACAGTTTAGCATATTTAAAATGTTATTTAAAGGTCACTCTACAACAGTCCACTCACTTAACTAAGTCATATTTAACTTCATGGTAATTTAATTTAATTTATGGTTTATTTAAATAAGTTATTGTTGTGTTTAAACAATTCTCTTGTTTGTTTGAATAAAGTTAATGTCAGCATCACTTCAAAGCTCCTTTTATTATTATTTTTTTGGTTACCCTTGAATATTTTTATCCACTTTATTTAAAAGAGTAACGTGAACAAATCAGCTGTGAGTTTTTCAGGTTCTTATCGATGAGTAGGGTTTTTAAGAAGCTGCTTGCTGATGCAGTTTCTCTTATTTTTACACAGAGTAATTTACATGTTTCACACAGGATGGTATTCTGCGGTTTGGATTATAATCTGGAGGCTGTTATAGAAAAATTGCTGATGATAGTCACAGAAGGAGAAACTTTATGAAGCTGAAAGGCGAAAATGCAGCTCAACTTGTGTAGCCAATAATTGAGGTCACATAAAACTTGGATATTTATCTAATTAAATTTGCAAAAATAAAGTTTCTAATTTGCTAAACAGTTTATGATGTCCTTATAATTATACGTATGTAATCTGATCTGAAAGTTTAGCTGTTAGTTTTATCTGTGCATTGTTATCTTTGGCATAATGCTAACGCTCGGGGTTTAGGATGGGCCAAGCCGTCACAGAGTGATGCCATACAACCTCTGGACGACTAAAGGAATCAAACATCAGCAACTGAGGGCCCTCCAGTGGTGGGTCATGGCTGCAAATCATGAAAAAGAAAGAATAGTGAAGAAAAAAATAAAAAAGGAATTACAAGAACAAAAGAAATAAAGCAAGAATGAAAAAAGAGAAAAGAAAAAAGAAAGATAAAGAAAAAGGAGAGAAAAAATCAATGAAAACCAAATGACATGATAAGAGAAAGGGAAAAAGTTAGGAAAAATAAAGAAAAAATAAAGAAATAAGTTTAAAAAAATGAAAAAAAAAATAAAAAGGAAAATAAAGTAAAAAAAGAGCTAAAAGGAAAAATAGAGAGAAAGAAATGAAAGAAAGAAGTTGAAAAAAGAAACAAAAAAAGAAATACAAAAATAAAAAAGACAAAAAGAAGGATAAGCAATGAAAAAATAAAGAATTGAAAGAAGGAAAAATGAGAAACTGATGGACAGGATGAAGGAATGACAAAAAGAAAGTGCAAGCAGAGGGAGAAAAAAGAGAGAAAGAGAAATCGTCACACTTTGGTTCACAATGACTCTGGTGACATTTCTGTGACATCATTCTGACCTCATCGGCCTCTCCAGCTCCTAAACCAACCACATGTCGAGATTTCCCCTAACCTCATGATGTTTAAGTGTCTCTGGGTTTTGGTCAGTGTCCCCCCACTTTACACCTTACGCAAACTTTCACACGCTAAACTCAGTTAAACCGAAAGGAAAAAATTCTACTTCTTAAAAGGTTGTGATCTCTACATTTTTTATGTGGAGTTAAACACAGATATAGAAAAAATCACAGGATATCAGATTTGTTGTACTGTACGTTAAAAAGCTAATCTGTAATCTAAGTCTGAAACATTATCTTAAAAAGATCGAGCAGTATTTAAACCTCAGTTGTTAGCTCAGGTTTCGTGTGGGATGTGGAGGGGTTTCCCCTCTGAGGAGAGAAAAGGTGACATTACCGAAGGATCCAGTCTGCCCCACTGTTAGGGCAAAATTGAATCATTGGCGGAGGTTTGGAAAAGTCAAGTTTGTGTTTTAGCTTTGAGTCAGTTTGTGGTCCCCTTCACACCTCTGAAAAACATTTGGAGTAGCTGACATACAAAAATAAAACCAAGTTTCATCTTTGTGTCAGAACATCCACTCAGAAACACGCGAAATTCCACAAAAATTTACATAAGTGAGTTCCTCGACATTTTCAGAATAATGTTCCTGAGGGTAAAATGTCAAAAATGAGTGCATTTTTATCAACAACAGCAAAATCATTGAAATATATTATTAAAAATTTAAAATAAAGCGTAGCGTTAGTTCTGGCAGGTCACGATGTCAAACGCTAATCCACAGCCAACGGCAAGTAGCCACCTCAACCGGGCTGATGGCCCAGCTATTTCCTCCTAGCTCCCATTGATCCTAACCCAGCCTCTTCCTCTGCTTCGACAGCAAACCTGCAACCCACCTCCACCCCAGCTCCATCCTTGTGCCGGCTAAACTGCTCCACTACCCTTGAAGCGCTCCTGTTCCGGGGGGCTTCTGTTCATCGCCGCTCTACCTCCCGTTGTGTCTGCCTTCATGATGCCTCATGAAGGGCAGGAAGGCGCTCTTCCTGCTGCTGGCCTCTCACACATGCTTGTGTGGAGAATGGGGGGCCCCGAACAGAACCTCGCGTGAAGGGCAGGAAGGGGCTCTTCCTGCCTCTGGCTTCCGTGCAAGCTCGTGGAAGGGCAGGGGCCCAGAACAGAACTATGTCGCCAAATCTAAATTTGCACGATAAAGCTGAATTTTGACAAAGTGATCCTGACCGAGGGAGGCACAGTGGTTCAATGGTTAGCACTGTTGCCTCACAGCAAGAAGGTCCTGGATTCAAATCCGGGTCAGGGCGTTTCTGTGCAGAGTTTGCATGTTCTCCTTGTGTCTGCATAGGTTTACTCCGGGTACTCCGGTTTCCTCCCACATCCTAAAAACGTGCAGAAGTGGGGTTAGGTTCATTGGCCACTTTCAAATTGCCCGTGGGTGTGAATGTGAGTGTGGATGGTTGTTCGTCTCTTGTCCAGGGTGTCCCCTGCCTTCGCCCGAAGATGCTGGGATAGGCTCCAGCCCCCCCACGACCCCTAATGGGAATAAGCATAAAAAATGGATGGAGCCTGACTGAAATAATATCGTTAAAAGATAATCAAAACTGATACTGAATGACCCTAGTGCTCTTTGTGTCAGGTGCTTAGGCAGCACTTAAAAAAACAGACAGGACTCTGTAGTGGAGGTCACTGCATAGGCTAAAAGTCACCTCCAAAAACCAGTGAGGTGAAGCAAAAACTGTCCTGTGGTCTACTAGATTAAAATGTGACATTCCTTTTGGAAATCATGGTCTTCACTTGAGGGATCACCCAGCTTCTTATCAGCTCTCAGTTTAAAGTCAGCATCCCTGATGGTATGATGGGAAGATGGGTAGCTTACACATCTGTGACGTCTACATTAATGCTAATCAATATCTAAAGGTTTAGGAGCAACATCTGCTGCCAACCAGACAATGACTTTATCAGGGAAGACCTTCATGTATCAACAAGACAATAACAAACCACATTTTGCCGATTTTACAACAGCATGGCTCTGTAGTAGAAGAGTCCTGCTGCTAAACTGGCCTGCATGCAGTCCTGACTTGACACCCGATGAAAACATTTGGAGCATCATGAAATTCCAGTTTCTAGAGATTCTAAAATCCACTTATTAAAATGTGTTACTCAACTCAACTCAACTTTATTTGTTAAGCACTTTAAAACAACCACAGCTGAATAAAGTGCTGTACATAACAAGACAAAACAACAAGATAAAAAACAATCAAAAAACGATTAAAACAATGGATAAAATAAAAGCAGAATTAAAAGTAAAATATAGTTTCAATGTTTTTAAAAACTAATTTAAAAACATAGAAACAAATAACTAAAAACAAACCATAAAACACTAAAACAGGAGCCGAGTCTCATGCAGGGTTAAAAGCCAATTAATAAAAATGGGTTTTAAGACGACTTTTAAAAATGGACAGTGTGGGGGCTTGTCTAATTTGGAGGGGTAGCTCGTTCCATAAATTTGGGGCTGCAACAGAAAAAGATCTATCCCCTCTGAGCTTCATACATACATAGTACGCAACATGCAACATGTAAGTTGTGGTTTGAACCTCATGACTTTGAGCACCAGAAAAGTTAACAAACTGCATGATTTCACTTATATGCATAGTGTAAGTTAAGTTACATTAATAATCGGCTTTGTTAAATATATGATTCTAATTGGTCAAAACCTCATAACAATGGTAATAGATTAGCAAAAGTGATGCCAGGGACGACCTAGTTACAAGTCATACCAGGACAATCCACCTTCAGTTTCATTTGAAAGTTTCAGCAGAAATTCAGTGAAAACATTTACACAAATAAAACTATTTTTTTTCACAGAGACATTATCACTTGTGAAACCTCTTCCTGTGTTTGTATCTATGTGCTGAGGTAGGGAATACCCAGGTGCTTTACACATGCCTCTAACACCTGAGCCACAGCTGAAACATCTACCTATCTCTTTCTTTCTACTTCCTGCTATGTTTGTCTTTTTCCTGCTGAGCTCAACTCTAAATTCAGTTTCACTTTGCAAGCTGAGCTACCATAGCAAAAATAAGGAGGTCAGAGGTTGAAGGATACTGAATAAGATGATGCTTGTTTCTAAACTATAGGATAAATCTGTGGCTGCTCCCATATTCATCTACATACTTGTGTTTGACGCTGGTTTTGTTTAGGGTGACCATACGCCCTCTTTTACCTGGACATGTCCTCTTTTTTGGGGGCTGTCCGGGCTTGTCCGGCTTTGTCCGTGGAAGTTTATAAAATCCTTCAAATGTCTGCGGTTTTGTACGAGAGTTTCGAGTTTGTGTCACGTGGACTTACTGAGTTAGAAGCACATAAAAGACACTTGATCCGAACTGAAAAACTCAAAATTAACTTCGTGCGACTCTGTGACTCCGCCACTGCATAGTCGTGTCCTCTTTTTGGGAAGACAGAATACGGTCACCCTAGTTTTGTTTGGAGCCCAGGTGGCATCTAGACCAGATCCCTGAACCACCTTAACTGACTCTTTTTGATGCTAAGGAGTGTGAGCTCAACACTGAGCACCTCCAGATGTCTGACATCCTGGCCCTATCTCCAAGGCTGAGCTCAGACACCCTTCAGAAGAACTGATCAATCAATAAATCAGACTTTTCATGCATAATAATGTCACACCATTCTAAAACCTGTAAAGAGTTCTTTGTCATCCATGACTCAATATCTCAAATACTGTTAAAAAAGGGTGTCAACTGGCCCTGGGTTATCAGGAGACACAGAAACGTAAAGCGGTGTGTCGTCTGCATAACTCTGGAAGTTGATGCCATGCCTCCTGTTGAAATTCTTTATAGGTAACATAACAAAGTTAAGAAGTGTAGGACCTAAGACTGACCCCTGAGGAACACCCCGATTCATTTAATAGCATTTAGATAAGTATTAACCCACACCAACTTAAAACTCCTCCATTTGTAAGACAAGATTCAAACCAATTAATAACAATACCAGAGATGCCAAAAACAATTATGTGATCCACTGTATCAAAGGCTGAACTAAGGCAGTCTGTATACCAGGATTCGTCCTAAACCCAGACTGATACACTTCAAAAATAATAAGAGATATATATTTGGAGTTTTTTTTTTTTTAAATCAGTAGTTTTAATAAATCTCTGTGGTGCAACAAGGCTCATAAAGTTACGATGACTGCTTCTATTTTGGACACCTGTCCCTCCACTGACTTAAAAGACAACTTTGTAAAGATGCATTGCTGTTGGGCAAAGAAAGCTCAAACTATTTCGCAAAAACAGGTTGCTTTGCTCCTTAAGACTATCCAAAGAAGGCACCAGTTTGGGTAGACCTAGGGAGAACCAATAGTGTAAAAAAAAAGCCATTCTGGTCTGCATAGTCTCGTTTTTCTTTTTGTTTGCGTCACGCAGAGTGTCGTCTCTGTAACTCATTTGTTGTAAGGATATAAGGTTGATGAGTAAAACATGACATAATTTGCAGTTTGTTGCTTTGTTGTATTAAAAACAGTAGTGATTGTCTATCACACTTAAACGCTCGGATTGGATTAATTAGGGGATTAATTGCAGGGATTGAGCATCCCTGCAGTCTTTTGTCATTTATAGTAAAAAGTTTTCTGCAAAGCACAGACCCTCCCCAGATTTCACTTTCTATTTTGTTTCCTTTAATCTAGTTAGCAGCAGGTATTCCCCACCTCTCATGTACTGGGCTGGTATTTACATAAGACATGCTACACAGGAATTTACTTCTACTTCTTTCCAGACAACTACATCACCCCACATATGTGCTTAAAAATAGGTGTGCATTTAAGTAACAAGAAAAGGCCTTGGGGCATTTCCTCTCAGCTAAACTAGGGAGGGATGCTCATCCGTCACTTGCTAGAAACACTTCACACCCTGCTTCATGACATAATTTCCTTTTTCTCTGTTCGCTGTTGGTTTATAATTCATAACATTATGCTCTACAACTGTAATCGTCTTCAGGTTTTAGCGTCCTTTCATTTAAAAAAATCTGCTCATTCATTTGGCAAATCTCACGTTTTATTGAACATAGAGCAATGGTAATTAGTCAGATAGTGAACTTCAAATGTGTTATTGGTTTATGAATATATGTGCAAAAGTTGAATTTGATAGCAGCTACATGTTTAAAGGAAGTTGGTACAAGGTCATGTCTATCATTGTGTCTCATCTGCTCTTCTTTTACCAAGACACTGTGAACATAAGTGAACCCAGGAGACCAGTACGGAGAGGAAAATCTTGTTCTATTCTTGACTGGTCTCTTTTTTGTATTTTACACTTCATAACTCACTTTTTTCTTTTTCTTTTTTTTTTTTGCAATGGTTGACAAGTCAGGACTGCAGACAGGTCAGTTTAGCCGCAGGACTCTGCCACTACAGAGCCATGCAGTTGCAATGCCTTGTCTTGCACATGTTGCTCCTAAACCTGTATATATTGCTCAGCATTGATGGAGTCTTCACAAGCCAGGTGGTCCTTCTCCTCTATTGAGTGGAGGATGCAGTGTCCATGGTTTCCAAAAAGAATGTCAAAACTGAATCTGTCAGACTACAGGGATGTTTTACCTCATCCCACCTTAAATAAAAATTCTCCAGAGTTTCGGGGTCGTGGATACGTCTGGTTTCCTCTTTGCATTGGACAGTTTCACTGCATTTGTATATGTAGAGGCAAATTGTAATTACAGATGATCGTTGTGTATTCTGAGCCCATGCAATGATTTCCACTGCAGAGTCATATTTAGATTCTCTGAACCTCATAATACACTGTACTGTGGGTAAATGTTGGGCACTATTCAACTTTTTTAGTGTTTAGTTTGTTTGACTACAGTCTAACCAATGCTTTGTTGCTGCTGGAAACACAAACATTTAACAGAACGGGTAAAGATCTGCAAGTTAGAGCAGTCCCTTCAAAATGCAGCATGTACTCGTGTTAATTACCCTGAGATTTACATTTTCAGAAGTAACTGGCGGGAAAATGGAGCCTCAGTGGTATCTAAAGGCTCAGTATTTAGGACATAAATGACCCATAGTCAGAAACTCCAACATTTCCCAATCAAACCACAAGTGGCATTTGTGAATCAGGGGATGCACCGCTTTTCCACAACGTTACGTCTGAATTAAACTATTCCTAACGGGGGCAGGAGCAGATTTTTTTCAGCGAGAGCACTTTCCATCAGCCTCTACCTTAATCTTACCTCACTGGAGTTGCATAAAAATACAAGCCTCCATTAGAAACCAATGAAGCTCCCAATTTCACCACTAAGATTATCAAATTATTAAACAGTTGCTGGTGTGAATTTCTGCAAAAGGCCGGATGTTGGCTGTTTGACATGCATGAGTAGGGGGACCCTCTCACCCACTTCTATGAAGTTTGGTGATTTAAAGGAAACAAGAAAAACCACATTTTCACACCTAGATCATCACTGCATCGCTCTCTCTCTCTTTCCTCGCTGTGTCTGTCTCGGCTGCAGCATAAATAGCAAGACAAGTTAGTTCAGGGGCAGAGTCACTCCTCTATCTATCTCAGACCATCACAGGCTGATCCAGACTCTTTCTGTGCTCTGATTTGCACTAGGATCCATACCAGGCCTTGACCAGTACAGGAATTGACCTAGCAACTTCTTCAACGAGAGTGACAAACAAGAGGTGAAGCAATGGCTGCTACAGCGAAGGCAGTGGTCTGTCTGTGTCTCTGTTTGACAGCGTGTCAAGTCAGAGGCTCCTTCGTCCCCCAAGAGATGAACAGAACCCTCAAGACCCTCCTGAACCACTATGTGAGTACCAAGAAAACCCTCAGTACTACTACTGTAACTTTTACAGTAACTTTTACAGCTGCTGTTATTACTAAGACTGATATTCTTAATATCATGGCATCGGTATGTGGGGCACAGCACTTCAAACACAGGTACAAGCTTTCTGTTTCCTCCTGGTACTTTCACACGCTGTTGCGCTTACCACAAACACACAAAGTCACGCATGCGCACACACAAACAGATGTTACAGGTCCTTTGTGCATTTTTAAAGGACTATTCTAATGTTTTTTTGCACCATTTTACATTGTCAAATACAAACAGAATACAGTGTCGAAAGTAAGTCAGGTTTCTTAAAATTTTATAATAGAGGGGTAGGGATACTTATCTAGATGGTGCATTCAGGGACTCTCTAACTGCAGATATTAGAATAATAGACACTAAATTTCACCAATTGTTTTGAGAAACAGACTACTACAAAAAAGCCTCTCTGTGCAAATGTGAATAGGACATTAAAGAGCCACATCTTCCGCTTGGTTGTGGTCGGTCAGTTCAAAAGTTCAAAAAGTCTGCAAGGTGGTCGACCATTCACGAAATTCAACAAAATATAACTGTTTTGTTGCCTCTTCACATTTTAAAGTTAATTTTTTGGGCTAGAAGAGCTGGTAGAGCGTAAAAGTGAGCAGAGATTTGGGAATGATATGTGATGAAGGGTCATGGGTCAGAATCCAACCTGACCAGTCATGGCAGGGGCTACGGCCTCGCAAAATGGGCGCCACAAAATTTTACATATATACTTTACCTCTTAAAACTTTCAAATTGAACATGATAAGTTTGACATATTTCTTTGTCAGATGCTTTGCTAAACAAAAATACTAATGTGTAAAGATTAAACAAAGGTACTACAAGGGTCAATTATACCAAATGTCGTGGATTTGTCATTATTTGCAAATGTGATGTTACCTTTAATGTCAAAAATGATAACTGAAAATCATTGAAGTAAAAGTGAATATAATGTCCATAAAATAAAAAATGTCATTTATTTTTTTATTTTTTTTTAAACATATTTAAAAATTATCTCAATTTTTTTCTATTTATGTGTATTTTGGATCTTTTACCATCAACAGACGTAAACAAATAACATTAATTGTAGCTATTGATGCCCCAAAAAGGAAGAAAAATCATGATTTCTTTCTTATTAAGGTACTTAAAGGGTTGAAAAAGACAATTTTCACAGACAAGTGCGCACACACCACAAATTCATCTGTCATAATTGGTATTTTTAAAAATATACTTGAACTGCATTCTGTTAAAAACACTTTAGTCCAACAACTTTTCCAGTGTCGAACTTTCTTGAACGCACCGATATTTTTATCTTTCAACATTGGAGATCAGCTAATATTGATCATAGACCTTAATGGAGGGAAAATGTTCAATCAAGCCAATTTTGTGTTGACAGTATGTTTCTTTGTGATTTTTGCAGGAGATTCCACCAGAAGTGAGATACAACGGGAACCTGGTCTTCTCCAGAGAACCCCTGACCGGCAAAGTTGAGGTAAAAGTCAAACAATGGACAGACAAAATATCTAAAATGGGATGTATTGGTGTTCTGAGTCATGAAGTACAACCATCGAAAACTTACACAGCTCAGGTTTTCCTTCCAATTTGACTCAGAGTCACTACTTAGTGACTCCCAGTTTGTATATTTCAGCTTATTAGATATTATGATGCATCACTGTTGGCTCATCCTGTAATTTATCAAGTTTCTGCAGAATTATGGTATCATAAAATTAACGTCAAACACACGCTAAGTATAGCATTGTATCGTAAGTTACTGTGCCATTACCACCCAACACTAAATAGACATAATAGAGAGACTAAGTCCATAATTACAGGAGAATTTCTCAAAAATCTTAAAACTTGATGCAGGTGGGTACAACTAGTCTTAAACAAAACATCAACATTTCCACCAAAACCCCAACCACACCCGCCCTGGACCTCTGCAAAGCCCCTCTGGTTTAAATCCAGGATGGCAGCTGCAGTTCTGCTAGCACAGACATCATGCAGTGCAATGAAAAGAACTAGTTCCTGTCATTTACTCTGTAAGATGTGTTTCTGGGTGTGTTGCCACCTCTATCAAACTCAGGATGGAGACTAACTTGATGTTTAATCATCATGCTAAACTAGACTGAATGTCCTTCTTATATCAAAGTTAAAGCGTAGACACACATTGGATATGGATCGTCTTGACCATATCCCAAAAACAAGGTACATAAACTCACTTTCCAAATTTATTAAGGTTATGTGGAAATCATTGGGAGTATTCAGGTGATATCTTATCTGCACATGAAGATGCATGTAAGTGATTTGGGTTCGAAAGGGAGTTGGTAAAATAGTTATTGCTATAATCTGTCAAGCTTCGACAGCATTTAGTTAGCTGTCTGCCAATGAGTCAGTAGAAGGCTTATCTATCACTGTTGAGGGTATTGGCGTTTGTGTGGGTTTTCTCTGCACTGTGCAACATTTGTGCAACTCTTCTCTAGCTCCAAATCCAACTTTCAGTCTTCGACAACAAAGATAAAGAGCTCCTTGATGGTTGGTGATAGTCGACACAGCAGAGTAACATGTTTATTTCAGAGCCTGCAGCTCCAAAGGGTGATGCGGTTAACAAGATGTTATCTACATGAGACGATATGAAAGCACATATGTGTAAACAGAGGCTGTAGATTCTGTGGTATGTGGCTTTTAGACCGTCCCTGTGAAATACTCTGCTGAATTCATACATTTGATAGAAGATCTCTTCAGGCTTTGATGCTATAAAATGCCAGTCCAGGTTTTTCCTCATCCTGTTCCCCATCTGCTGAACTGAGCGCTTTACAGTATGTCATGACTGCAGTTTGGTTTCATTCAGGACAAACACTTTAATCTTAAAGAGATAGTAAAAGATTTATCAAATAAGATGTTAGAGACAAAGAGGACTTGTTTGCCACCTTTCAGTTCTGTGCTCTGGCAACATAAACCCTCTCTTTGACATAACTTCAGAACATTTACAGACTTTTTTTTTGCTGTAACTTGGTCTGGTATCAGTCATGTTATATTTGCCAATCTGTGGTTTGAATCTACGATATGTAATTGTTGGAAAGACGATGGATAAACTTCACATTAGGACACACTTTTTAAAGATTTTAGACTGGGGGATTCTCTCAAAAAAAGCCACCAAGACTGTAACGTAAGAGTGGAATTTGTACTATTTTAGTGTACATAGTGCTTCTTCATTTGGAAAAGGTTATTGCATGGAAGGTGGTATTCAGGATTGACACCCCCCCACTCACTCTCCTGGGTTTTCCCATTGTGTGTTTCCCCTCACTGCAACATCACATGTGTCACCATTTAGCACTTTTTATTCATGAAGCGAAACTGAACTTTAACACATTGTTTTAATTTACTCTTCGTATTAAAAATGCTATGATACTGCTGCTTTCAAATGACTTTCAAACCTGTTAGCAGTTTCGTTTAAGACATATATGTTTCACAGTTATTGAGTGGTGTTGCTCTTTAAGACCTCACCTCTGCTAATTTTATCACTTGTGTGGGAAACCACAGCGCTTTTTTTCCGTTGTGTGAGACCGTTTTAAGTCAAAACTTAACCTCAGAGCTGGTACAAGTTAGTCAAATCAGACAAGAATAAATCTTTCTTTACAGCTCTGCTTTTCATGTTAACTCCACATATTCTTACCACCAGTTTTGAGTTTAAAGTCCCACTTTTCCAAAAATCAGCCTATTCAAAGATAATCAGTTAAATGTATGTCAGCCACGAGTATAACATGTCCAAAGCATTTTGTGTATCACTTTCTAGAAAAGAGTAGTCCCTGACCTCTTTGTTCTCCTGCAGGTGCAGAAGGTGTATATGGCTGGCGTTCTGGAAACGTACGAAAAGCTTCTGGGCCACATGATGAAGCAGCCGCACACCTCGAGTCCAGTGACAGCTGGCGGTGACGTGCAGCAAAATGCTGGCACTGCTGTTGGAGCTGAGACAGAGTTAAAGAAGGACATCAGGAAGAAGCTGGAGTCCATCGTGACGAAGGTCAAGGATCTGAGAGAGCACCAATTCCAGGAGCAGGAGAAGCTTCTGCATAGACTGCAGTCTCTTAGACACATTAAGGTAAGGTCACAGTGACGGACAGAAGAAGAGAGAGGGTACACATGGATGTTATATGTTGGCTTTCTGATTAGATAGAAATGGTGCTGTTTTAGGCTACGTCAGGCTTTTAGCTGTCCAAAGTAGGACCAGCATGTTTTTACACCAAAGTAGTTGGATACTAAAGATCATTCAGAGTCGCAGTGCTTTAAAATACAAAAGTCTTGAAGTCAGTTCTGCACACTTAATTCACTGCTTAAATTTGCACTATTGCACTCAGCTGATGGAGTATGAAGAGCAAAGAAGTCTCTGTGAAAGGCAGCCTGATAAATAAATGTCAACAACAACTTACGTATAGTTACATTGTTTTGTTATTCAAAAGAAAATGGTTTCAAAACCCTGTAAACCTTACACCTAAATTCATAACTTAAGTCAGTTTTTTTCCTTTTTCTGCTGAACCTGCATCTTCTCAGCAGACTTCGAAAGTGTCACCAAAAATTACTTTTCTGGTTCCGATGTAGTTACCTTGATCACTTTGACACAGAAGTTAATTCTTCATTAGGGCTAATATGACCACTCAACACAAAACAGATGCTAGAGGGATACTTAGTTTTTTATATCATGAAGAGACGAGCTGGCTGGTTAGGAGTGAAAATGTGCTGAAAGGCATTTATACTTGGTTTCATATAAGACACTTAGAATAGTTTGTGTTGGGACTTAAAAGTGTCTGAAGAAAGAATTTTAAACCATTTATGTTTAGGTTAAAAGGATTTATGCTGGTTTATGCTGCGGTAAATGAAAAATGTTGAAAAAGATTTTGCTTAGTTCCAGTTTGGGGGTTTTGAACCCTTTAAAAGATTAGGTCTTGTATGGTTGTTAGAACACTTTTAAAATGTGAACGCTTGTGTCAAGCTGATTTTTTTCCACATAGAAAATTATTCAAGTGTGGGGCCAGGACTTTAAAATGTTCATGCAGTGTTTTTTGGAAGTTTTTAAAAATGTGAAATGCACTAAAAAGGATTTAAGTAGGGATGAGGAAAACACTTTCAAAAAGTTGTATGTATCAACTTTTTGTAGGGTCAACCATGGATGACGGAAAGTCTAAAGTAAAGCTGATAAAAATAAAGGGGGTTCGTGTTGTTAATTTTTTTTTGTTTCTACCTGTCTTACAGATGGATAACCTTGAAGTCCAGAGCAAAGCATTGTCGGAGCTGCCCTGGCTGTACGATTCGGCTAGCAATTTGGCCAACAACAGCACGAGGCAGAGACGGCGAAGACGGCAAGCATGGAAGATCAAAACTCACCCAAAGGCCAAAAATTAAAAGGGTCACAACGTAACGTCAAGAATGACATCAACCAGACTAAAATAAATACGCAACAACAGGAAAAACAAATATTACATAATGTTAATGTTAATGATAAACATAAACTGAATTTTATTAATATTCTTTTAATGAAGGTAAACCAGCAGCCTAAGCCTAATAGATTTTGTCACTTTTTAAAATCCTATATTTTTAAACCAAGTTTGGTGCTCAGTACCCAAAACTAGTCAGACTGTTTGGTGGGTTTAAGATCAACTTTTACATTTTATATATGACATGCCTTATCAATCAAAGTTTCAATCATTGTAACCTGGAAATACTTGATTTCTTGATTTTGTTTTAAGCAGTTGATTTATTGTTATAGAAAAGTTCATTTCTGATTTCTTTAATGTCAATGACTCAGGTTTTAACTTGAATAGAAAAACATAATATTTACATTTTATTTAATTGTTTTAAGAAGGTGTGCCTTTATCATGTCAATGTTTTTGAAATAATGTCTAAAAGTGAGTTGTGCTCTTTATCAGCGAAAGTGAAATATAGTCCAAATATCTTGAAATAATGTAAACATGACGGACTCCAGGAGACCCTGATCCAAACTTCTCAAAAGAAACTGCTTAAAAGGGAAATTGGTGATGGTGATGATATTGTTGTTTACAGTCAGACAGCACACCAGAGTTTGATGCTGACAAGTCCTCTGAATATTAACTTTCCACACTTAGGTGTTACACAGTTCAGGGATTTTACTTTTTTACTTGTCATTTTTTAATGTTTATATTTATTTTTGTATTTAAAGTCTATTTAAAAATGAGGTATGCTGTGGTGACTGATAGTTGATTAATTTATTTTGTTATTGTATTGTTGTGATTATTTATTGATTGGCACATGCTGACCTATGCAACTGATTAAAGCAGAATGAAAATGCCATTTGTTTTTGTTTTTTTATTCTAGTTTTTAAGGGGTTATTTTGTCCACTATGTAAAGTTGCTTTTAAAGTTAATCTCACAATCATTGTTCATAGAGATTTTTGACATTATGTTTTATTTTACTTATAGAAAATTTTTAAAAATGTTTTGCAGTTCAAGTACAATTTATATTTCCTTCTGCAAACATGCATCTCTAGGAATCGCTGCATTGGCTTTGTATGTAAATGTGAAAAGCAAAAACCAAACAAACAAAAACAAGACATTGGAATTTGTTTTAAAAGCGATTCTCTCAGAGCTAAAAGCAAAATCACAGTTTAATCGACTAGTTCCACATATGTAATAACATTTCCTAACACATTTTGGTCTCATTTATGCTCGATATGCTGTTGTTTTTTGTAAAATGCATGGAAGCATGGTATAGAATAGGCATGTTCTTGTGCCCTTTCACTTGTCGGGTCAAAAGAGGAATCACTGCCAGGAAAAGAAAGAAACCATGCTATTCAAACCGGTTTTATTTATCTATTTATTCACATAAAACTTTCCCTTTACGTCACTTTTTACTTTTTTGAGTCAGACAAATTTGTAAAACAAATATTTGCATGTTGAATGCAAAAAAAATGTCTTGTACTTAAATAGCAAAGTGGCCGAAAGCTTCAGGATGGACTCAAAACAGCAATTCAAGGCACATCGGGTCGCAATGCACGGCTTTGAATAAGTATTTCATGTCTTGCTCCAGAATCTTACTGTGCAAAGAAAATAGTAACTATAGATGTAGAATTGTGAGTATGAAGAAAAAGTTTAAAACAGCAGTCATTTAAGTAAATGTATCAACTTACTTTCCACGATTGGAAGTCTCCACTACATTTATAAGGCTTCTATGGATTACTCACAAACATATATTATCTAAAGGTAGTTAATCATGGCTGACATAATGGAGGGAATATAATCTTCGGACTTTTAGCGCTCACACGATTCAATTCCTGCAAAACTAAGAATGTTTGTATGTGGCACGTTGCAGCCTAGAGACCACGACCCGTTGCAGACAGACTGGCGGGTCTGCAGCGACAAACACAAAGACCCCTGTCCCTCCCGCTATCCACACAGCTGTGATATTGCTTCCTGTGACATCACTTCTGGTAAATGTAGCTTTCTTTTACTGTAACTGCTGCTCTTACCCACAATGCACTCTGAATGCTCTGCAAAGCTGTGAGGTTGTGACTTCTAAGAAAGGCGAGCTGTGGTTCCCCTGCAGTAGAGACGAGGTCTGTGTTGTTGCGACTGGTAAACAGTCCCAGGGGGCTTGACAGCAGTTGCTGTGCACATTGTTATGGACAGATTAACTAAAAAAATGTCTTCTTTAAAATGCTTTTTGAAAGGTGAAGGTTTTATCTTGTAAGTTTGAGAGAGGCTGGTGAGACTTGCTCCCCTGGAAATGCAGAAATTTAAAAGTCATTGAACAAAAGTTTGATTTAAGTCAGATCACAGGTTTCAAAATAGACTTTGACAAAGAAGTGGTCACAAGTAAGCATGAACTCTGCTTTTTTTTGGTTCCTCAGACTTGTTTTTCTGTGCTTTAAAGTTTGCATGTGAGCCAGAGCTACCTTAGTCCAAAACAATTTGGCCAATATAAGGAAAAAAAATGACGCCAAAGATTTTGGTGTTGGCACAATTTTTTTTTGAGACAGATTCGAGCTGAAATTCTTTAACTTTAACAGAATTTGCTCACGTAACTAAAAGCAAACCTCTTTTTCATGAAACACACTCTGTGCAGTGTGAACTACAGCTGATTTTTTGATCAGAAGTTACGACTTGGGGAGCTGAAGATGCAAACTTTTAAAATCAGGTCACAAAGTGGAATCAGAATCAGAAATGCTTTAGTAATCCTCAGGGGGAAATTGCTTTTGTCATAGTACTCCAGTGCAAATACAGTAAAAAGAGGAGATAAATAATAGATAAAATAAGTAAAAATAAAGATATAATATACAAGTATTTACACTATAAACAACACTAATAGTAACATTGTATGCATGTCTCATGTATCTAATGTAAAAGCCATCCTCTGTCTGAACTGATAAATTTGCAGATTCTGTAAAAATGAATAGATTGCCATCTCTATAGCTGCAGCCATGCTAACCCCTTCATAGGCCGCCAGTATCGACAGGCTTCCCACGACTGAACACACTTGAAAGTAAACACCCCTTTTTCCTTAGATGACAGTGACTGTTTCACCCGAACAGCGAACAAACTCAAGTCATATGAGAGTTTACAATCAAATGGTTAATTGAGAAGTTGGAGGTTTTACATGACAGTTAAGAGATCTTAGATGACTAGATGATGACCCAAGCTTTTCTTCGACTGTAACTGAGTGTTTCTTTCGGGGGGCATTGAGGGGGCGGCCGGTTGCAGCAGTAAAGGGCACTGCAACAGCAACATGGATGGAAATCATGACTGAGAAAGACAGTGAGAGCCAACTTTAAGCCCCCACCTCCATGTCTTTGTATGTGTGTGTGTGTTTATGTGGGTTTCAGTGTTAGTCAGCATGTTGCAGAGTCTGCTGCAGGAGAAAGGAAGTGAGATTTTGGGTGTCTGAGATGCTTCATAGGAATGAACTCTGCAAACGCAATAAAGCAAAGATATATTTAACCTCCTTTTTTTAACGTTTGCACACAGTTTTAGAATAAGTCATAGTCAGAAAGTTTTAGTGTCAGGAAATGAATCATAATTCAAATGAAGTCACATCATGTAAGAGTTCATTTTGAAGCAGCCTTGCAGTATTTGTAAATGCTACATAACCACACTTACATGCTCAGTTATAGCAAATACAAAACTCAACATGTTGACCATGAATGCATGTATTTTTTTATGCATATCCCTGTATGACTTTAGCCCATCCAATCCAACCAGAGGGTTAATCACATCTCTTCTCTTCTAAGAGAGGAGTAGGGGAGGTAGAGTGTCCAGCCTTGCACAGGGGCATGAATGCGAGCCCACCTTTCTAAACTCTCTGAATGCAATCTCCTCTTTCTTTCTTTCTTTCTTTCTTTCTTTCTCAGGGCTCGGCTGGAGAGCATTACGCTTCATTTAGCAGTGGCTCAAATATTGTAATATGTATTCAAAGAGCGGTAGGTTAAGAGCTTATTAATAAAGTGCAAGTCAGTGAAATTCTGCAGAATTTTGTTGTTTGTCTCAATCTATCATAATATCATAAAAAACATGGGAAAAAACCTAAAATATGCATGAGTCAGAATCCTTACTGCTTTACTTTCACCGGAGCTTCAGTTTCATATCAGCGGCAGGAAACGTCTGTCTGAGTCTCAGATCTTTATCTGACCACTGATTGACAATAACACGACACTCATGAGATAAAAGCTAAACCGAAAAACATGTAAAATTACCGGCACATAGAAAGAGGAGCTATTTCTATGTAATGCAGCTTGGTTTGACTGGAGAGTATACGCGACCTTTGACACCCTCACGAGGAGCTAATTTTAGAGGCTGCTGAGCAAATTAAATCTGATATATCCTCGGAATTAGAAAATAAGTGCAAAACATCTCCTGACTGATGATGAGGTTAATTTTGTAAGAGGTTGGTAAGATGACTGGGTGTGATAAAAGCATTTCAGAGAGGCTGAGCTGCTCAGATGGTAAAATGGGGAGAGCTCCACCAGTTTGTGAGAGACTGTGTGAATTTATAATTCAACACTTTTACAGTAAGCATGCCAAAGAATGACCGGACTTCATCACAGTTCATAATATCAGTAAGTAATTCAAAGAATTTGGAGAGCTCCTCAGGACCCTAACTTGCACTGCATGATAACAGACATGACTCTGTTGTGGAAGTCACGTCATGGGTGCAAAATCCCCTCGAAAAACCATTATTTGTGGCTATAGAGTGACGTTTTGGTTGAGCACGTGGCTCTCTGTATTGCGATATGCAGTCGTTACTTAATTTGGCATAACTAGACAAGCAAGCGGTCAGCAACATTCATCTCTCGACGGGGTGTCTAACTCGGTGTTACTGTGTGTTTGACGCTAACTTAATTTTACGCCGGAATATCCCTTTAATGCTAAACATATATACATGTTTAGGAGCAACATATGCTGCCATCCAGACAATAACATTTTCAGAAAGACCTTCATACTAAAACATCAGTTATTAAAAGTAAAGTTATTAACCATCAGTTGTCTTGGATTGACCTGATAAACATTTTTTATTCATTAAACTCAATAAAACGTATTATATAATGCACTGCATATAAAATAGTGCTTACACAACCTGCACCACAGTGATTCATTGTTTCAGTTTATCTGCTGACTCTTCAAACGGGTGAAAAAAGCGAGCTAAACAGAGTGACAACGCACACACACACACACACACACACACACACACACACACACACACACACACACACACACACACACACACACACACACACACAGTTCATTAACATATCAGACCGAAAGTTCGGTGGCATTTCCATGAAGTAGTGTTGTTTCCTGTCGCGGAGGAAGTTCTGAGTAGGTTCATGGCCGCCACACACACACACACGCACACACATACACACACGCACACACACACACACACACACACACACACACACACACACACACACACACACGCACGCTCACGCACAGCAACAACTTAGTTTCATGTCAAACTTTGTCTAAGCACAGAAAACATATGAAACATATGAAAGGACACAAATACAAATAAAAAAGGTCATGTTCAAGGTCAATTTCATAACTTTTTCTTCAACTTTTTTGAAACACTTTTTTCCTCTTTCTTCTCAGAATAAATGTTACAGTTTTGATATGTAAGTTGTGAACAAATATCTTGACATATAATACAAATAAAAACACAATAACTTAAGTAGATAAAAAAGTTCCTGTACGGACAGGTGTGATGTTTAACCTGAAGAATGAAGTAGCCGAAAGGTCAAAGGGTCAGATTTTTAAGGTGCATGTTGAAATATTCTCTCAGACTCGGTGACCTAAAGATGG